GAGTCGAAAGACTACTATGAGGGAGGTCAATTAACATACTGAAACAGTTTTGTGCTGACTGACAAAGCCAGAGCTATTTAATTTACGTTGAATAATTGAGCAAGATGACTGAGTAAGATCTGACTATGAGAATTGGTCAACATTTCAGCCAAAATACTTTGTCATGATTTGAAGAAATTTTTTATTCAATGTATCTTCATGTAAATGATTAAATCATGAATAATATTATGCTAATTTGTGGTATGACTACTTCATTTTTCGTCTCAGACTTATCAGAACTTGGCATGAAGGAGGAATAACATTATTGCAGTAGAAAACTGTATTTTCTGTTATGAAATTAATAACGTTTTTGTAACAGGTAGTTAACATTAGTGATTATGTATGAAAATATGCTGATTTTTCGTGAATTATATCTCTTTTTAGCTACACACTAGTGATCAATGAAAAGTGTTATAATGAGGATATTGTCCTAGATGTTGGACTAGTTGAGAAATGTTTTCTTCAAAAGTGGAGCTATTAAGTTAATTTAGAATAATAGATTTTATTCAAAAATTAAGACATAACAGTTTTATTCATCTATTTCAATTAATAACAGTGTATAATTTAATATGATTTTCCTGTAATAAATCTGGATATTATTGGCACATGTACAGTCAAAACATTAATGAACATAAAACATGGAACATTCATCAAAGAGTATATAAAGAAAAGTATCTACCTATCGTAAAAGTATCTAGTAATAACTATTTTTCCTATATTAAATTCTCTTTAAGGAAAAATTGTGCAAAAAAAAAAATCTGGAAGTCCATAAAAAAACTTCTATTGCACATTGGTTGCCTTAAGGACTATCCAGGGGCTAGAAGAAAATGCAAACGATCAAACTATTTGATATTTCTCAATTCACACTCTTCGAATCTATTTGATTTTCCATCATTCTTTCACAACTTTACAAAATTATTGATTTATGTATGTGTGGACACGCATTTACATTCAATAATGAGTAATAATATGAGTAACCGAGAAAGTTAGATAACGGCTTATATGATGTTTCCTGTCTAACAGTGAGTGTAAAATGTTAAGACTTTTTGTTAGAAGACTTCATATACATGGAAAGCATGTAAATACTAAACTGGACGCATAATACATATTGAATATGAAGGTAAATGTTCATGTTTACACGTATGTATGGACAGAAAAAGGTGAGTATAGGAGAAATGCTAGTAGGATATAGGTACTCAAGTACTTGATAGTGTTCAAGCCTGTTCTAACGGTGCACGGGTTATTGGAAAGCTGTATAGTCTCGTTCGCAGAACTCAAGTCTTTGCATATTAAACTAAGAAACGAGTATCTAGTGTCAGGATTATTGCACGAATGACCCAACTTAAGTGACTGACATTCAAATGTATGCTATCTTAGCATTTTTCCCCATTTACCAGTGTCCCCAGAAGGTAATAGCCAGTTTATCATCATCATCATCAATAGAATTTCCTTTTCAATGAAACTGGAATTCTCTTGCTGCTATGAATATCTAGCATTTTTGCTCACTCTCTAACAAATAACCAAATCAAAATGATGTATAATTCATCAACACTCCTGGAGAGTTGTGGAGAGAAGTTGATGTGCACTATAAGAATGCCGATTGCGTCTTGTCAAGTTTGTGAAAGTGAATTTAGAAAGTTCTAGATTACCATTAAAATTATAACTGTCATAGCCAATTAAATATATACAATCATTTTTATATTCCAAACTTTATTATATGATGAATAGAGCAAGACATTGTCAGCTTTAATGTCAAGTTTTATTCAGAAGTTACTTGGAAAATGATTTGAGAAGGTGGTAATAAGCTAATAGAGAATTGCTGAGTTAATCAAAATTAAGTCTACACAAATGCACAATACAATGAAGACCTCTTTGAAGTGATAATGTAATATTCAATTACTCTTATGATCTCATCATGTCTAGCTTTTTAAAAAAAAAAGAAAAACATCATCACTAGTACGGTTAAATTCTTTGTATCATACAATTGTTTGATTTTTATTTAATTAAAAAGTATTTCTCTTTGTTTTTGATTCAATTAATACATTTTTCATAGCTTGCAGATTCTTTTTGATGAAAGACAAATGAATTAGTTGCTATTGATCAATATTGTACTAGGTATCCTGATACTGATATATTTTATTAAAGCCATCATTTAATTCAATTAAATTAATTTCTTATCAATTTATCTAATTTCATTAATTAAATTTAGATAATGTCAATAGAAATTATAATTAATTGAATAACACATTTGCCAATTGAGAGTTTATTCAAAACAAAGTACTTATGATCTAAAATTGGTTTGGTAGTCATCACTGTTAGAATTTGGTGTGCTCAAGCAGTAACTCATAAAAAAGTTTCTTTTTTCTTAATACATTTATATCTAAGTCGTCTTTTTTATTAGACTGATAAGACGAATAGCTGGGTAATAAGTATCAAGAAATAGTAGTCGAGAAAAACAGTCAGTCTTTTTACGGTTCGTAGACATGATTCCAATATGAATAAAAGGTACTGAGTAAGAAAACGGTTTATGCAGTGTCACACTGCCAATAGTAGAAATGTCTGTAGTTGTGTAAAAACATAACTGTACTATACAACTGGGTAATCATGTGATTACCACCAGTTCCAATCTTCACTGTTAAGTTTTATCATCATAAATGATCTAGAACATCAAAAATTTTCATTAATTTTTAATTGTAATGTATTGATACAATTTTATATAAGAATAAAATGAACAAATATTTAATTATATTAAAAATATACAACTGTAGTAAATGAGAAAATAATAATTGGAATATTTTTCTATGAAACATGACTTAAATGCTTATATGGTAATAAAAATAATAACAAGAGAAATTGAGTTAAAATTACATAACATCTCCAATTTTCTGAATGTGCAAAGAATCTACATAATCAAGTGAATTCGTTGATTAAAAATGATAAATGAACTAATTGGAAAGGAGTCTGTGGATGAAGCAACATAATGGTAACTAAATTTACTTAGCCTTGACTTTTTCAATATCTCCATTAATAAAGAGAGTAATTCAATGAATGCATTATTTAAATAACACGATAAAAAGTTTTTTTTTCCATTATCTTAATCAAATGGGATCATTTGAATATCTATATAGTCTAGAAAAATACATTTATACATTTTGCAGTATAGGAGGGGTATTATGGTGACGAACTGGGTGTTCTCAACTTGGAGAATGGAAACATGCTTAAGTTAACTTGAAGTAAGAGAGTTTACGGGACCCACATAATCGAGAAATCGGCAACCACATTCCATGTACATTTGAACGAGAAAGATAGACAATGGACTAAAATATGTACAATACATTGATGATAATATTTAATTCATGTCAAATTGAAGATTACTGTGCATTTATCTTATTGATTATGTTGTTTCATAATCACTTTTCATATCATTGGTGTTTTGAATTAGCTCTAAAGCAAATGAAACATTTATTTTCAACATCACTTGGGTAAGAGATTGTTGATAATACCAGTGACAGATTTATGTCTTGGTTGAAATTAAACTTGGTTTGTCGCATGAGGAAATTTATTAATTACCATTGATTGTAATAATTTTTACTCAAGTTAAAAAATATTACCTCTTAGGGTAATAATTTTATATATTTATATTCATTTATTTTAACTCAATGTATATACCATATAGTTTCTATGAAAAACTTTACGTGTTAAATGACGTCCGGAGTGTACACGTGCCTACCTGCATAAACTTTTGCCAAGCTCCGGCGAGCACAACTTTATAATCCTCAGTTGAGTTATGTGCAGGAGAAAGAAAGAAAGATAGAAAGAGAAAAATCTCTGGTTTTAGTTTGCACCAATTATCGTTCTCGTGGAACTATTTTTCTCACTAATTTATTTATGTTCAACAATCTCTGTATTACTTTTATATTATGCAAAAAATTGTATGCTATGAGTAATCTAATTTTCATTATTATATTTTTATTATCTTACCTAACTATTCTTAATTCTTACTTAATATCTTTGATGGTTTTTTAGAGCAAGTCTGAAGATAATTTATTATTAGAATATTAAAAAAAAAACAGCCATTTTGCATGATTATTAGAAAACTTTATTTTTTGTTGATTAGAATGATTTTTTTTCTGCTAGAAATGGTAGATAAATACATGTTAGTAATTATTGTTAGATTTAATTAATGAACTTCATGAATTTTAATGTAATTACAGTAAGTCTACATTTAAATTTATTTAAAGTTAAAATTTCCCGTTTTTTTCTTCAATTTTATTTTTTAATTTATCGAAATTTAATTGAAATATTTATCTAATCGGTTGTCAGTTTCTAATTTAAATAAAATTCAGAGGATTTTAAAAGGAATTAAAATTACCTCCAACAGAATCAAGGTTTCATGAAACATTTAAAAGTAATTTATTTTTAATGTTACTGAATAGTTATTTAACTATTATATAACTTTATTCAAATTAAAATCCTTTTTTTTATTACTGCTATTCCATTCAATGCATCAATTAATTTTTTATAGCTTAATTAATATTCTTTTTGAATAATTTTATTAAATATATTTTTTTCATTCTTCACGACTTCAATTAATTGTCAATTGATTAGTTAACAGAGAAGAGAAATTTTCAATATGTTTAGACTTCAATAGGAATTACCAATAATTATGGATAAATATATGATACGTCCATAGGGATTGATTGAATCATTAAAATTTATTTAAAAAACGAATGTAACAACTTGGAGAAAACCTTATAAATAATAATATAAGATTATTATCTGTTATTATTATAGCTCATAAATATTGGATTTTATCCTGAAGCAACAAGTCATCTCTATGAAATATGATTACCCATAAAATTTAATTAAATATTTTCTAGTTCCATATTTTCATTTTATTATCTAAACAGTTGAAAATTTACAACATTAATAACAAACTAATATGACTTATTTTATTACAGAATGTATCGAGTCTTCAGAAGGTTGCCTTTGGTGCAAAGGAGCATACTGTGCTCGATGTGCTGTTCTTCTACATCAAGGGAGATGTGTAGATACATGTCCACCAGGTCACATTGCTGATCGTTCAACCAGAGTTGATTATATGGGACGAATATGTCGAGAAACGGGTTACATGTTTGGACTGACTGGAAGTCAAGTGGCGATCTTTGTCGGTATTCTTTCTGGAGCTACCATTTGTATATTCATTATAGTTTGCGGTGCAATCGTATTTCATAGAAGAAAGAAAAAAGCTGCAAAGTTAATTCGGCAGTATGAAGACAGGTATTTGATTTATTTTTATACTTTTATCCAACGATACCAACTGGTTTTGTTGGAGCTTATCATATCAGAATAGTTGAATAGACCTTTAAAGAGATCTGGTTTATAATCTAGAAGTAGTTTACACTAGGGTATTTTACATAGGGTGTTCAGTAAAAAATAGATTATGCTAATCAGTGTATAATAAGCTACTGTAAAAAATGGAAGCTTTTATGACCCATATCAGATTGTGAATAAGCAATTAACTTGATTTTTGATTTAATGATTCAATTAAAAAATATTCTATTTCATAATAAATTTTAATTTACTAAAGTATCATCAAAATATGAATTGATATTATTATTTTTATTTCTTCACATAGTCATTTTTTGCTCCAACAAAGATAATCACAATTTAATTGATTTTTCGTGAGTTTAATATTTTATACACAATAGAAATTTTTTAAACTAATTTACAATAATTGAAAGTAATTTATGATAAAAGTAAAAAAATTTCTTTCTTTCTTACTTTAGTTTTTTTTATTTCAACTGTTTTAATAAATTAAGTATAATTAAAAATTTTCTAAAAGTTAATCACTTAATTCATTTTCTCATTATATAATAATTGAAAAATTCAATTGAACTTAAACTTTTAATAAACGTAAACATAAGTTGGTCCATTGTTCAAGAATGAAATAAAAGAGTTACTTTAACGAAACAGTACAAATGTTGCATTAAATAGATTATCAAGGGTAATGAGCGTTACATGACTACTCTATTTACTTTGCTCTCTCGAGACTAATGCATTGTCATGTTATGTTCTATAATATAGTATAAATAATAAAAAACATAAAAGAAAAAGAATTTTTCGATTAAAAAATTAATCTAAAAATACTAATTAATTTCATTTATTCATGTAAAGAATATATAGACTTTCATATTATCTTGTTTACTAAGGTTTCATCTTATCTAGACACCCTATAGATATTTTACATATGCATACATTTTTTACTCATCTGCAACATCCACTTAACTTATTTGGATTTTTTCAGTGCCGAGAGACGAGAATTTCTAAAGCATCTTGCGACATTACGGGGAGAAGCTAACACTTTTCTTGCAATGTTAAACGACACACGACGACAAGTTCGTGAATTATATTATTCTGGTAATAATGGTGATGGTGCTGTTGGAGTTCAAGCTTACAGGTATTGTCAATTTTCATTTCAAAATCTCTTTAATATTTAACAGTCTTTGAATTACAAAAAAATACAATAATTAATCTTTTTTTTTCATGTAGACCTGTACTTCGTGACCTTGCAAGAATCCTAGTTCTAGTAAATAGGAGTGATGATGACATATATTTACCACCAGATGATTGGCAAAGGCTCCTATCATGGGCAGAACGCTTGCTTCGACGATACAAAAAACACACGTCACCCGAGGTAAATAAATACAGTATGATTTATCTTAGAGCAATAATTAATATCTCAAGCTCGAATAATCACAATTATTAATCTTTGCTGAGTATTTCTTCATCTATTTCTTTGTTCACTTCTTCGCACGCCAGTCAATTACACACTTTGGTGAGTGTTCCAACGAAAACTGCGTGATGAATTTATGCTATTCATAAAGTATTCTTCAATTATTACATCATTCTTCATTTCATAGATGATAACGTATTCTTTTGATTCATATAATAACTCATATCAGTAACTACAATATGTTCATATCCGTCATCTCAAATTTGTCTATTTTCAGTTCATTAGGTGTTATATAGACTTCATATTTCATTTAAACTTTTTACTATCAGTAGAATATTAGAAAAATATGTCATGCTTTGATAATTAATTCTCATAACTCTTTTATTCTTAGTGTATCTATTTATAAACTTTTCCTGTTTTTCATTATTTATATTTATTGAATATGTTTGTATAGTAAGTAGTGGCATTTTTCAAAGCATTGTAATTTAATATTATCATTTTCTTTAAAGGTGGCTCAATTGGTTACATTCCTACAACAACCAACGCCTGTTACTCCAATGGTTCCAACAACTCAACAGATAGCAATCACTCAACCGGCATCGCAGGCATATGAAATAAAAACGACTCCAACGAATCTCACAACATTCCAGTCGAACATACCATTGACAACTTTCCAAGCAAGTGATAAATCGAGCATAAGTCCAGCCAGTTCAATTATCGGTTATAATAAAGACAGTCCAATAAGTTCAAGTTTAGGACAAAATAGTTCAATTGCTTACAATGAAAAATTAAGTCCCTCAGGTTCAACTGTTGGTCAAACAACGCCACTTGTTTTAAACAATCAAGCAAGGCGGCATTCGTTACATTTTCAAGAACTTGGTATCTCAGCATTTAATAATTCATTCAATTTAGCTGGGACTTTAGGGAATAACAGTGTTTCATGCACTGAAAGTGAGTGCAATGGTCTTAACAGGAATCTCAATCCTCAGTGGGAGTTTCAAAGCACGAATGAAGAAACTAATTACACAATACTGGCCGACTGGGCTCCAGCTAGAGACTACCTCATTGATGACTTCACGATTCTTGGCCTAAGACCGCAGGATGAAATTACTACTGAGTTGTAATGATGACAATCATTCTAGTATCGGTGTTATTATGTTAATAAAGAACTTTATAATATTTATAAACATTTAATAGTGTCAACGTGATTTTTTGTATCGTAAAAATAGTTCATACGACTGATCTGTTCGACAAAATCATCGATATACAATATAGGAATTTGTGAACATACCAAATAATTATAAAAATTAATTTTTGATAACCATATAATATTATTAATAAGAGTACTCATGTCATCTTGGTACGAATACGGAATGTGTAATCGACGCTAGTCAGCGTTGTTTAATATATAAATTATAATGAACATTTGACAATTGTAAAAAAATATTTAAAAAATTTTCAATAATTATACATACATATCGTAAAATGTTCTAAGCTTTAACATTAAAAAAAAATATTTGTGAATAAATACCGATCTACGAAGGAGTGTAGATTAGTATGTTTTTGTATACATTGCGAACATCGTGCAAAAAACTCAAATTGAGTTCGACTGTACAAAATTATGTAAATAATTAAAAAAAATAATTAAGATATAATTATACATTATTCATTTAAATATGTAATATATGCATTTATGTTTATAGATATTTGTTTTGTTTCTTTTCTTCCTCCCACTCCTTAAATTTTAATTCATTCATTGTCTAATACATCTCATTTATAATGAGAGTTTAAGTTAATACTTTCAAAACTACGCGCCTAATAAACAGGAAGTCAAATTGAGATGCGCAGTCGGCCGGAAATTGCGTGCGCACTGCTCTTATAGTTGTCTCTCTCGTCTTTTGCCGTATACCATCTTCAACAATTAAAAACTACAACTAAATTCCTTAAGTACGCACTCAATTGGATTTACCGATTGTTTCTTTATTCCAGTTTTTAAGATAATGTGTAGAATACCTGTTTCTTTATTACTCTCAGAGTTTTTGTTAGTGTTATCAAATACAAACGGCCAAGTTGTTAGCGGGGAGGCGCGAGGGACGGCCATGACAGTCGTGTAAACTACAGTGTGCTAATCTTCTTTAGTAAAATAGCGAATAAAAAGTTATTGGCAAATATTATCAATGATTGTCATATAAACAATAGCAAATAGATAGTGAGTGAATGAGTGGGCTAGATGGTGGAAACTTTAATGCGCTGGAGCGGCCATTATTGTGTAGAACCTGTTTGTGGGTACATGAGGCTGAGGTGAGAGGAGAAGAGAGAGGAATCAGGCTGAACAGAGAGGCACACAGCAAGCAGTAAGGCGATACGGCAAAGAGAGGAGCGGCGTCCTCTGCCCCTCTTACGTTGGGACGCGCCGTTGTAGCCCCGTGTGAAGCTCAGCCGTGAGACGGGCCGACAAGCGACGTACGAGAGATGCCAGAACCCCCGATGGCACCTTGCACCACGTGAGTGAGCATTCAGAATCGCAAAGTTAGCGCGTGATGTGATATTCATCCCCTGACGTTACAATTGCACTCGTCCAACACCCATAGCAACCGTCCATCTTGTTGGCCCCTTGTCCTCGTTCCACGAACCGTGATAATTGACGCGTCATACGTGCGATCAGTACGTCCTGGTGGACCGATTATTAGCACAACCGACAGCTTTTACCTTTGTGTCTACTATCATGATGGAAATTCATTAAAATTACGGATCTCTAAATTGATTGTCGGGAGTGTCGGGAGACATAAGGATTTGCTTAAATTGCGCCTTTGTCGTTATTGTAACATGGTACCCGATGACTCACCCTTTCCCGCTCTTGTTAGAAGAGAATTATTTGCTAGACTTGATTTTCCATTAAAATTATTACTCGATGATAATTATCATTGAACGGGGTTAATTGTTGGCACATTGCGATCTGTCGTCGACCTGTACAGACAGAAATCCGATTTACTTGTTTTTAGGTTAAATTACGCCGACTAATCTATACTTGCGTGGGATGGAATTATACATATCGGATTTTTTTTTATATCTGCCATTGTATTTATGATGGTTCGTCTAATGAGAATCCTTTTAAAGATTAAAATAACTTAAGTGTGTAATAATTATTCAGACTTGATGGAAATATGATTTTAAATGACATTTATATTTCATATTTTAGGATGAGTAAAAATGATAACTATTCAAAGAGATTTACGTGCATTCTTCATTGAACAAAGATGAATAGTGAACAGCATGCCCTGCCAGCGACTACGCAGGCACAGCAAGAGGTAAGGGACTGAAAATAAATTTTATTATAAGGCTACTCCCCAAACTACAAATGCGCTACCCTTTTTTTTCAATTATACCAATTAATAATTTTCAAGTTTATTCAGCCTCTCATTTATTGGTGATATGTTATTGCTTTGTTAAACTTTATTTTTTTTTTCGTATTTCTCACACTGTTGAGTACAATTTATCCATTACACAATGATTAATGTCTGTTAGAAATATCACATTTTATCTCTTTTATTCAAATATTGTGACATAAATTTTGTTTATATATATCTGTGGAAATATGTAATTTATATGGAAACACATTTTTCAAGTTTCAATGTTATTAATTGTTCAATGTTGTCAACTTAAATCTAAGCTTGAATATTTTTTTAATTATTTGATTCTTTTAGATCACTGTTTAATTTATCAATTGTCAATTTAAAAGTAAATAATAGCAAGTAGATAGCGGAATGAATGGATGTACACTTTAAATTAAAATGACGATTTTCAGCTGTTTATTTTCATTGCAAAATCGATTTTAGATGCACGTTTTAATATTTTTTGTCTTGAAGTGCTTCAAGATAGAAAGCAAAAAATATATATATATATATATATATATATATATATGAAAGACCAATGATTTTAGGAAGTTGGCGCATTTGTTGATTGGAGCTTGGCCCGTTGCATGCGCACTGCATGCTACTTCGATGTTGTACAAATGTTTGAATGTGTATTGGTAGGAAGTAAACGCGGGTCAAAGCGGTCGTCCTTCTTATCCGGGTGGTTTGGCCACCGCTACGAGTGTCGGGAATGTAGGAAGTACTGTCCCGCATTCATCCGCGGACCTGCGTGTAGGTACAGCTGTAGCATTAGCTTCCTCGGTAGCTAAGTATTGGGTCCTCACCAATCTGTTTCCTGGACCACTACCCCAGGTTTCGGTGTATCACCATCCCCACCATAATTCCTCGCACAGGAGTGGTGGAGGTGGCGAAGCGCCTTCCAAAGAGCCGGGATCTTCATTGTCCCAGGACATGGCGTTGGCTACCAATTCGCACCATCAAACAACGACTTCGCACCATCACCATCAACCTGCGGTTAGCAGCAGCGGCCATCATAGTTCCCTGCAGTCAACCGCTCAGGTTTGTTTGTGTAGATTGCACGCTTTCCTTCCTTTTTTTTTAATTGTGCTTGCACCATCAAAATCACCAATAAAAATAAGTTCATCTAATTCAGCATTTGTCCATGAACAGAATTATGAATTAATAAATAATGTAGATGAGTTCATCGCAGTAGATAGTATACATTTCTCTTCACATAATAACGTTCGTCTTAACTTTAAGTATTAGATTTTGGTTGGTCTGACATTAGACTGCAATGAACATTTTTTACATTTACTGTAACAGATCCCGGTATCTCTTCCTGGTCTCAATCTAGACGGATCTCATATACCTACGAGTCATCTACAGGCCGCTCATGCTCAGATGCAGCAACAGATGCAGTCTCAGCAGCAGATGCACCCATCTCAACAGCAACAGCAGCATCATCAGATACCAACCCATCAAAATGCCCAAAACAACGGACCAAATGCTCAAAACCCATCCGCGCAGAGGGATGACAACAAAGTGAAGGATGAAAGCGGTAGTTGCACGACCGAGCGTTGTAGTGATAGCCAAGTACACTGTCAGGTACAATGTGATCTTCAGCTTCAACAGCCACAAGATTTACAACAGAGTATGATGCAGCAGCAGCAGCAACAACAACAGCAGCAGCAACAACAGCAGCAACATCAACAGCAACAACAGCAGATTGGAGTTGGACTCGGTGGCGGCCATGGAGGTGATGGAAGCAATCAAAACAATGCAGAGAAGCCAGAAAAGGAGAAGGAATTGCGGCAGCTTAATATGACACAGTAAGATGTTCTTCATTTTCTCTAGGTAGTTGGCTGACGATAAATTATTTTTTTTTTTTTCAAGATTTCAAGTACCGGAATTAAAACCAGGTGGTCACATGATGGATGTGCGGACAGCTGATGGTTCAGTGGTTAAAATAAGTGCAGGAAACGAACAAGATCTTGCGAAAACCCTTGGCGTCGAGATGGTACAAAATATGTATAAAGTAACTATCTGAAATAATTGTTATCATCAATATCTTAATATAAAACTTTTTTGTTAATGATTTAATCTTATTTTTAAGGTTAATGTTGAGGATATTAATCAACTCCTAGCCTATCATGAGGTATTTGGGAAACTTCAAAGTGAAATAGCAGCTGGAACTACTTTAGTAGGCGGTACAGTACCTACTCAAACCGTTACCACAATACAAAATGGTACTCCCATCGTTCAACAAGTACAACTCAATAAATTTGATATAAAAACTAGTGATGGTGAAGCAACCCCTGGACCAAGTGCTTCGCCCGTATCTGTTGGTAGTCATGCATGTGAAGTTTGCGGAAAAATTTTTCAGTTTCGCTATCAACTAATTGTGCATCGACGTTATCATACGGAAAGAAAGCCATTTACGTGCCAAGTTTGTGGTAAAGCTTTCTCCAACGCAAATGATTTAACACGTCATGGAAAATGTCATCTCGGTGGTTCAATGTTCACCTGTGCCGTTTGTTTTCATGTATTTGCCAATGCACCATCTCTTGAACGTCATATGAAGCGTCATGCTACTGATAAACCATATAATTGCACTGTTTGTGGTAAAAGTTTTGCTAGAAAAGAACATTTGGATAATCATACCCGATGCCATACGGGTGAAACTCCATATAGGTATAAATATTTTCCATTAATATTGATGAATCAAATTTAACATAGCGAGAATTTAATAAATATTTTTGATTTTTTATTAGATGTCAATATTGCGCGAAAACATTTACACGCAAGGAACATATGGTAAACCATGTTAGAAAACATACGGGTGAAACACCACATCGCTGCGATATTTGTAAAAAAAGTTTTACTCGTAAGGAACACTTTATGAACCATGTTATGTGGCATACTGGAGAAACACCACATCATTGTCAGGTCTGTGGCAAAAAATATACGCGCAAAGAACACTTGGCTAATCATATGCGCTCACACACCAATGACACGCCTTTTCGCTGTGAGATTTGTGGTAAGTGGTAATAATTATGCGCTCGTAACTTTTTATACAAACGATAAACAGCAATCTCTTATACTCAAACTGATTTCTATGACTTGAATAAGTGACACAATGTCAGAAAAAAAGTTTTTTGTTACTCTTGTTTGAAAATACAAAAAACAAATTAATGCAAAGCTTTGTTGTTACGAACAAAACATGAACATTAAAAGTTTTTACTTTATTGCCGTATAGATACTATAAAAACTGAGAATAATGATATTTTAAACCCATTAAATTTATTTAAAAAAAAATACACAGGCGTTTATTGATAAACTTTTTAGAAATTATTTCATTAATTTCTATTGAATTTATGATTGGATAAAAATTATCTTAAAATTTTCAGTGCGAAAAACTTCTTAATTTTATCAAAAAATTATTCTGATGAGTAATATATTATCAAGAGAATAAAAATATATTCAAGTTTTTTACTGATAGTATCAGAGAAATCGATGTTAAATACGTTTACTTTTTTTGCAGTAACCATGATCTTTCGCTTTGTATGAACCATACAAATTGAGCATGTAGACCATTTTTTTCTCATTATCCGACAGAAAACTAATTTTACCCCCTTTTTTTCAAAGTATATTGATTTTGCATATACTAGGTAGTTTATTTTCGTTCCTTTTATAGGTTTGAAAGGCTTGTCCTTGTTACTAAGTCATTTTAAAAAAGCTGGCTTTACGAATTTAAATTCATATTTTATGCTTAGTTTTTTTTATCTTTTCTCTATCTTATATTTTTGCTGCCGTATTTTTTTTTAAGATTTGTTAATTTTTACTATGGTTGACTAACATTTTTGTTCTCTCTACTTTTCCGAAATGTTTTTCTTCTTTCTCTGCTGTATAATGAGAAGTCTTTGTTCTAATCTTAAATAACTAATGTTGAAGCTAGAAATTTACGTTGTATTTTTCATTTTTTCTTTTTTTGCAAAAACAGGTAAGTCATTTACAAGGAAGGAGCACTTCACGAACCATATAATGTGGCATACGGGTGAAACTCCTCATCGTTGTGACTTTTGTTCGAAGACATTCACACGAAAAGAGCATCTTTTGAATCATGTACGGCAGCATACAGGCGAGTCTCCTCATCGATGTGGCTTCTGCTCTAAATCCTTTACTAGAAAAGAACATCTTGTAAACCACATTCGTCAACATACCGGTAAGAATAATTTACTGAATAGTTTTGAATTTATTTACAATTTTATAATTTTTTTTACTTTTATTTAAATTTGAATTTAATTTATACAGGTGAAACGCCTTTCCGATGTCAATATTGTCCGAAAGCGTTCACACGAAAAGATCATTTGGTGAATCACGTTAGACAACATACGGGTGAGTCCCCGCACAAGTGCCAGTATTGCACGAAATCGTTCACACGGAAGGAACATTTGACAAATCACGTACGTCAACATACAGGCGAGTCGCCCCATCGATGCCACTTCTGTTCCAAGTCTTTTACACGTAAAGAACATCTGACAAATCATGTGCGAATTCATACTGGCGAGTCTCCTCATAGATGTGAATTTTGTCAAAGAACATTCACGAGAAAAGAGCATCTTAATAATCACCTTCGACAACATACCGGAGATTCTTCACATTGTTGCAACGTTTGCTCCAAGCCATTTACTAGAAAGGTAAGTGATTTGTTTGACGTTTTAAATAGTACACAATTATCTATTTTTATTTAATAGAATTTGTTCTGTGTAGTTCGTAAAAATTTTTAAAGTAGAAAATTTACTAACAAATAAACTATGCTGCAAAAGTAATAAATTCAAAGCTTAGAGAAGAAATTTATTTGCATGATAATGCAAATTCCTTCTATGATGAAATTTTATTTGAAAAATTTGCTTTCAGGAGCACCTTGTGAATCATATGCGTTGTCATACTGGAGAAAGACCATTTGTTTGTACTGAATGCGGCAAGAGTTTCCCATTGAAAGGAAATTTACTGTTCCATATGCGTTCTCATAATAAGGGAAGCAATGCTGAGAGACCATTCCGCTGTGATCTCTGTCCTAAGGATTTCATGTGTAAAGGGCATCTGGTGTCTCATCGACGTTCTCATTCTGATGAACGACCACATCGTTGTTCGGAATGTGGAAAAACTTTCGTCGAAAAGGGTAACATGTTAAGACACTTGAGAAAACATGCAGCAGAAGGTCCACCAACTCAAGTTAGTACGCCTTCGGCAATTCCTCAACCAGGAGTACTTCCGATACCAACAGCAGCAGCAGCAGTTCTAGTGGGTCATCCATTAGCACCGTCAGCACCGTCAGTTGTGCCACAGCATACAGTCGTTGTTCCTACACCACCAGGTGTTTTAACATCTTATTGAATGGACCAAATGAACGGCAGAGATTACCATTAATTTTATCTATGGAAATTTTCTACAAACTTGCAAGAGAGTGCTCTAGAAAAATTTGTGAATAATTTTATGGCTTGTCCACACGTTAGTTGATAGAATATATCGTGTTGAAAATGCTATAATTGTTATAGATTAAACATTAAAAAAATCAACAATAACAAATGGGTTTAAAACCGAGGAAAAATAATTTCACGGAATGTTTATTCAAATTCATATAAAGGAATTTATACTTTGATAATTTTTCCAATTACTTTTTAGATTACATTTTTCATAAATGATTATGAAATCGAAATTTTGTTTTTCTCTAAAAGAATAATGCAAGAAGTAGGAAGAAAGAAAGAATATTATGGTTAATTCGTTTTGTTTTTCCTTTATTTTTTTTATTAGAATAGTTTTACAAATATAGAGAGATTATTTCAAGGTGTAGATAGAAGTATATCAGTTGTCAGACGAGAAATTCAATTTAAAGCAAAAATCAGCTGTAAATGATTTTAGCTATTACATCCGAGTGCAATATAATTCGGCTGCTTTTGTGTGTACCAAGGTAGTTGCAAAGTCATCAAGAAAATTTCAATTTTTGAGTTATAAACAATACGCCAAGTAGTGAAGAAGAACAGAATTAGTTGATTTAGATATATTTGTTATCCTTTTATTAACATTTATTCGATATCTAGCGTGTTTTTATATTTATAAAAGAGTCAGTACAATGTTATTTTTTATTATATTTTTTATTATTTTTCAATTTCATATATGTCAGTATTGTTTTTTCATAAAAGAAAATCAATCTGTTCAGAATTTATTTTCAAAAATTACCGAAAATAATAACAAAGTTAAACTAACTTTTTTATGAATATTCGAAACCTTCTAGATACTTTACTATGTAAAAATATACAGAAATTATATTTAATTTGATATGTTGGTGTAATCAAATATTTCATGGTGACAAAATTTCATGTTATTATCTAGACATTATGTAAAGTCATGTACTTTATATTAGAGGTTGAGGTGGATTATAATATAATCAAACAAGCATATATTTTGCCTGGCAATTAAACAGTCGTCATAAAAAAAAAACCTTATAAGAAAGTTAGAAGTTTTTTTTTAATGTGATGCAAAGGGAAGTTTAATAAGGTGATAATTTACGTTGCCGGGTATGTCAAAGTTGCATATATCATCTAAATAATAACTATAAAATGGAATGTAGAGTGTATATATATATAAATGTTTATATATACGCACCAACGCACGATTCAATTCGAATACGAAAATCAAAGAATTTAAAGTTGTGTGTGATTTCTCATGGGCCTGAATTTAATTTAGAACTCTGTAGATTCGTATAAATTATAAATAATTAGTGTGTCTGAGCAATATAATGTATCAACACGTACTAACTAAATAACCAAATACATTTTGTTTGTAAAGAATTAAACGCCATACCGCGATGGAAAATGAGCTACAAGATATTGTTAACAGGTATCGATATAATGAGTTTGATATACAAATACAAGTTATGTATACAAACTAAATAAGTACTGATGGATATACACGTTGTATATATGCAATAAACATATTGCGAGTATGATGCGATTAATGGGTGATGCAGAGTTCATAAGAATGGACATTTAAAATACAAACTTATTCAGTCATATGTCTCGTCACCTACAAATTTTATTTCTCTTATCTTCTGACCTCTTAGATTTTAATTATCTATGAAATAAGATAATATAAATAAAAAACGAATAGAAGTAATGTTTATATGAATCAATAATATTAACATGTTATAAAAAGCATGAAAAAAAGTTAATTTTTATTCTTAGAATTGAGGTTTGTTTAGACCTTCGAAAAGAATAGTATAAAAGAGTTTAAATATAATGAAACAAACTTCGAATTTTTGATTAATTTCATAATAAAGCGAGTCATTTTTAAAATTTTTCCTATTAATTATCTTTGTTGTTTTTGTTTCGAATATTTTTCTACCAGAGATTTTAAAATCAATGGAGTGAGACTTGGGTTTGAAAATAAAGAGGCAATGGAGATGATTAAATTGGAGTAAAAAAAAATTATAAATTCAAATTATGATTTACTCTTAGATAGAGCGAGAAATAAAATATGTATAGAATTTTATTATGCACCACTGTAATATTATGTATCCCAAACTGTGACACAATATACACTGGTGTTATGTTAACTGTGAGAATGTCGTGTAATATGTTGCATTATTTCCTTAATACATGAAATAAAATAATAACAAAATTTCATAAATAGTGTTACATAAACATCAAAATATTATTATATACAATAAATTAGTACCATAGTATCCTTTCAATCCTATATTATATTTGTTATTAATTTATAAATTTTCGAACTAAATGGGATAACAAAACTTTTGTCTTATGTTTGAATAATAATTAAATTACAATTTTGAATTACCAAAATTAGAAAATGACTTCGAAAGGGTTAATGAAATTTTTGAAGGAAGTATTATTTTCTTTGATATATTAAAAATAATTATTTACTAAAAAAAGAATATTTGGTCTATGCATTATATTAAAAATTTTTATTTTTATTTAAAAATTTCTTTTGATACAAAAAAGGAAAATTATATTTGTTGATAATGCAGATTCGATTTTAAAAATATAACCTCAGAGCCACCTTCTGATAAGGTAGTGAAATTTCACCAATATCCGCTTCGTGTCTCTCATACCCGGCTATTTGACCTAACCAAAACTTAAACCGTTCTCTTCTCTGTTCTTAAATCGATCATCTTGTTCGTTATCGAGCGATTTCGATGAAGACAAATTCGTTTGGTCAATTAGCTAATTGGAGTAATATAAACAATTAGCAAATGAAATCAAGTGCTGTGAATATCAATAAATTAAGTATTATCAGTTATAAAAATAAAGTGTGTTTATGCTGTTTATAATCTTATTTTGATAACAAAAACAAAAAAAGGATAAGATTTGGAGGGGGTTACTAAAGCAATTTCGAAGCTTGTACTTTGAGTATGTTATAGTGAAAAAAATTGAACATTTGTTATTGTAAAAAACAAGTATTGATTTTTATAAAAACTAGTTAAAAATATTTATGATAAAAACAAGAATATCATGCAACAATGCATATAATTTTTTATTTGTTTGGTAATTTATACTTGTTCTATAATGTCTCAAGCTATCGGCGTATCGAATTCTTGACACAAGATAATTAAAATATTATAAACATTTCTCAAGTACATGAAGGTAATTAAATAAGTTAATAACTGATGATTAAGTATCTGTTTATAAATTTTTAATCAACTTGATTATTTTTATATTCGTGCTAGAAGATATTAATTAATTGATGAATTATTCATTCGATTTGTTTTATTTTTAAAGATGTATGCACTTCCTATTCGATCGGCTTGTCCTGGAGAGGACAAGGATCCCGAGCCAATACAAAAACGTCAAGAAGTGTCACGACCACTCCTCCAAGATTATAGTAATTTTGATATCGTTAAAGCAACACAGGTATGAATATTAAGTTTTTATGAAGTACTGAAATTTTATGTAAAGACTTGCATAAAAAACTTGTTTTCTACTGAAGAAAAAATAAAATGTTGAGTCGACGAATTCATTGCTCTAAATTTAAAGTACTTGAATAATTTATTCTTTATTGGATTCTGGTATTGCATTATTAATTTAATGAATATTATATTTTTTCTAGTATGGCGCATTAGAAAGAGTGACCGAACTTGTAGAAGCCGGAGCCGATGTAAATCAACCTGATTCAGAAACAGTAACACTTCTGCACTGGGCTGCAATCAATAATCGTACAGAGATTGTCAAGTATTTAATAGCAAAAGGAGCTAATGTTGATGCTATTGGTGGAGAATTAGCATCAACTCCACTTCACTGGGCAACAAGGCAAGGTCATTTATCAACCTTTGCCATTTTGATGAGAGCTGGTGCTGATCCAACTCTTAGAGACTCAGAAGGTTTCGCCTGTATCCATTTAGCTGCACAATTCGGTCATACTGGAATAGTTGCTTATTTAGTAGCAAAAGGAATTAATCCTAATGATCCTGATAGAAGTTCTATGACTCCATTAATGTGGAGTGCATTCAAAGTCAATCGGTAATAAAATTTTATTCTTTTAAATAGTTAACTATTAAAATGACTGTAAATGAATAATAATAACTCGAGATGTAGTCAAAATTACAATTGTTTCTTCAGCTTAGATCCTACAAGACTTCTCCTAGTGTTGGGTGCCAGTCATTCTTTAACAGATATTATTCATGGAAATACTGCGTTACATTGGGCTATCATAGCTAAAAATAACACGGCAATCCATACATTAATTACTCATGGTGCATCACTGGATGTACCGAATTCTCAACATGAAACACCAATGACATTATTACGTCCACATATTGGTGCTGAGTGGTTAGGGCCAACAATTAGTCAAGAAATAAGAGAACGATTAGGAAGAACTAGAGCTTGGTGTAGAGATAAGGTAAAGAATAAGTTTTTTTTTTACAATAAAAAATTATATTTGATATTTTAATTTCATATCATGAATTTTTTCAGCGAATAAGGTGGTATTGTATGGTTAGCACGCCTTTTATAGTGTTTTATTTAATTGGTATGATTTTCCAAAGCAATCTGGATTATCTGATAAAATTAGGTGCCTTTTTAATTCTTTACATTGCGGTTTACCTCGCTAAGAATTACCTCTTTGACGACAGATTATTTCACATTCTTCCTATGTCTATTTACTTAGCTACCAAGGTAAAGTATAATTATATTTTATTAGTTAATTTGCATAAAGAAGCTTTATGTATGTTATAAATAGTATTAATTTATTTTATTCCATTTTTAGATGTGGATTTATGTAACCTGGATTTTTTGGCTAGGAATTCATGCTGCTTGGTACCTTTGGTTACTTATTGTTGTAGGTTCAGTACCACTATGGATATGTTTTTTGCGCTCTTGGCGAGGTGATCCAGGTATTATATCAGCTACTCACGAAGATAAACTAAACGTAAGTTTATAATAATTATAACAAGATAATATTCTATAAACTTTAGACTCTAAATTAAGAAAAATATTTTCATTTTTAGACCATTGTTGAATTAGCAGAAACTGGAGGTTTTGAACCTCACGGGTTTTGTACTAGTTGTTTAGTAAGACGACCAATAAGATCGAAACATTGTTCAACTTGTGATCGTTGTGTTGCTCGATTCGATCATCATTGTCCTTGGATAAATAATTGCATCGGGGCACATAATCATAAATACTTTTTAGGATTTCTTATTTCACTTCTTGGTTTATGTATTGTCGTACTTTCTGCAAGTGTTCAATACTGGCAATTTGAATGCTGGTCTAATTTAACCGATGAACATAAAGGAGATAATTACTTTGTAGTGACAGCAAAATGCGATGCCTGGGTGATGTGGGTCGCTGCGAATACGGGTCTTCATGCATTATGGGTTGGAGCTCTTTTGTTATGTCAACTATATCAGATTATGGTTTTAGGTATGACAACAAATGAACGAATGAATGCGGGTCGTTATGAACATTTTAAACACGGTAATCCTTTTCATCGTGGCGCATTACAAAATATTGCAGATTTTTGTAATTTAAATTTTTGTGGAATTAAAGCTAGACCAAGTTCCGATTGGCTTCATAGTTTTGAGATAAAACAGAGCGTGGAAAAATTGCCGCTACTTAATGCTAAAGATCCTTTTCAATACGTATAAAAAATTAAATTTTGTGATAAAAACAATTCATTTTTTGTGGAATTTATTGAATTTTTTACATTTCTTTTTGTTTTGATTCTTCTTAGAAACGTGAATATTTTTATTCTGAATAGTGTGATTGATTTTTTCTCCGATAACGGATTTGTTATTTAGATAAGTTAACTAAATTACATAAATCATGGAAAAAAATATTTTATCTCTTTCCATATCCATGACTAGACGTATTTATTATTGTCTGTGTTACCAAAGAATTTAGTTCCTAAAAATATATCAATTTAATTATTACTAAATAAAAAACTTAACATGCAACAAAAACAATAATGAATCAATTATCGCTGAGAATAAATTAAAAATAATTATTGATCAATTAAATAGAAATGAAATTCTTTCATATTATGAAATAAAATACTAAACCATATCGTTCTCTTCTTGTTAGATAAAAAATCGATAAAACATAGACGAATATCTAATTACATCATTAAGCATTTAATCAAAATAAGGAGATATTTTTAATTTCCCTTGCATGTACAAATAAAAAACTAATTTTAATTTAGAAAAATACTCATTTATCGATGCATTAATTTATTTTGTGTATGATTATGTAAGATACGTAAGTTGTACATAAATCATGACTCCATGATCTGTAATGTATTTATAAAATTTAATTTTAATTCTAAAAATTAAAACTTTTTTTATACTTGTGTGATTTGGCCCCATTATTTTTAAAAAATATTGTCGATATTTAGTTTGCGCACAATGAAATGTAAAATGCAAAAGGACTGAAAAAATTTTTATGTACAAAAGAATTAGAAAAAGAAACTACTTAACATTCCAGATTCATGACCCTTATTAGTTAATTAGAAAATTAAATCAATGAATATAATAAAATTATGATACATACATCACTAATTATAATCTATATCAACGAATAAACATAATTTTATACTGTAAAAAAAATTATTTAAGGAATCAATAAGAAAAAAATTATGGAAAAAAATCGCCTGATTGTGGCTTTTATGAAATGAATAGATAATGCGTTTACTGTGAAACTATTTTCCATTATAAATATTACTGCTATAAAATATTATAAAATGAATAATGTACTTTAGTGTATCAATCTTGTATGATTAAATGATTGATGTTTCATAATTAACTTTTAATTATTGTATAATAAATAAAATAATATGGAGTTCAAAGAATTATCTTGAAAAATAATTATTAAGAAACATAAAACATGGCTTAAAAATTTGAGCAAGTTATTTTTATTAATGTATTTTTAAGTTTTTCATTCATGATTTCTCTTTGAATAATGATAATTATTATTATACAATTAACGCGAAGCTAAATAAATGTAGGATTTACAAATGAAATAAGAGTCTGATTTTTTAATTATATGCATTAATCTTAAATTGATTATTAAATAGAGGCAAATAAATATAATCGTTCAATATAATTGGACAACATTCTTTACATGTATTAATTAATAAATAATTTCAAAAATTAAAATAAAGATTGAATTCTACTTTAAAAAAAACTCGACAATGTGTTTCTTTTCAAAAATTATTTCAGGATTTTTGACAGGATTATAGATAGGTTTTTTCAAAATGAAAAACTGACAATTTTCAGCAACATTTCAATAACGCCAGGTATAATATATTTACTTTAATTAGTTCTAAATTTTAATATTTCATCTTGTTTACAGTTTTTCTCTCTATAGTATATTTTTGATAGCGATTTATCTTCAAAAGTAACCAATAATTAACCACTCTTTAAAATTTTTGACGTCTTTATTTTTATTGTTTTAAATTTAATTTTATTTATTCATGATTTTCTCACTTTTTTTTTCTTACTTTTTAGCACTTATTTTATCACGATTTAATAAATTATTTACAATCTCACAAACAACAAATGAAGAAAACTAATTTACAATAATTATTTTTTTCCACACTTGCGTCAACTATGTACAGGTACTACTTTTTTCTTCCTTAGCCATCATTTCAATAGATTTTTTATTTTTATAGTTTTTCTTGTTTATCTTTTGCATAATCATGTTTACTAAATATTTTATTTATACATTTATTGTGTCGATTTTTTTTTCATCAATTTTTAACGTATTTTTGTTTATTCATAAATAGATTCTGACAATATTTTTCGTTGATCTGCACGAAATATTATGATATTTCGGACAGCTTTGACACGATGGTAACTAGAATAATTTACACGTTAATTCTTACAAAAAAAAAATTATAAATATTGATAATTATAATAGTAATAAAATTATCAACAATAAACAATCCACGTGAAGATTTTCTTAAGTTTGACATTGCAGGTTTGTACGAAAACTTTATAACGATTTTTTGTTTTTAAGTGGCTGCAATTGGAGGGTCTTGAATTATCGTGCTCTGAGAAGATGCGGATGTTGAATCACCTTTTAGATTTTTAATTAATAAAATATTGATATATATCAGATTAACACGAAAATGAAATAATTGATACTTACCATTACCCAGAAGAGCGGCTTCCAAATCGTCAAGGATTTCCGTCTCTTTAGGGTCAATAAGGTTAAAACGTTGATTAAGAAGGGTGAGGTGAGCAAAAACACAATTGAGGTGAGCATGCAACCCCAAAAGTGCCACCTCTCTGAAGTGGCAGTGATAAATATGTGCCACTACATGGTACAGTAGCCGCAGGATTTTTCGTACTATTGACTCGAATGAGCTAGGAAATTCATTTGCTAAAAAATTAAATATAAAATTTATATATAAAGAAGATAAATGAATAAATGTGTTATTTAAAATTAAATTCATCAATTACCATATTTTGTAGGAAATATCGTTTCATCACTGACCGTACGTTGAGTGAATGTCATTACATAATCTACATATTGTGGCGCAGCCACCCTAGTTTTTTTCCCTTTTTCATCAAACCACAGATAAGTTCTATCATAAAAAGAGTTGTTTTCCATTTAAATTTAACAGTTATACAATATTGTAGAATATTTATTGCAAATTATATTTTTAATGGAGTCATTAAAAAAAATGAGATAGTTTGTTTACCTCAATCCAGGTCCAGTCATATCAGGACAACCAGTAGGGGTACAAAATTCTGAGATAGTTCCATAAATGAGGTTTATATGATCGAATAGTGCCAATGTGTGGGAAGCAAGCCATTCGTTGTAGTCCAAACCTGGTGGTAGATCCACCAGCATTCTGAGGTCCACCTCTGGGAGCTGTCGCTCAAGGGCTGCTTCTTCCAGATAGAGTTTGGGATCTTCAGTAGTTCCGGCATCTTTCTCCTTCCGTCGGGCTTTTCTATAAAGATCCACGTCACTCAGAAAATCTACATCGACAAACACAATTGGAAGACGAATGACAAGAGTTGGCCATGGAGATTAGGAAAAGTATTAAAAGAGTAGGAGCAAAAGATTTATTGTAAGAAAAGAAAGAAAGAAAGAAAGAATAACAGAGGGTATCTAGGATAATTCATGTTCTGATGATAAGAAATTGATGAGTAAGTTTTGCTGAGGTTAAAGCATGATTTTTATTTAAAAATCTGTTCAATAAGTACATGTAGTTATGTTAATGATGTCTTAAAGTCACCATGTTGATGTGTTTATAAAATTAAGTAGACGTCAGTAATATAACAGAGTAAGGCTATCATTGTTTTTATTACAGTCATTTACTATCACATATCCGACACTCTGTCTGCTTTAAACAAACTAAACTCTGATTCAGCTGGTTATAGGACAGTAGTCAGCTGACTCAATGACACTGTAGCTTTTAATTATGATAATACAAGTACGATAAAATATAAAATTGGCAGTTCCAAAAATAGATTATTACTATTTTTAGCAAAACAAAAGTTAATAAATAAAATATTAATTTAATTAATATTTTTAATATTATCAAAAACTGACCTGCAAAAACAAGTGACTGTGTCTTCAACATCCAAAGTAAGAGGATTATTAATTGCAGAATATTTCAACAACTTTCTACCTCCAAAATGACTAAGACTAAACATCTTATGAAGGTTCAAGATAAAAATTTAATATGAAGTGAGAAAAAATATACTCTTGACAGGTAATGGATTCTAAAAAGTACAAATGGCATGAAAAAACAGAAAATTGTGTGATGGATTTTTTTAAACTTCTGAGAATTCTTTTACCCAACTGAACTATAATATAATTAGTAAAAACGTAAGAAAATGAAGCCGAATAAATACTAGGAATGGATGCCACGTCGTTATAACCTATCTAATATGATAAACGACCCAAGTCTAGTATATAAAAATATTATATGAATCTAAAACTGATAATGTTCTTATATTATATTTCAGATGATACATAATGATAAGGTTTTATCTGATAAAGTCATTCATTTTAATTCCAACATGAAGTTAGTGATTAACTGATTAATTTTATTTCAGGTTTTTTACACTAATGACGTAAAAATGTATACATATCGTTGATCCGTTCTGTTATATGTACATATGTATTGAATGTGAAATATTGTGGTTCGAGAGCGTTCGTAACACTTTTTGAGGATCGATAGACAAGCTCTTGAAAAGTAAAAGATGTTAGTACAAATATTAAATGCTAAAGATATTATATACTTTTTCAATATATTTCATATAGACTAATGGTAACAAGTTTGAGTTATTTTTATCATCACTATTTTTCATTTTTATTTAAAGAAAAAACAAAGTTCATCCACTATTCATTTTAGACCAACATATATATACATACAGTATACAGATACTTTATATGTATATGTTGATTTGGTTTTCAAATTTTGTTTTAAATTAAGAATTATAAATTAAACTTCAAATCCAATTAGAGCGTAATATTATTATCATTAGACCTTTTCTTTTTAATCAGAAACAAAAAAGAAATTAATTTAGGGAAAAGAAAATTTAATTACTTGAGTTAGATCAAAATCTTTCGATAATCAAACATTTGTTTATTAAACTAAGTGACATTGTAAGAATAAATTTGATTATTTGATCATGATTATTTTTTCTATAATTAAAACAGTAGATAATCTAAAAAATAAACTAGAACAATACTAATTTTAGAACATTTACAATCTCAACAATGACAAGTCTTTTTGAGACTTTTTTTCATAGTTCAGTATCAAATCAAGGACACAATTAGCTTTATTTATTGCCGATAAAGTTTTTTATATTATCCGAGAAGAGAACAAAGTAATTTTATTAGAAGATTTAAATGAAGAATTTTAATTAAAATATGATGGGAAAAATATGTAAATACTCACCCCATAAACCAGTCCACGGTATCGCGGAGATACTCGGGTAACCTATCCAGCTTGGATGATTTTCAATTGTAAACTATCTGCCGGTTGACTCCAGTTATTCAAACCGGTAATTATACAATCCAAAACTCCAGAAATGGAACTTAATTCCAAAATCAACGTTTAACAAATGATTTTGTAAAATCTAACATGGCGAAGTTTTCTATTGTCACCTGTTTCTGCAGTACTACACTTTTCTCGTTGTACGGCAGTCAAAATTAAAGAATAACACAGATATTTTAAAGATCAAAAAGAAGACAAAAGTTATGTCGAAATAAAATGAAACAACTTATACAGATAAAACGATGAATCCAAAGTTTTTTATCTTATTTTTCTTCACCGGTTTCTTCTATAGTTGTTATCAAATTTCTATTATGTACATGACAACAATTTTCTTTTATATTTCATTAGCTCAATTTTTTTAGTCTTTTTTAAAAATATGTCACACACTGAAGCTGATCAAAAGCAGTAATCTTGGACGACAGCTGATCGTTCTCCGTTTAATTCATTCTGAGTCATTCTGTACCCAATTATTATAGTTCATAAATTAAACGTAAGGAACGCCACGTGCTAGAGTCACAAATACCACAAAATTATGAATTCAAATTTAATAACATTTATTTATGAATTATTAAAATATTAATACGTTTGTTAGTAAACATATTTCAATTTACAAATGAATGTAAATAAATGTTGATAAATACATTAACATTATTTTGTAATTTAATTAACGATAACATTCAAGGACACGATGATTAACATTAACATCCACAAGATGGCATTACGCTATTATTATTTTTAACAAAAAATTCTACTTTATCGGTAGTCAGTGAAAGTGCAAAAAAAATTCAAATCAATCTTTCGCTCCTACAATAATTATATTCAAATTATAAATCCAACATATCGTTAATTTATCACAAATAATTCCGGATGATGATTGGAAATATTTAATTATCGCAGATTAATAAAGAAATTTATGACATTTATTTCTAAGATCATTGTGTTCATATAATCATGTGAGAAGAATAAAAAAAGACCATTCAAAGGTTTGTAAAAAATAACTTTATGTTTAGACTACACAACCATCAGAAATTTTTCGATATTTGATGATGATCAAATCATAAAAGTATTCAAATGTTTATCTTCTAGAGTCTATTTACTATTATAGTTCCTAGAAAATTTTTCTATTTTTAAATGAATATAGATATAGAATATCTATTTACGAATCAAACAATTCAACATAAAAGAACCTTCACGTTAAAAAAAATAATTCTGAAAACAAATTAAATATCTATCACAGTAACATCAAATGTTTGAAACATGAAACTTTAAAAAAATCTGATTAAAGAATCAAGTTAAAACGAAATGTGAATTAAAGCGGTAATTTGATATGATCAAAGTTTTTTAATTGTCATTAGCTGTCGTATAAATGAAATATTTCGTACAACTATGATATTTTTTTTTCTTAGACATGAATAATATTTATTCAATACAAAAATTGAAACAATTGAAATAATTGTGCATAATTGATTCTCACGAATGTAATAATAATTTATTTTATTTTATTTGTTTTACATTTACGTTACTGAACTGTCGTGCTTTTACAATTTTTTCTCTTTTATGAAAACATTGTAAAAAATTCGATAACAACAAAGCTATCTTTTTTTGTTCTTTTTAATAAAACGACGTAAAGAATGTTACTGTTAAATTCCAACCTTTTAGTTTAATATCAATCTTTTTGTATAATATCAACGCATTTCATTGATCAAAAAATAAAATTTTTTCAACGAGATTAACCTGAGGGAAATTTATTTCTACAAGTGCAAATATTTTTTCAAAAGTTTCTTTAAATTAGGAAAAAAATACTTTTGCTAATATATTTAGAATGAATTAAATTATCTTATCAATTTTATGTACCTTGAAGCTAATTATAAAATAAATTTTTATAAGAAAAAGAAAAAAAAAACTTTTAATAATAGAACTTTTTCGAGATAGTTAATGAAAATTTCATATTGAATCTCTCAGTGCAAGCCAATTATTGAAAGTTTTATAAAACTCTTTAATACTTTCAACATTTATGGTTCCATTAAATCCGAAAGAAAAAAAGGGAATAACATATTCATGGTTTTATAAAAAAAATTAAACATTATTTCGAAGAATTTAATAATTATTTTAACTTTATCACAATTTTTGAATATTTATTATTTTCCCAGTGGGAAGTTAATTTATTTTTATTACGACCCACATATTTTGATATTCAAATAGTCTAATTAATTAAAAAAATTAATTGTATTGCCAAATTACTCTTTGAACAATACAGTAAATTATTTAGTTGAATTGAAATTATTTAAATACAGAAACAAACTACAAATATTTCTCTAAATTTATCTAGATAAAAGTACTAAATGATTTTATGAAATATATTATTTTCAACATAAAACATATTAAGCTGTACGTTGATGTGGAAAATAAATTAGCTATAAATCGAAATCAGTGAAACTTGGCGAATAAATAAAACAAACAAAAGCAGTAAATTTACACGGTTATCAGCTTATTCATTAATCAATGTAATAACAATAAATCACGCAGAGAAGATGATATATCTCAACAGTATATTCACTTAAATGACATTTAGTGTGAAAACTGAATGCTATTAATGAATGAAATGAAGTTGATACAGAGTCATTGAGTTGGATAATGACTATATGTAGGAGTTGTATCGATATAATACATTTACTCTCTAGTAATATCTACTAGTTTTAAAACTAAAAATAGAATAACCTTGTAGTTTGGAGCACATTCCAGGGCGTTTAAAGACTTCGATCTTCGGAAAGTTTACTCCACCAAAATAATTCACATTTTCTAGCCATCATCTGCTTAATTGATTATTTAACTACAATCAAAAACATTTTTCTAGCATTTTCGTCATGCTTCTCTCCCTTGGATCTCCTTCAGTAATTTATTCAAATAGGCTGCGAAGGAACAGCAATAAAATAATGGACAATCTTAGTTGGATCGACAGCTTCTGAAAAACGACTGAATATATGTATATGTATGTCTTTTATGGTTCAAATAACATTGAAATGACTATGCGTAAAATATGGGTATTTGAAGGGAGGAAAATGGATGAAATCAAGGACAAAAACTAAAGGGAGAAAAGACGTAGTTAAAGATGAGAGAATCAATATTTAAGAAATTGATATAAGCGTTAAATCCGTTTTAATCCATTAAGAAAAGTATAAATGCTGTGAAGAAAAACAATTTTCATGCAGCATTAACGAATATCCTGAATTACATTTACTAAGTAAAAGAATAACTATGTTATTAATGGTATATTCACCTTTTTCAATTTACACATTTCTGCAATAAAATAAAACGATGAGTTTAAACATAAAAGTTATTATGGAAATAAAAATGCCAGACAATTGTTTGGAATAATTTTATAAACTATTTGATTAGCATAATAATACTAACACCAAAGTAATTTAAACAATGAATGAGCTTTACTAAGTCAATGAGATCCTGAACTATCAAGTAGATATTAACTGATGAATTATTTGAATAAAAGCTATTTTTTCCTGGTCTATTATTAGTAGAATAAATAATTCAATTACATTGAAATTTTAGTAGTGATGTGTTTTCCTGATAATTGAAAAGAATTTCTGACATTTTTTTTATCCCTCGATAACTTTTATTAATATTAAAAATATTTCTAAATCATTTATTTATCATTTTTAATAAGTGATTAGATTTTTTAGCGAAAAAGATACAAAAGCTTTTGAGCAAAGCTTAGTAAATTTAATATGATGCAATGAGATTTTATACTTAAGTGGTACATTGTTTACAGTTATGTAAATACATCTTGTAATTAAGTTGTAAAACAGAATCGAACCGACTGAAACCTTACAAGTGCAAATAAATATTATTTAAAGTCATTAACTACTAAAATAATACATAAATCGATGGTATAATTCTTTATAAGAAATATTGATGATGTTTAAATATATATTATTTATTTTTATATACAGTGGAATTAAAGATATTGTACCTTCTTTAATACACCTAAATATTAAATCAACATTCATAAATGTATATGTATATTTAATAACAATAATGCATTTAAATTCCACTTATTTTATTTAATATTAAGCTAAATTCATTATTATATTAGGATATGATAGTATTTACACATTTACAGGAATGAGTCATTTTTTATAGTGTTAAAAAATGATATAATAGGAACTTAAAATAATAACAAAAATGTTTTTTACTTGTTTAGGTAAAAAAATGTAAAAAATATTCAATAATTCATCATAAAAATATAAAATACAACCATATGTTTTTGAGTGAATCTTCCGATTAGATTTTTTTATTTGACTTAAGAGCTCTCGGAGTTTCTTCTTCGTCTGCCAAGATATCTGGGAACATAATTATTTCTTAAGATTCTTCTTAAGCATATCAGGTGTCATGCTATTATCTAAATTTCAATTCATCACATTACCTTGTGACATTCTTCAGACATTTTCGTAAAAGTTGATCAAGGCATCTTCTAAATGTTATACCACACATAGCGTACAGTAGAAAATTTATGCTAAAGTTGGTGTAGTAGAGGAGCATAAAAAATTGCTGAAGACACCATAACAATGCAGGTCGGTCTCGTCTAGCCAAAGCGAAGAAAAAGATGCAGAGACGAATAGCATAGCTGAAAAAAATTTTAAATTGTGTATTTATATTGTTATAGAGGTGTAATATTTTTTTTTTGAAAAAGTAAATCAGACAACTTCCTCAAGGGAAAAACCAATTTCAACAAAAAAATTTTTTGTTATTGATTTTTGTATTTTAAACAAGGACCATTTCGCCCCAGGGGTTGTCTTACTCTGAAATTTTTTTGTACAGCTGCGTGAAAAGTTTTTGTTTCAGTATCATCCAATAACGAAACACTTGGGCAGTTGTAAATTTTTTCAATATTCGCTCCATTTTTATTGATTGATTCTTAATTAACAATATTCATTCTTTTAATTAGTGAGTAAATTGCTAGTTAATTCATTTTTCGATATAATTCATCAAAAATCTTAAACTTAATTATCGAAAAAAAGACTTCATTAATTCCTCCAGAATTACAATTTTTCTTTGTTCAATTAGCAAGAAATTCATAATTAATGAGAAGTTGCAGTAGAAGTAATTGTTTATAGTTATTATATGTATCATTAAAAATCAACACACGTGTTTAACTTGACAAAAAATATATTTGATAAACTACTAGACTTAGAAAGCTCTTCTTAAGCTCACTTTATTCCTCTACAGATTCTCCACCAAATAAATGCCCTTGATCTTCATCTCAGAAGTTTAGCTCACAAGATATTTCTAATAAAAAAGTTGAGTAAGAAAATACTAGTTTCTTTGAAAAAGAATCATTAACATCTTCTCGATCGTAAAAGCTTACGTAAATGATTTTTTTAAACATAAAAGAAGAACTTTAGCGAATAAATCAATACCAATAACCTATAGGGATTCAACTACAATATTCTCAGTCAACAATAAATTTTTCATTTATAGTAAAATAAGAATAAAGATAAAGTGCTGTAGAAATAATGATTACCTGGGTAAATTGAGAAGAACAAAAACTGTACTGATAAGAAGCAGCATTTTCGTGATACTCTGTTGATTTCGAGTTGTTGCCAAATTTCGAGACGATGATCTAATGTCTAAAAAAACCAAAAAATATTAATCAATTAATAAATATATTTGTCTGTATAAAATATAATTTAAATTCAACAAAAAATAAAATAATTCTTGTGGGTTCATTTTAAATTGATGTTATTTCGTAATTCGTCAAATCAACTCCAGCACTTATGAGTTTTCATCATCATTTTAAATATTCAAAAAATTTTCTATGAAACATACGTTTATTATTGAATAATGTATTTCAACATATTCTAAAGGGTTATCACACTTTATTTTATTTCCACTATTATTATAAATTAACAATAAGAAATTTATAAACAAGTAAATATTTATCGAGTATATTGAAATATGTTCACAACATACTTGAATGTAAATAAGTATGGTTTGTTGATTTTCTAGTGAACAACTGTGTCGTTAACAACTGTGATAAAATTTCTCAAATTTTTTGACGGGGGAATTTTATATTTTATGAAAAAAGCTCTACTACTTGATTACCTTTAGAAGCTGTTGGAATGCATTGTGTGGAATTTTTAAAGCTGCAGGAAAATAAATATTATAGAGTACACTTCAGTGATCCAGTATGTCATCAACATGGAGAAAAATAAATTCACCGATAAAGAATAAAAATTGTAGAAGATACTATGTTTTCCATGACAAAATTTTTGTAACTATTTACAGTGTACTTTTTATTTTATACTCCATTTTTATTTTATTGTCAGAAACCATAACATAACATGTGTTCAAAGTTCCCAGGCTTATAATATTATTGAAAAAATTGAAATTTATATTCATATATTGATGGTCATGATACTTTATATTAATTTCTCATCATAATCTTCATCAATACATTCAATATGAATAACATTGATAAATATGAGGGATTAAATTCTACATAAGCTGATTGGTGGTAGAAAAAATTCATTTTATAATCAATTGAACAAATATATTTAGAATGATATAAATATTAAATTGAAAACGACATATCTATAGTTGAGTAATCCGACTTGGTTCAAACGAAAAAAAAATAAAATAAATCAGAATCTTACAGTAAAAGAATCCAATTGAGACAATTAATTTTATGATTTTTCTAGATTCTTTTCAATACCTCTAAATTTAATATCCTCTAAATCTTCATTTTAGAATATAATTAGAAATTCCTCATAGAATTAGCTTCAACTTATTTTTATTGTAATCCTAATATACGAATTCCAATTGGCAACGTTATAATCTGCTCAATACAGTCTTTTCAATGCAATAAATACCTATTCAAATTCCATAATAATCAATTAGATTAGATCGAATGGTTTGATTAAAAAAATTTTGTTTCATTTATAAAAAAAAATCAATTGCAATCAATTGAGTCTTTAGTGAAACCACAATCGGAATTGGTAATAACTAAAACTATATTGGTCTATCTTATGACTGAAACTTTTTTTCATTTTAGCTATTTAATGTAAGAACAAATTTGCATCATCTTATTTAAAAATAAACTTTGTTTATCTTTTATAAATCTTAATAAATGTTAAATCAAAACTAAATTAACGTAGTTTTATCTTGAACATAAGATCCAATAATTTCTAGAAATACAGAACCAATTATTTTATCATTTTTAAAAAGATAAATTTTATTTATTAATGGAATTTTTCATTTTCTTATTAGATAACTAAATTAAGAAGTATAAGTTTTAAGTAATATCTGATAACAATTTGTAATTAAATTGTTTAGCATCATAAATCTCAAAAAGTTATCTTGCCCTAGTTTTACTCAATGTTTTTGTTTAACAATATAAAAACAAGCTTGCTGTTAATGAATTATTGTTTAATAAATAGTTCTTCCTATACAAAGTGAACCATTTGTGATTTTGATAAATTTTCTTGTGTACTGAAAATAAAAGTCAAAGAAATAATGCATTTTTTCCGACACGTTAAAACTATTTTTCTCTTACTGTTGTGATCAGTGTGCTGTAAACTGAATGAAATAGCATATCTTTTATTCTATTCTTTTCTTCTTTTTGTCAAATAAAAAAAATTAATAAAAAATTCAAGTAACATGCTATTGACTGAATGTCGATTAACTGAAGTACCTAGTGATTACAATTTAATCGACCTTGCAGCCTAAATACAATAAATATTAACACTAGACTTCCTCCCTGTTTGCTTATTCTGTGGATGTAATATATGCGCTGTAGTTACTAGAGAGATATAATAATCATACTGACGTATTGAGCATAAAATCAATGAGATACAAAGAGAGTCTTAATTGTCGTTAATTTTGATATGTAAGTAATTTCATAGTTGGCTTAATTAATTTTTTGATGAAATGATTTGATCTTTTCTTTGATTATAATAAAAATCTACAATTAACGACAGTGGTTGATTATTTTTAAATTAAATCCCTCATACGCTTGGATAAAATAAATACTATGTTGTAATGCTCCACTTATTTACAATGTCGATGACAACATTAATTATAAAATTATTTGAAATTATTTATTCGCAGCTGGTAGAAAATTTATAATTTTGATTGAAAATATCAAAAGATATCAAAACCTTCAAAATTTACATTTGATGTTATTTATTTATTATTTAATATCCTTTTTATAATTCCAGGAAAAATAAATCATCATGTATTACATATATATTTTCTTTCAAAAAGTATTACTGTAATATTATTTTAACCACTAGTAATTCAAATTGAAATCACGAAAATAGCATGACAAATGGTCATATCACTCTCTGTTTTTTTTTGCTATGTATTTTCATAAGAAAGCTGTTTGTGTGCAAAAATTCCATTAAATGATAAATAGCATGAAAATAACAAAGAGAGCTTTTTTATTTATTGCATAATTCAATGCACAAATGATTTATTAACTAATTTGAAATATTAAACTATAGTGTCATGAATAAAACTAAAATATAAAGATATAAAGATAAATCCGAATCAGGCTAAAACTTTTTTCCCAAGTTTTCTTATTTCGTGTAGAACGTTGTCCAGACTATAAGAGATCTTATCATTTTCTACAAAAAACTGACTGATGTGATATATGAGAAATGTTGAAACGAAACCAGATGAATTTACTTTTTATGATAGTTTGGGCTTTTTTTTTTTTAAAATTTTAATTCATAGTTTTGTTTTTTTATTCCATTCTAATATTTTTAATCAAACTTTTACGTTTATCTTTTAAAGTTAATATTTAAACATATTTTTCATTAAGTAAATTAAAAAAACATTTCCTCCTTAATCGTTTTTATATTTACCAAATGAAAACCCTAAATGTGGAGTTAGTTGATTATGATCTGACACTCTATGTAAATTAAAGCCGTCAATTTATCCAAAGCAGGATCTTAATTTTATTTATGATTCTGTCTTTATCTCCGTCTTCAAAATTTTCAATCTCTGGAATCAATTAATCTGTTGATAACAATTTTATTTTCATTGAAAGTAGACATCATCATCATCATCATCATCATCATGCTTTTGTAAACTAAATTGTTGGAATATTCTTAAGAATTAATTCCATTTTGATTGTTCAAGCTAAAAGTTCGAAAATAAAAACAATAAATAAAGTATCTGACAATTTCAAGATATTAATATTAAGAGGATATAATCATTGTAATTGTACTAAGTAATAATAAGAAGAAATCGCCTGAAATTCATCAGAGCATTGAACTTACGTATACAACGTGTAACGACTTCCGGAGGTGAAAACACTCCGTTACGACCCTGTGCCGATGAAGACATCACCGGGGGTGCCGTTGTTCCAATAGCTGTTGCTGTTGTTTGTACTGCCACTGCCATACCCGTTGACGAGTGATGAGAGTGATTGTGCTTAGATGAATGAGATGATTGTTGTGATGGCACCCTCCGAGTTCCGAGAATTATACCGCTGTTACCACTGCTTCCACTCTAATGATAATCATCATATATAATTAATTGTTTACTTAATTTTAATCACGATAACTGTCATCATAACCCATATCACCATAAAGAAACAAAACTATTAATTAACTCTTTATATTAATTTTTTTTCCTTTGATCAGAGATTATTCCATTGAAGCCGAAAATTAACCTTCCCTTACATTAACTTTTTAGTTTGATGTTAATAAATTGAATATTAATTGATAACAATTTTCTATAAATCAAAAGAAAAAAAAATATCAATCAATTTAATTATTTTTTAAAAACATAATATATGCTTCGAATAAATGAATTTTTGCACATTGATCATTAAATTGAAAGTAAATAATAATAAATATTGTTGAAGATTTATGTAGTTTTTTTTTTAATTAATTGATAAAATAAACCCAAGAGCAATTTCCATTATAAATGTTTGCATTAAAAATACATACAATTGAATAAAAATTTTCTGGATATTATTAAAATTAATTCAAATATTCATTGAATACAAATGAAAACAAATTCTTCTGGTTGGTGTAATAAAATAATATTATTGTTAAAAAATCATTTCTTTCTCAATACATTTGATAAATTTATTTATAGACAAAAATATCGAAATAGAATAGTTTGATATTCAGAATACGTGTAATTATTATTTGCTGTATTTTAAGATCGTACTATCTAAAATTAATCTTTCAATTCTCAATCACCATCTGTATAAATAATATATATATATATATACAACGACAAATATTGAGCCACTTAATTTTCGATTCTGAATCAATATCATTCTGATTACTTTGTTGTTCACACTAAAACTTGGCAAAACTCACGCACAATAACCTCTCAAGGTTGATTTCAATTTAGTTTAGTTTTATAATTTTGCTGACAAATGAATTGTTTAAATAATAAATTAAAATAATCAAATATTATAATTAATAATAATATTCAATATTATTTTCTCATGTATGCTTGAAACTCTAACAATTTATTGAAGCATATTTCGATATAAATAGTAAATACATTGACAATCACAATAATAAAAATTCTATATTATATTTTATACTTCAAGATGCTTTTAGAATGGAGAAAAAGTACTTCAATAGGTAATACAAATTTACGTAATATATTTATTTTAAAATATATGTAAATTTTCGTAAAATTAATAATGAAATTTTTTAAAGGTTATTTTAAGATCCATTAACTGCTGAAATGAAAGTTGAAGTTTTAAAGGCTGGAAAAGTTTTAGTCGATATTTTAAATATCACATTTAATATTTGTCAATCTAAAAATAAAAAAAAAATGAACAATCATAAAAAAGCATCAAGAATTTATTTATATCTGTCAATTTCATGTTGATACAGTGTTCATTTTATTTTAAAATATAAGTTTTATTTATCATCCATACGACACTGACAATTGGCTATTATGAATATCAAGTGATATTGAAAATCATTAAACGCCCACCGGGCACCATTCAAACTTGGAATTACATTAAACTTTACATAATGAAGAGACAAACAAAAATCATCTACTTATTGCAGTAAATTCCTGTAATGAATTTACTATATTTGTACACCTATTCCATTATAATTAGAATCAATTTCACATAAAAATAGAGAAAATAAAATGGAAATTTGTTTTTTGCAATACTCTCTTATTTTTCAATTTAAAATAAAAGTAAATAAACCGACTAGAGTAATAAACTCCATCAAAATGAAATAAGTTGTTTATTTTTTAGTAATTATTAAGAAAAAAAAGCTAAGTTTGTTTAATTTTAATTGTATTCTAGAGAAAGAGAGAATTAAACTTCTCGAATTATAACTTGAAAGCTAGTCTTTTTATGTATTTATTCTTTCATTAATAAATAATATTGATAAATATCTAAATTCTCAGACAATTGCTATAAACAAATTAAGTTGTTCAAAAGGTTACCTTTCTCAAACTTTAAGAAAGTTAATGAAATTTCGACAGTTTGACTGTTTTCTAAATTGATAGTTGAACATGTTATGATTTTACATGCTTTTGATATAAGTGTAACATGTTCTTCATAAACTTATGTTATTGTTAATTAAATTTACCATGAAATAAAGAGAGAATAATTCGAAAAATAAGATAGAAAAACACTGGAGTTTTAAAATTTAATCAGGTACAAGAATGTTATAAATTTTTCTATTTTCTTGACACTTTGAGTTCTGTAATCCCTATCTGACACTCCCCATACCTATCTAAGGTAAAGGCTTTTTCAATGATACATTGTTGTAACAAGCTTAGTAACACAGTAATAAAATGTAAATTCAAGGATTAATTAATTAGACATGAAATTTGCTATTCATTATCTGGTAGAAATTTTCCTACAAAGTTTCATAAGGAAATTTTGTGTAATCAACTTTTATTTAATTATTTTAAAAAATTCTGTATTCTAGGCTGAAATAAATTATGGAGCTAATAAATATAAAGTACTCTGAAAAAAAACTCTATTTAAATGTCAAATTGACAAGCAGAAAAAAATTTCAAGAGTACTAAGTAAATCTAAGCGATTAACTGTGTTTTTTTAAAAATGTCTATTTTATTCAGATATAATTTTCTAGATAAAACGATTCTAAACTATTTCGACCAATACTTCATTCTCAATTATCTGTAATTTCAAAAACCATTTGAGCTGTAATTGGAATCCAAATAAATTGATAGAAATTGAAACTGAGAACAGGAGATAATATTTACGTATATGACCAATAACTCTCTCATTAACTTCGATCTTTAGTTAGTGGATATAAAAAAAATCTAAAAGCTCGAGTGAATAAAAAAATTGAAGAAAAAAAGAAATAAATAAATATTATTTATTATGTGTTTTAAAAAAAGAAAAATAATCATTTATGTTTGTTTCTAAGCTCTTCAAACAATAAATAAACATATTCATCGGATAATCTCAAAATATTTTATCAGTATTTTAAAATTTTCCAAGATTACTTTGAATAATCTACTTGAAAATGTTATTCAAACTAACAAAAAATAAAATAAATACATAAAACTCACTGGGATTTGATTGAGATTGATTTCAGAGCGTTCCCTACTGGGACACTGATTAGAAATAACGGTTGTCATGGTTGGTGCTTGTTTGAATCTTCTACTAAACTTTAAAAAGTTTCGCATAATCATAGTGTTCATCACAACTATAAGAATCAATGGAGCAATGAGACTGGCTACAGTATCAGTGATATTAATAATCCTCATAACTTCAAGATATTCCAGTTTTAAATCACAAATGTCTTCACTTCCATCACGACTTTTAATTACACCAGCAGTTACAAAAACATATGAATGACAACCAAGTGCTAAAATCACCAGAATTAATATAATTGTTTTTGCTCTGGCGACAGTGCAAATGTATGGTCTTTGTAGCGGATATTGTACAGCAATAAACCGTTCTACAGTAAAAGCAACAATTAACCATACACTTAATGAACTACAAACCGCACTCACGTACACTATAACTTCACACCAACCATCCTTGTTAAATACCCGCCAACCAATTTGACTGTTAAGCCAAACGAAAAGCAATGAAACTAGAAAACTGAAATCAGTGGTTGCTAATGCTGCTAAGTAATAACTGGAACTTCTCATTTTTAGATGGGTATTTAAAAACACAATACAGGACAGCAAATTGCCAACAAATCCGACTAGAATAATAAATGGAATATAGTACTGATGGAAAAAGTCTAAAAGACTGTAAACCGGTTCACAGAAAGCCGATTCCTCTTCATAATCTATGAGATTATCAAAAGATTTATTGTTGAAATTTAGAGTAAAATTTGCTGCTACTGATGATGTTGATCGACGTAATCGAAGACTTCTGCATGTTTCAAATAATTTTGTATCCATTTTGATAAGTCAATTTTTAAATAGTGTTAGCAATAAATTTCTTTTATAAACTCAGTATCGTCACAATGGAAATTTTAAAACTTTTAATAACTGTTTGAAATTTTTCTTTAAGGTTTCCATAGGGTTTTAAAATAAATCAATTGTTATTATTTAATTGAGTGTTGTATTATTTAGTGATATTTTTAACGAATTAACAAATACTACAAGCGAGTTTGTAGCAGGCGGAAATTAAACTGACTTGGTGTTCCACAACCTTTAGTGGATACATAGTAGTTGAACTTACAGTCGCATGCGCGTTAATATTATACTGAAGATAGTTGTCGAATGGGAAGATTATTTTAAGCCGTGATCACTTTTGAATTTTACAATGTATAGATTTAATGGTGATTGTTAATACTGTCATTATTGTTATGATATTAGTATTGATTTTGAATTGTTGAGTCAAGTATCTCAGTCGTGATTTAACAGATATAAAAATTAATCAATTGAATTAATGAATGATACTGATTTTAGATTGAAAAATTATTGAGTGTGTAAAATGATACTTTTTCTAATGTAATTAAAAATTGGCCATTTTTATTTATCAAATATTTTATTTGAACACAGAATCCTTTTAATATCGTCCTTTTTAATTACAAAAATAATACTACTGTTTTAAATTAATTTTGCAATTTTTTAAAGTTATAACAACTTATAAAAATGTGGACTGCAATGATGTGTCGGCTTTTGAAAAAAAAAAAAATCTTTAGCAGAAAGCCCTTCATGTAAATTAGTTTACGTGTTTTTTATTCAAGTAAAAATAAAATAAAGCTCTGAGTAGCTTTTTATATATGATATAATCACATTTAACATTACATCATCATCATTTTATTTATGAAAGAATGAATTTTTTTATGAAAATATGTAAAATTATTCTTGGCATAGCAAGAAACTTCTTACTATTTGTAAAAAATTTTATTATGTTAAGTTCATATTTTTTTATTGAAAGAAATATTTTTAAGAAATACTTCAGTGTTGATATGGAAAATGTTGAGTACTGCATTATTTTTAATTCTTGATCCGATTACAATATGAAAAGAGTTTCTTTTTTGAAAAATTAATAAAGATTTAAACATGATTTAGAAGAAAGCTCTTTACATTTTAAATAGAATAATAGAAATAAGCAGTTGTTGCAAATTCTTTGAGTTTGTATAATTGTATATCACAAAAGACTTACAAGAAGTTCATCAAAAATCAACAGTTACAAAAGTATCATTAAATATTCTTATTTTTTTCAATAAACAGTTTAAAGTTTTAGTGTTATAAAGTATATTTACCTTTATTACTCTAAACTCTTGATATTTTTTTTTATACTTTCTTTATAGTAATCAACTTTTTGCAGTCAATAAAATTCACCCCTAGAGTAAATTCAGAAATATTGATCGTTCTAAAAATTTCCAGTTGATTGAATAATTAACATTTCTAATTCCTTTGGCATGAGGACAAATCGATATTCAACCTCAGGATGGCTTTTGGAATAAAAATGACTTGTTGAGTATAAATATCATCTTAATTGGTGGTGATGGCAGCGATTATTCTATCCAACAAGATTATCATAGCACTACAATTGATCGGAAGTCTAGGACTGTAACAACCCAAGTAGAAAAATGTCAAGGATTACATTTACCTGCTTGACCTTGCCTGAATCAGAACTTGATGGAATTAAAGATTGCAACAGTTTTCTACTTAGAAAATTATGATAGTAATTTGTCCAGTACATGATATATCGTTTGTCTTAGTGTGAGAATGATAATTTTGTTTAAGAGCTCAACATATTTATGAAGGTGATAAACTGAGTAAAAGTGGTAAGTAGAAAATAGAAGTCCCTTTTTGTTACAGTTTTAGAAGTTGTACTAAGTCGTAACTAATTCCTCTTGTTGCAGCTAACAATTCTATCCACTTTTGGAGATTTATCCAGTGAGCATGACAAGAATCAAAACTGGTGCACTGTGTATTATAAGATTTGTATCGACCAGTTTCAAATTTTCTAAATGAATCAAAATTGTATCAATAATTTTATTTCACTCCTAACTATTTCAGTATAGATTTTTCGATGATAGATGTTAAAATAATTATTTAATTTACTTTTAATTCAGTTATATAGCATAACTTTGATTTCATTTTTAGAAAAATATTTTGTTATTTTAAAAAAAATTCAAAACTGAAATCAATTACTTTTGTATGAAAACATTGGCATTCATCTATTGAAATAATATTACATCACTCAGCAGGATTTATGGTCAACAATTCATTTTCTCTATAGAAAATTGCCAGTAGTAGTGTTTGATTGTGTTCAGACACTTCAAACTTCGTTTATTTAATTAAATATCAGCATTTTTGTTCGGTGAAAAATTTTCACAAATGGTTCGTTAATAGATTTTGGCACTTTTTTTAAATTAAATTTTACATCAATCAACTTTGATGTTACTTTATGAATCGTTACGGTATTACCTGTTAATGGAAAAATAAATATTTAAAAAGTTTCTTAACTTTTGAAATTTTTAAATATTCAAACTTTGTGTAAAAAAATTAAATTATAATTATAAAATTATTTTATTAATAATTTATGTAAAAAACTAATAAGAGATTTTTAAGTTCACTGAAAATATACGAGAAAAAAAAAGAATTTTTCAATCTCAACATAAAATAACAACAATAACAAGAATACATTACGTATAAATGTGGTGAATTCCAACATTTTAATCTCTTACATAGTTAACATTGTTTTAATAGTTCACTAATAATATATCCTAACCACTAAACAATTCAAAAATGTATTTAAAAATTTGTTAATTGTAATTATTTAATAGTACTTAATATCTTTATATTTATTTTTCACACCAAACATTAATTGATAAACTTCTAGATCTATTTGTTTAATTAACATAAGTTTATGTAATATTAAATTATCACCAATTATTGATATTTGTGAGGATTAATTGGAAAAAGTTTATTGGATTAAATTGAAAAATTGTTTTTATTTCATTACTTTAGTTGTATAGAATAATTTTTCCAAGTGTAAGAAAATCAACTGGACCTCTAATAAATAAAAAAAATCAATAAAATTCATTAAACTGAACAAAAACGGACCAACATTGATAAAAAACAAAACAAAGTAGGCACAAATACAGTGAATTGTTTAAATGAAAAATTTTATTTGAGCAGTTGGGAAAATGTTGATCTTTTTCCGGAAGTGTCTGTTTAATGAAATACAAATGACTTTTGTCTTTTTTCAACTTTAATCAAAAGAATATTTACTGGCTTGGTAAATAAAGTCAAGTAATTTGATTAGTACTACACGGAAAAGAATAGTTACCTTGCATAATGATAGCTATTCGAAAATAGAGGAAGTAATTTCATTTGAGGATCATTTTTTATAAAACGATATTAAAAATTCATCAGAGCACCTTCGTTACTTGAATTTCTGTGAAAAAGTCTACAATAAAATTAGTATAATAGAAGTTATTTTTTTGAAACCTTTAAAAATTTTTTCATTGAACATATCTTACTCAAGTACTTTTTAATAATTTTATACATAAATTGATGAAGATTCCAAATTTAATTATTAAATTGAAAACATAAATCTAGTGATATTAATAATATCACTAGTCATCATATCAATACATAATTTCAATCAAACACATTACGACATAATATCTATTTTATCAATTGTGATGTTATAATATGCTAATTATTATTATAGATTATAATTACATATTACTAACATAACAGTTAGTAATTATTCTATATTTATTCCATTTCAATTCCATAATATTCACACTAAAGTTAATGAAAAATTTTCCCTCTCAAATATTCATTGATATGAATTCAATTGATAACACAAAGACTTGTAATTATTTTAATCAATTATCATTATATTTTATATGACTAAATTAATTTATTATTGGTAATAAATAAATATCAATTATGTAAATAATGATCTACAAGTAATGAATGTTTGCTAACTAAGAAAATGACAACGTATTCACCTGATCTATTTTTGGGAAAGTAAAATTACTGAAGCGTTAACTTAAAACTCAATTTCTTCTCTACTCTATCATTAGATAATGTTTAAAATCACTTTACAACTGAACTGAAACAAAATTGTGAATTCATATGAATTGGAGCAATGTGAAAAAATAGATATTTTAAACAAAGTAGTAAGTGTCAATAATATGTCAGCCAAGTAGTGATAGTTAAATTCTCGTCGTACAATGTCTGTTTTCCATCATTAAGATATTTGACATAAATACTAAAATAAAAATTCACTTATTAATTGGAACCATCTAATGGAAAATAACATGATGATTATTTTCTACTCGAAATTTTTCCACGCCCAGACTGCTGTAAGCTCTAATATAAAGTCGCACATGCATAATTAACATTCATAGAGCGACGAGAACTAGCCTATTTGCTTTTTTGTCCGTCCCTTGTGTAATTATAGCTCATAATTCTCATCACGATTGCTGTAATTTTTCCATTTTTATGATAACCTTCAATATTTATCGTCTATTGAACTTTTTTTTTCTTTGCTATTGTCTTTTTATTTATAGTTTTTTAATGCTCATATATTTGGCTCCAAAATATAGACATTTTTTTCAAGATTATAAATTTATTTATTTCATCGTCCAGTCACGATTTATTAAATTTATCATCAGTCGTTGATTCAAGGATTTTGCAAATATTTACCTCGCTCTCTTTTTCTCGGGATGAACTGGCTCAAAGCATATTTAACATAAAATATCTGACTTAAATTTTCGAAGAATTTTTATGCTTCATAAAAAGATATGCACCGTCTATTAAATTACTTTATCATATTTCAGTAATTTTCTCTTAATAAAAATATAAATACTTCGTAGTTAACAGATTTTAAAGTTTCATAATTTCACTAATACATTATTATATAATGTCATGAAAATTTATTTTAAAATTATTTAAATAAATGATGATAAATAGTTTTTATCACCATTCATCATTGTACACTATTAGAATAAATTGACAGAAAATAGAAATTTTTTCAATTGAAATTTATTCATAATAATAACAATAATATTAATAATTTGATTCTTTCTTTCTATGTCTTAATTTTATAAAAAATTTTAGACAGCCATAGTAATTCAATAAAAATCTAAATAAAATTGGTTTCATTGAAGAAAACGATAAGTCACGTTTACAGAATTATTGGTATTTTCCAACAGTCACGTGGAGGATATTTTCTCGTCTTCCTTAGGTATCGTTGAGTCTTTATACACTTGTTTATCAAGTTATCAAACTATTCTCTATAATTGTCAAGCAGGAAGTTGGAATGATTAAACTAAACGAAAACTTGACTAAAAATAGATTAAAACTTTCTAACACCTCTAGCTATATCTGATGATAAAAAAAGAAAAGAACAATAAAAGGTATAATAAATCATCAAATTGATAGGGTGCAAAAGTTTGACGCAATTATCAACATTTTTTGGGGGAACATGAATACTTCCAAATTGAGTTGAATCGAGGGCATAACATGAATCATTAGGGCAAGGCAAAGAAAAAAATGCCTTGGAACTAGATCATATAAGTGCTGAGTCGTACTTTTTTTCATTGTAATAATTAAATACAACATATTTAAAGAGTTTTCTTTTTAGTACAAGAAAGTAAGTGATGAGTGAAATTGATCCTTGAGCAAAAGTTTGCTAATGCAGCTTTCAGTATGATCCAATTCCTCTGATGGTATGATTTCTGAAAATGATGTCTGTCAATGACCTAGATACATCAATTCTAAATATCTACATTTTTAAGGATCATAGAAATGATAATATTGTTATTTCTTTTATTCTCGATTGAAATAACTGTATTTTCGATTCTTATAGGGATAATAATAGTAATATAAAAAATGTTGTAATCATTATATAAGATTTGATGATGGTAGCAAATAGCATCAACATCTAGCCTATTTCAAGAAAAGCAATAAATTTTATCGAACAAATAGATCAGAGCAGATTTTCATTATGTTGCAGTTAAAGATTGACCTTGTTTTATTTTCTCAAGCTCAATTAAAAACAATATCTATGTATTATTATGATTTATTTATTAATCAATAGATTCTTTATTAAATAATTATCAAAACCAAATCTGTATTTCATCAAATTATTTATATCTTGATCACATTAATTATTCCATACCTATACAAGTTAAAATTAAAAAAAAAAATTAATACTAAAATTTTATTGTGCTATTACTTGTTTATCACCCTCACGTGACTTTGAAGTCACATCTAAGGATGTTAAAAAAATGAAATAATAAACTTTCTATAAAAGGAAAAAAAGCATTAGCATCTAGATCATTGCTTATGTGTAGATAAGAAGAAGGAAAAAAAGTTGAAGCTGGAGTATAACTGCAAAAAATTAAAGTCAAGAAAGTTATATTAATATTTAAAACTAATATTTAAAACAAAAAAGGAAAAAATAAGAGAGCTGAAAGGTGAAAAAGAAAGTAAAAGATCCACGTATTTAATTTTTTCTTTCCTTTCTGTCATCAGGAGTTTTTAGTATCGAGAGTATTTAGTCAGTTTTTATTCGTCTCTGTCAACTGGATAATTGAATTAATGTCTAGCCGAACTTTCTCCTCGAGAGATCAAGTTAACGATGTAATGATTTTTTCATCAGATATACGGATATTGTTAATTGACATAATATATTATTATCAACAGCATACCTTTTGAACCATTTAAATGATTTTATTAATTTAATATTTACATAAAGGCTTCTAGAATAATGTCTTCTTTTTAAGCACAAAAAAATCTGAAAATTTCTGTAAAATTCATCATTAAATGTGAATTTTACTTTAATTAAAATGACATGTTCATAGTTTTTTTCAGATACCATTATTAAATTAATTATTGTAAAAAAGTTTAAAAGCTTTTTCCAGATCACTTATAGATATTGAATTTGATTGACTATCTATTGATACGATAAAAAGATATCTTGCCATGTCAGAGAATCAAATATTGTTATCAGAAAATTCTTATTTCTGTAAAAAAATACCTTTGTAGTGATTTCTTTTTATTAAAAAAGAAAAAAAAAAGAAAAAATTTTCTTAAATATTTAAAGTATAACAAAATTGATTGCAATTTATATGAAAGTAAAAAAAATACATATCATGTCACCTATAATAAAATCTAAGCTTTAAAAAAACAGCATTCGATATTATCGATTATTATACATACAGCACAAGTATTTCTTCCTGGAATCTTTTATGGAAGAATTATTAACTTTTTAAATTGAAATATAAACATTTGAGTAAATCTTGATATTTAATAAATAGTTAAAAACAGAGATATAGGGTTATATAAAAAAAGGTCTCAACTACATTAAAAACTATAAAAATTCACTGCTCTAGGCATTTCGATAATTGATGCTATTTGTATGTATAACATTAAAAAATGAGAAAATACTTTTGAACTTTTTTGTCGAAAAAGTCGTTGAAAAAGTTTTAGATTATTAAATGCCCGGAAGCCAATTGATATCTGATATTTGCCGTATAAAAAAAACTTAAAAAACTTTGATAATGTCTAAATACGAGAAGAGATAAATTCTCGTTTTAACATAATCACGATTTAATGCTAAGACTATACAAGTACCAAAGTTCTATCACTTTTAACAGTTATAAATCTCTACAATATACATAATGTAAAAAAGTCTTGAAAAATGTTTCATTATTTCTTTTTTTTAATCATATAAAATAATACAAAATTAATTCTACAAAGTACTTTAATAATCAATAGCGGAAACACTTTATTAAATTTATATTATTTTATAACGAACTGAATATCTACACTAATGATTTAAAACAAGTTATTTTTAAAAATAAAGTTGGATAATTAAAGATAATGTTTTTAATCATCTATTGTCAGATATAATTTGATTCCATATCTATTCATTGATCTCATTATCTTATTAAAAGAATATTGAATTTTAGAGAAGATTCCTCATTTAATATCTAACTGAATGCTAATTGTCAATGACAAAAATTTCAAGTAATCCAACAATTAAATTTGAATTATTAAAGCAATAAACTTTAGTACTATTGCAAATTTTCAACGCAATAATACTATATCAATTCACGTATCAATAGAAAATTGGATAATATTCCGGAATCCAAAGGTAAACCATTAAATTTTGGCTGCTTTCAATTACCATGATTTATATTTCAAATGTTATCTCTTGAAATTCACGAACATTGGTTTCAAAGTAAACTGAGACTTGGATAAAAAGTTTTTGTTTCAAACTTCAATCATGAATTCATTTGACACACTGAAGAACTTATTTAGTTTTCTAAATATTTCTAAACATTTTTTTTTCTTATTTGTAAAATTAAAAAGTTTTTCGGAATAATATATTGAATTATTACTTGAACTTTAAAATTAACTTGATAAAAAAAAATTAATCTTAATTTTTGAACAAATGTAGGAAAAATAAGTCATCAAAAAATTGTCTATTGATATCATGTAAAGTCGAATAGTTTACAAGCTTCTATTCGAATCTGCTTAAATTGGATACAAAACTTGGCTGATATCAAGAGGCCTGTATGATCTAAGTGCCTTTGCCTTGAGCGTTTAATTAATGCAATCCAATTATATAGTAGTAAGCATCTTGGAAGACAGTTTAGAGAACTTCAAACAACTGGATTACTATGCATTCTTCACAGTCAACACTTTTGGTTTCAACAACTTTTAATGTCACGATTCTTCTATTACAAGCATCAGAATTTTCTAGCAAAAAAAAAATCTTCATCATCCAGCAAATAAGTTGAAATATTTTCTATAGTATGTAATTGTCAATACTTAAACACTTCGTAGTCTAAACAGAAAACTGTCAAAAGCAATCAGTAATTACACCAAGCATACTACAGATTTACTCTACGATTTTAATTATCAAACTACAAAGTTTTAATACCCTTCATCAAAATTATATCAAAGCAATGACCATATATTGTTTTAAACTTCACTTTTTGAATTCTCGACGATGTATATTTTTTTATCGTAGAGTATCCATAAGTATTTTATTATTACTCATTTTTTTTGTACTGATCTATCTTCATGTGAATATGAATTACACGCAGTCGATTCTAATTAATTTTCTCATTGTTTCTAATCTTTTCAACGATCCTTTTAACAGAAAAAAAACTTCTCACACATAATACAATCTTTCTGATCACAAATGAATATTATGCAGGTCAAAATTTATTGTAATTATTAAATTAAGTATTACAATGGACTAAACACAACGAAAAGTGAATAAAAATAATTATGATTCAGACAAAAGATTTTTTCCATCGAAAGCTCTACAAATAAATTAACAAGATGTTCTGTAATACTTCGAGGCTTATAAAATAAAAAAAAGATAATAAAAAAAAATGAAATTCATTATCGTGTCTTAGTCCATTATGACTCTAATTTTTCTTTCTATCAATAAGAAGTAAAAACAACAGAATCTCTAAATAGTGAAGCAAAAAAGACGGTTGAATAAATTTCTATAGAAATAGTTAAATCAAAGAATTTTATTCTATTGATTTTTTTTAATAAAAAAAATGATGCTTAAATTTTATTCACATATTTGAACTATTTTTATCATCAAGTGGCATAAATTTTTTAACACATTCTGGAATTACAAATTGATCTTCATTTTCTTCTAATAAACATCCTAACAATTTAGGAATCGATAAAATAGACCAGATTAATCGCATGCTATTCTTTTACTCGTTGGAGTTTGATAAGCAATCAATAATCTCTTACTACAGTAATCTCCGCACATGGAGAGATTTCCAACTTCAACATAATCTTGTTTAGATCTTGACCAAAGTTCAAAAGAAATATTTAGACTTTCATAAACTTTTAGATCACAAGCAGGCTTTAAAACAACTCGATAATGTCTTCCTATTTCGTCATAAATTTTTAAAACAGTTTTTATCATTTGCTGAAAATATCTTGATACTCTCGACTCTTTTTATCTTTGACTACTGCAAAACAATGAACAACAGATTCTTGATTAACTCCAAAGAGCCCTAGAGCGTTAGAATCAGTATTGTGCTTGGGTATATATTGCCTTCCTGATGCATAGTATTTTATTGGTAAAGTTTTTGGATTTATCAGCTGTTTTGTATGCATTGCTAGGAAAGCAAAAAAACTTGCCCCTCCTATTAAATGTAATTTATTAAGAGAGATCTTATCATCTGATAAATGATGTAAATTTTCTAGAATATAAGATTTATTCGGATCTTCTTGATCAAGACCAGCTGCTTCGATAACAAAACTAGAATTAAAATCTGTTCCGGAAGTTCGAATAAAATTATCGTTATTGAGAATTTGTCCAATCCATGTTAATAATCCTATTTCAAACAGAGCAGCTTCGTTTGTCAAATAATAACAAATGGGATTCTTGTATTCTACTAATTGTAGTGATTTTCCAATATCTATGTGACTCTTGGAAGGTAATTTCGCTCCTTTCGATATTGACTTTACACTTTGTAGAATAACTGGTTCTAGAGGAGTCATTTCATCAATCTCATTAGGAAGATTTAATAATGAAATAATAGTAGATTCCTCAAGCTCCCACAATGTCTCTTTTACAATCTTTAAATCCTTTTTAAGAATTGTTCCTTGAAGTTTCATAGCATTAATTGATTGTTTCACATCATCACTAAGCTCTTTTTCTTTACTTAATTGTTTAATTTTAGATGCTATTTCATCTCTTTGCTTTTCTATTTCTTGACGATTGGTTTCAATATTTTTATAAAATTCCCATTTTTCTTTCAGTTTTAAGATAGATATTTAGATTCATATTCCTACATTGTAACGCATATTCTAATTTTTTTATATCAGCAAAGCGCTCATTCAAAATAACGCTTGTGGTGTTTTGTAAGATATGAAAATTCTTCGTGTGCTTTTGCTACCAGGAATGAATAAGGCAGAATTTTTATAGCGACGAAAATTCTTTTCTATCGATTTCAATGTCCACTTCAGCTTATTCGGTATCCATCTCTTATTCAAATATTTAGCCATATTTATAATTAAGTTATAAATTGAATTAAACTTACTATGATGGCTATTTCGAAGAAATATCTATATCTATTTCTTCAGTTGTTGGAGGTATTAAAGTCTCTATTCTTCTTTTCTTTGGTGGAATCCAATCCACGTCCTGCCTGCACCGTCAGCAGTCTTCGATAGTGTAGGGTTCAAGCTCTAAAGCTTTCAATCTTCGCTTATGAACTTTTGTATTAAAATGATTATGTAATGCTTCTTGATTAATAAAATACCTCCTGAAAAAAAATACATAATATTAGTTCTGATAGATGATAAACTATTGCTACTCTATTGTTGAAAAAGTTTAAAAATTATTCTAATCTTAGGTTCTAAGTTAGTTGTTTTTCCCTCTACGGCGAAAGTAACCTTGTGTGCGTTCAGTAATGTTGTGCAGCACCGGGTTTATCAAAATCTATCTCTTGTTTTAATAATTTACCAACATTTCCCTCTTTTATATCATTGTCGATTGCAAAATTTAATATCAAATTATAATTCATATTAATGCTTATATGATATTGAATAATATTCATAAAAATACTGCATACGGTGACTTAACCAACATGAAAGCCACGTGATGAACCTCCAAAGACCGAATGTATATTTTATATCAGAATCATTGTCAATACACTTACCTCATCAAGATCTTTTGTTTTTCTTTTAGTTTTCATACTTTTTTTCATTCCATTGCTCTGAACAGTTTTTTTTCTTTTGTACGTCATTTTAACACTGATTTTTCAAAAATTATTCAATTTTTGGAGTATTATTGTTACAATACGTGCTATATTTTCGCTTGACTACTACTGTCCTCTTATGTTGAGCAACAATATTACAAACAAACATATGTACGTTTACATACAATCTCTATAAATATACATATATGTATGAAAATTTGATATTGGAGAAATGATTTCTCTTTGCTCTTTTTAATTACGAAAAATTCAACTTATTCGAAGGCAAAATATTGAAATAAAAAGCATCTTTATGCATTGAATAACTACTTGAAGATTCACTCGACTTTAGTAATTTGGAAAAATGTATACTCAAAGCGCGTATTTACATTTGAGTATTTTCGCTTATATTTATGCAAATAATTTATAATCGATAAGAAGACTATTGTATGATAAGTTTTACATATTTTTTTAACTTTTTTATTGACCAATAACTGTTATTGTTTTATATAAACACAAAATTAGTGTAAATCAAAAGAAACTTAAATCAAGAAAAGTGATAGCTGTTGAAATTTAAAAAATTTTCTATAAATAGATTTACAATATAATTGATTCCAAGTATTGAAAAAATTATAATTTCATCTTTAACAAAATTTTAATAATTTTAATTAATGATTCGATAATTGTTGCTTATTTAAATGAATCTAAATAAAAAAATAAAATTCATAATAATTTGAGGTTACTCTTAAGATGCCGCTACCATCGAGCTAGCTTGGAGCGCCTCTATCGAAAATGGGTCAACTAAGTGACCATCCATTTTGAAAGTAAAAATACACTTTGATTCGAGTGTATTCGGTGATAAAAATCTTACTAAATTGTGAGAAATAAAAGTTTTTGACCGGCAAGAGGATTGAAATGAATTCACGATAAATAATAATAGCTGAAAGTTTGACTCAATACAGTGTAAATATAAAAGAAGTTAAGTAATGAAAGAAGAACGCGCGCGCGCTCTCTGGCCCAAACGGGCGGAAATGCGTTGTTCTCCCGCAGCTAACGAGCTTGTGGTTGTGCAGGAAAGGAGTTAAATGCGTCAAGATCGAACTAGTCGACGGCAAACGCGAGACTGCGAGTGTATCGGTATAAATCGAGCTGTCGAGCGGGTGGGAAGAGGGATTTGGATGGATTCTAGGCGGCGAGGGACGCCATTTTGATATACGGTCGTACGTCAAGGAACGCTGAGGTACGTTGGGTTCGTGCGGCGCTTTGGTCCGTATACGAATCACGATCCAACCCCCCCGCGTGCTGTCTCACAGACTTACGAATCGAGCTTTACCTCCGGCCGTCTTGAAAAACGAGGCCTGGAAAGTTTACTGAAAACCGATTAACTTTGTTATTTTTATTAAATCTGCTCATGCTTTTTGGTGATGTAGTCATCTATGTTGGCGTTAGCTTGGTGTGCGCGTGCGAACAAAAACTTCTCAACGAAGGATTCGTAGCCATCATCGGAAATAAATCCAATGATGTAGGGTAGAGTGACAAGTGACAGGTGAATCGATTAGTATTGACGACTATTAAGGAGTTAATAACTAGTGGCTAATAAAACAATTAAACAAAAAACTTGAACACCGATCTTTTGATATATTTTGTAGAGCGGCAAACAAGTTCAGTTTATCGTAGTGGTTGTAGTAACAGTGATGGTGATCTGAAAAGTACCTCCCAATGTCTTCAGAGTGGCTTTCAAAAGCTTATCTGAGGCAAGGGAGCAGTGACTTGTGTAGATGTATACTCATAAAAGGTGCCCATGTGCGTCCGCCAATTATTTATTGCCGTCGTTAGCTTCTCGTGGCTCACGAGTGAACTTCAATTGGCACGATAACGCGCGCCACGGCCAGAAAACATGAACATGGCCAAGATCCTCAATAAGGACCCAGTTACCTACGAGAGGGAGAGGCAAAATTTTATTAAAGAGTTACAACATTTTCATGAAACACGAGGGTAAGAGTTTCTTTATTATTTCACCACAACATACTGCAAAGTCAGTTACTTAATCGATGTACTTGGCATAGCTACAGTTTCTTCATATTAATTGTTATTTTATATACTTTTTTTGTTTTAGAACATCATTTAAGAAATGTCCAAAAATTAGTGGCAATGACATAGATTTATACCTACTGTACGTTCTTGTAACTGCTCATGGAGGATGGATCAAGGTATGATTCGCAACTCATATAATTTTGCATTTTATTTACTTAACGTATCATTTATTCATATATTTTCTTTTTTTTAGACTAAACATAAGGTCTAGATCAATTTAATGTATGTTTTATTAGCACAACTAATTTTTTTATTGAAGGTAAAGAAACGTTGAAATAAACAGAAGGTTTCCAACTATCACGATTTATTGCATAGATTGCTCCTCATTATAGAGTTGTTCTATTATAAATAAACATTACTTATCTAAGCATGTTTAATCTTAGATAAGTTCTATAGCTGAAACGCTTTTGTAATAAATGGAATCTCTTAATCCATTGAGGTTATGTTGATTAAATTAACTGAGAAAATTTATTTAAAAATTAAATAACAATATGCTAGTATATCCATTACAAATGCAGATAGTAATCTGTCATTTTTTCATTATATATTTTAAACAGTAAAAGCACAATTCGTTTTGCACATTCCTGAAATCAATTTCAAAGTGAGAATTAAAGCACAAAGAATATTTTATGTTAACTTTTTTGGCATATTTCTTTGCTGAGAAACATGTTTTGGAGTAAGAATTTTCTTACATCAATAAATACGTTTGATTATGTTGGAAACTTTCTCTTATTCTCGACAATTAGCATTGTTATTATCATTCTCATAATTGAATGTTTTTTATTCCAATTGTCTTCCTATAAATCGCATATATTTTTCAATTTAGCAATTAAGATATTATTCATTACTTATTTTATAAAAAAATGTTACTCAATCTCTCGGAGTGCTCTATCAATACCAAGATGGTTTATTTATAATTGGAAATCTTGCAAAGTGAGAAAATGAAAAATACATAGGGACAATGCGGAAGTGGCGCAAGGTCAGGGTCACTCGATTGAAGGTACCGGGTTCGTGGGTGCTACAGTAGCACTCTAGAAAGAGCGAGGGACAGTATGAAAGTTGATCGGTGACACGAATATACTCGAAATAGGGGGGATCACTCCATACAATCAGCATCCTAGTAGATACGTTGAATATCATCCTATCAACATCTCCAGATAATCTAGATGATGATTATCCTTAATTTGTTCTGTATTCGTTTATATCTAGAATAACATTGAGAAAATCATATATAGTGGTATCCAATCAAGAAAGGAAGTTGGAGTAATACATTCTCTAGAAAATAATAATCATGAAATTATAAAAACGTGAGTGTCATTCGTTGCTACAATGGAATGCATAATGTCCAAGAATGTACTGCGAAAACTAGAGAAATTGAACACATGAGTCAGGTGTCGCGTGTCCTCTCTGCAATAGTACGAGACGCCTCCTGCTAGTTCTGCTATGTAGTTTGTAGCTGGTTCTCGACATAATATCAAGCCGGGGCTCGTTTTGTTGGCGCGGTCGATACGGCAACACCGCGCCCAACCGCGCGCATACCGGCACCCGTAAAGGCGACGTTGCTGCTGATTTAATCAACTTGGCAACATCGTTTTATACATGTATATAAATGTACATGTATGCCTGGCCGTAAGAGAACTCCATACCTACACTGCAATATTAGCAAAAGTATGGAAAAGAATTTAAATAATAACAGCATCATCAAAAAAAACTTGGAAACCATCAAACATGTTTTTTACTCTTATCCAGGTGGTTAATAAGACTATCAGCATTTCGAATTTCTTCAACTTGATCTCCACACTTTAACTTAAAGGTTTAAATCTCAATAAATTGGATTACAAACTTGGACTTTTTTTCATCAATTAGCAATGATGTTAATTGGTTGCTTTAGTAGACCATAAATAGCAAATAATTCAATAGAAAAAAATATAACAAGAATTGGAGTAAAAAAAATTTTAATGATCTTGAAGAGTTGGAGCACCTAGAAGCTGCTATAGAATGGTGCATTATGTACAGAATTGGTATAGTTTTTGGCGGGAACGGCTGGGCTTATTGGATAACACGTGAGCCGGTGTTTCATTGACTGTTAGCTCATTGAATGTAGCGATAAGGGGAGGGACCAAGCGAGAAAAGCTTGGAGAGATGAGAGACTACGTCAGGAGAGCAAAGTGTGGCTGTACTGTTCGCGGGCGGACGAACATACACGGCGGGGAAACGCGATCAGCTGATCTCCAACGACGGCAGACCGCATGTCGCTGTTCCTCTCTTGCCTCTCGCCACTTTTAGTTCTCTTTTTCACTCTCTATCTTTACCCGGCTTGGTTTCCCCTTCAGCCTTCACCGGCTTGACGCCCCTGTGCCTGCCCCCACCCCTTTTTACCTCCTTCTTCTCCTCCTCCTCCACCAATCTCCTTTTCTATAGTCCCGGACGATCAGCTGATTCGGAACTGTCAGTTGTACCGTGGGCCTATGTGCTACCACGTGCACGAGCTAACTTTACGTATACTTCAACTTCTAGTGAGATATGTTCTAAATATTTGGCGGGAGAAGCAAGTTGAAGTTGCTGAATAGTCCGCTCTATTTACTAATTTTACTTTGAAGCTTTCATCAGTAAACATTATGCTAACTTAAATATGCCATTTTTTTTAAAGTTATTTTTCAGCACTGTTTAATTTTTAAATAGATTTTTTAGATTTTTTTATACTTGGTAAAACAAATTTACTACCTCAATAACTGACTTTATTTTCAACAGAATGAATCATCACTATCAGAATATAACTCTTTACCTGATTAGATACCTCACATAATATTCTGTATGATTTTGTTTGAATTTTCAGAAGATAGATTGTTGATTTATACAAAAAAATTCAAGGAATTTGTGAAAATAAATCATACAATCATAAATTAGTAGAAGCAAGAGCTGTCTACCTGTGGACGTTAGCCAAATTGCTGAATACAACTATTTTTATGAACCGAATCGTTCTGTTATTATGCTTCATTTCATGATATATATTTTGAGCACTTATTGAAAACTTAAATATTCATTTTCTTTAATAAATTTTATTTTATAAATGCAATACTTGTTTATACTAACAAAGTATCCATTAAGATCTCAAAATAATATTTTACATAATTATGTATATCAATAAATAATCATTTATAAATAAATTTCTATTAAATGTTTAAGGTCAATACACGAAACGAATGGGCTTCATTATGTGAACAATTTCATCTACCAGATGGCTGCGTTAATAGCGGAGTTGGTCTCAAGCAAATTTACCTCCGGTAAGAATAAATTTGATAAAAATAAAATTCTGTTGAATAAAGTGATAAGTTAAGTCTGGTAACAGATAGAAGAAGAATATGAACATCACATCAACTCATAAGTTTTTTAATGGTCTTCGATTACATTACAATGGATCAATGTTCCTTATGACCTTGAAATTAGGGTGAATGATCTAAAGGCAGTAGCTACAACGAAGCAATTGAAGTGTCAGTTGTAGTAAGCGCTTCCTCCCTCCATCTTTACTCATCTAACCCTCCTCTCACCATCTTTCTGATAGCTCACGGTACGTTCACGTACGTTATTACGACCCCCGTCGATTCATTCATGCTGCCTGCGTCGCGACGGCACAATCACGTGCTCTACTGGACTCTATTTATAACTCTCATAATCAAAATCATTATCCGTACACAATAGCAATTATGTTTTACTTATAGGAACGCTGTAGTTCAATTTCAATTAATTTTATTATTTTTTTTTTTTTCAAATGATTATTAGATACCTGGATCGATATGAAAAGGTTCACTTCCTTGGAGAAGATGGCCAACAAGCAGACGATGATGACGAAGATTCAAGACATAGAAAATGGTCCGCCAGATCACTTCATTCAGTTCCATTAACTTATAATCATCATCAACATAATGTAGCAGGTATATTGTATTAAATTTCTTGAATTTAAAAATGATAAGTTTAATTTTATTATATGTATACAGAGTAAGAAAAAAAATGAGATACTCCAAATTATTATAATGGAAAATATTTAAAAATAAATTCCTGTATTTTAAAGCAAAGAATCACTTATAAATTATACAAAAAAATAAATCATATTTATTTTTAACTTAATAGTATTTACTATTCGTTATTGATTCTAGATTAGCGGTATTAAAATAAGTGTTATATTAACTTTCAGAATCTCTTCGTGAATATAATGGTCTGTCAGCAGACCTTTACAAGCCATCAAATTACGATAAACTCAGCCTCTCATTACTCTCACCTCTGCCCAATGAACAAGACTTTGCGATTAACGTCTGTACTCTACTATCAAATGAAGGAAAACATACTCTTCGTTTAGACAAGTATCCTCGTTTAATTAATATTCTTCTAGCCCATGCTGGAGTTTTTGATTCACCAGGAACCCGGCAACTTTTTATTGAAGTTTATTCACGTGTAAGGAATTACTCTATTAACTCGTTTTGGTCTGATGTTGTGGATTCTCCATCAGTCCTTGATCTCACAGATGAACGTTCATTTATGAAAAAGCCCTCCAGTTGTCCCAATACATTCTTACGTCGGAAAACTTTAGAAAAAGAACGAGGAAAGAAGCTAAAAGAATCTAAATCTGTTACTGAAGATGCTGAACCAATGGAAGTTGATTCACCAGAATGTGAAAGATTGGAAATACCACCATTTTTTGATGAAAATTTAACAGATCAAAATCAGAATTCAATCAAATTTGAAGATGAGGACAAAGACTTATTTTGCATGGGTAGAACTTTAGGTACTCAAGATCCTTATGGTCAACGAGTATTACAGATAGCATCAATCTTGAGAAACTTAAGTTTTACAAGTGAAAATGCTGCAGTGTTGGGTAGAAATCGTTGTTTTCTAAGATTTGTACTTCTAAGTGTATGTGCGCGATGGAGTAATCTTCATCAATTAGGATTTGACATTCTTGGAAATATAGCAAACGAAATAATTCTTAAAGAAGCCGGGGAGAGGCTAAGCGAAGGTATTCTTTCTTGTGTAATAAAAGGAATAGAGTCTGCTGATCGGTTTATTGCTATTTCGTGTCTAGAGGTGTTAAATAAACTTAGTCAACAGGACAGCAATGAAGAAATAGTAACATTTGGACTTGATGATAATGTTTACGAGTTAATATGCAGGTTTTTAGCACTTAGTGATATCGCATTACTTGTTTATACACTTGAGTGTTTATATGCATTAACATCATTAGGTGAAAGACCGTGTACAAGTGTTGCTAAAGTTCGGGGTGCCATTGATACTCTCGTAGCACTTGTAACCGTGGAAGCACAAAGCTATGGACCTAAAGCATGTATTTTGATGAGAGTTGTTGAAACAGTGTCTACTGTACCTGCTTCTACAACAAACAGTGGTCAAACGTCTGTATCCTCAACTGTGACTACTGCTTCTACTACAAATGCAGTAGTTACAACACCTGTTGCATCTTTAACATCAACAACGACGACGGCGACTACGACAGCCACGACAACTATGACAATATCAGCACCTGTTAGTCCTGTTACATCACGACCAACTACACCAGCTGCTCCCGTATCTAAAGCTGCATCTAATAAACTTGCTGAAGCAGCTAATTCACTCCAACAACAGCATGCTCATCAACAGATTATTCAAGAAAATGAACAGTTTGCTCTAGGGTGGTTAAGAGCTACTTTCGAGCTTGCTCCTGGTGTTAAAATTGAACAAGAAGAATTATATAAAAAGTATCTTGGGTGCTGCACGAAAATCGGAAGAAGAGGAGTCATTGCACCACTTCATTTTCCTAGATGTGTTAGGTAAATGTTATTATTTATTAATTGATTGTAGTTTAAAATTAACTGCAAAATTATGGCATATAAATTGAATTTAATATATATTCAAATTTAGGTCTGTCTTCGGTGGTACTATAGGACCAAATCCTGCTAAAGGAGAAACCACTGGCACTCAATACTACGAAGGGATTAGAGTTCGAGCCACTCCTGCACCAGTAACTTATCCGAGCCAAAATGCTGTTGCAATTAATGCAGTTTCTTCAGCGGCAATAACCACACCGCCAGTAAAGGTGCTTCCTGTTCAACAGCGTACAGTCACGCCCATAAATCCTGCACCTGACAGCACAGCCCTAGACAAATCATCCAAGTTTTCAGCAACACCCGCGTCCCCTATACTAAAAGCCCAGTTGTCAGCCCCACCAAAACCATCCCCAAATCAACCCCACAATCCAGCCACAATCACCAAGGTTGACTCTAAAAGTCAGGTGGGTCCAAATCCTAACTCTATCTCTACATCATCTTCTTCATACCCTTGGTTACTCATCTATTGTATCCTTCTTGCATTTTCATACCATCATCTGCATAATATATGACATTTTTAGCCTCGACTTAATTAATTTTAATCATTGAGTACGTAAAGATTGATTTAAATCGCTCATAATTTGCTTTTTTTTCAATTGCTCTACGCTTTTATTTCAATTTTTGGTGGTGGGTAATTAGTAGCATTTTTTATAAATATGATAAGAAAATAAATAAGGTTAAAGGATTATTGAAAATTATTTTTACTCATAAAGGATTAAATTTTCTCGTACAATTTCACAAAGTAATCCATTAATCTTTTTTAATTATCGTAGAAGTACTTTAGAAGCTTATAGATGATGATAAATACAGTATTTGCTAGAGTGTTGAGTATTGTGATTGGTATGAACTTAGGTATCAGTGGCACATCCTCATTTGAGCCAAGCATTACTTGCAAGTGGCTCCCAACCCCAACAACAACAACAGCAACAGCAACAACCAACTCAGTTACAAGTTCAACAACAACAACAACCACCAACTCAAATGCAATCTCATGTAATTCAAGTAGTGACGAAGGATGATAATCGATCTGGAACAACATCAAGTTCAATAATAAAAAGCCTTTTGGCTACAAAGGTAACCGTCAGCGGCGACTGCATGCCCAGCGCCGCTGTGACTTGTGTGTCTCCCTCGAATGCCTGCGTAACAAATACTACTGTTAGCATCGCATCCAGCATCAGTGCCAATCAACTAATAACCAGCAACCAGGTATTGTTGTTGTAATAATAACATAGATCAGACTTTTTTATTTGTTAGGAAAAAAAATTATATATTTGTATTTTATTGAAAAGTAAGATAATATTTTGGTGCATTACTTTTAAAATTATGTACAGTAAAAAATTATTGTGTGTTTTTTCGCATGTTTTTTTTTATTTGCTTAGATTTTAAGTAGTTTTATAAATACAATTTTTTTTACATATATTCAGTGTTAACGATATTAAAAGTCAATTTTTGATCAGTTAATTTATGAAGGCACTGATAACCAGAATACTAACATAAGCACGTTTTTGTTTATTTTTTTTTTATTTTTAAAAACGTTTTGGTTAATAACAAATTAGACAAAAAAAACCAAATCCCAAATCTATTGACGATTCAACACGATTATCTTTATTTGATTTATTCCTAATATTTAATTTTAATTTACATAAAGATTACGAGAATAAAAAAATTTTTTATGTTGGCAGGTTGCACAGCGACAGCAGCAACAGAAACTGCTTCAACAACAGCTATCTGGAGGAAATCAAGTAAATACGGTGAATGTTATGCCAGTATCTACTATAATATCGACACCCACAACCACTTCTGCACAAACGACTCTTCCTTTAAAATCTCCAGCTAACTCAAAATTGAAAAATATTACAACCTTAAATGCTCCTGCCAAAAAAGTACAAAGGGTTAATGGAGCTAAAATTGTTGTAGCTAATAATTGTGACAAGGTATATAAAATGTTTATTCTAAATTCATATAAAAGTGGTACAATGCAACTTTGAATTAATTTGATTTTTCAGACTGACACACCTGATAGTGACAATCAATTAACGACAATGATGACTCCAACGATGTCTGCAATGACAGAAAACCACATAAATGCTGCTTCAAAAGTATGTAAACCCCCACTAGGTACAGCATCAGTTTCAAGTGTAAAACAATCAAACATAAGGCCAGTTTGTACTTCATTTGGCGAAGACTCAGATTCTACCAATAATTCTTTAGCTTCTAGTAGTGGAATTGGCGGTAGTCGCGATTGTCCAAATGTTGGAATCGAAGAAGAGAATTCTTTAATTAGTTTTGAAGGGATTTTACAAAACGGAGCTTCGGGAAGTTTGGACATTGATCCTCAAGAGGATGGATCGTCAAAAGATTCTTCTAGTTTGAGTTCTAAAGATAATAAACCATTAGGAAGTTTGATGTTGGCAGATTTACTGGAAAGGAAGATTGAAAAAGACCCATTAGTTAATGGAGTGATTGGTAAAAATTCTTCCAGAGATAAGTGTTCAAATTTAGTTGAAAATCATATTAATAAAGCGCTTAAAGATTTACCAGACTCATCAGTGAAAACGGAATTAGAACCTGGACTTTCTGATGAAACTTTAATTGAAGCACCCAGAGGAATTAAAAGATCACCAAGTGAATCTGAAGAGCCTACAAAAAAACCCAAGTATTCTAATGGTACTACATCTCCAGAAGTCAGCGTTGATGGTGCAACAGTAGAATCTACTATGTCTAGCTTAAAATCTGAACCTGAGGATTCAGAGGATAAAGACAATGAAAAAGTTACGGTGTCATCAACGGCAGCTAATTTATATGCAGCGCTCGCTGCTGATTGTATTGAAGATGAGACAGACCTTGATGAACCGATTAAAGAAGAACCAGTAGTAATCAAAGAAGAACCTCGAGCATTTATTAATCAAATTGATTCTCAAATTCAACAACAAGTGTCCGCACCAACTCAACAACTAATTGTCACTGCACCACGACAAATTGTTGTTCAACAAGCGATTCAAGCTAATAATCAAGTTATCATTCCAACAACTCAGATGAAGGCACGAGCAACTTCACAACCTCAGGTACTTCTTCAACAAAGTGCTGGAGGACAGCTTCAGTATGTAGTGTCTGGTGGAGTTCCAGGTCAAAATTATGTTTTAGCACAATCCCAGACTGCATTAGTTCAGGGTCAAGCCCAAACAGTGCTTGTGGCACAAACTACTCAACAACAAGGCACTGGGGCGAAAACGATTATTATACTCCAGCCTCAATCTTCAAGTCAAACGAGTCCAAAAGTTGTCGCTATGACTCCTCAAGGTCAACAAGTTGTTGTTACTCAAGTTCCCCGGCCAATTATTCAAAGTTCAGCTCTTGGAAATATCCCGCCACCTCTTGTTCCGACATCTGCGGCTATTCCGCAAGGAATTATTGTTAACAGTTCGATAGCACAAAGTAACACGAATACAGTGACTGTAACTATTCCTGCAATGGCCCAAGCATGTCCAGTGACTAGTAGTGTTCCTTCTCGAGTTGTAACGCCAACACCCGCATCAACACCTCCCCCAACAAGACCTACTACTCCCCATCAAGTTGCTGCTACTCATGCAGTTAGTGCTAAACAACCAGTTAAAGTAGTTAAAGCCACCAATTCTAATGTAACTACATCAACTGATAACGATTCAAAAGCTTCAGTGAGTCAGTTAACTGGAGATAAAACTATAACGATAAAGATCGACCCGAATGCTTATTTATGTGAGTGGCGGGGGTGTTTACGACAATTTAAATCTGCTCATGAAGTTTATCTCCATGTTTGTGAAGCTCATTGTCCGTCAGGATCTGATGAAATTTTATGTTTGTGGGCCAGTTGTGACGGATTGAAGAGGAGGAGATTTTCTTTAATGACACATCTTTATGATAAACATTGCAATTCAGAGGTAAACTATAAAATTTTTAATAATTTAATTTATCACATTTATTTAAATAATGATTAGATTAAGATGTTAATATTTTATCAATTGATGCATAGACTTTTTATTAATTAGAAATGATTTATTAATAGAGCATGGCTGCGAGAAGAAAACAATTAACTGCCACTGGAAAAACTGAAGTTTCAACTTCTACTCCTCAGACATCTCATCACCCAGGTTATGCACCAAATGCTGCCTTTCATGCAATTAAAAGACATGCTCTTGAATTCGTTAATCCGAAGGAATTGATGGTAAAATTATTATTTTATAATAAATTATGATAATGATTATTATTACAAGAGAAATGTATTCCCCTGAGATTTTATTTATTTATTTCTATGAAATCTCAATAATCAATTAATCAGAATTCTTTAGTTTGGTTAAGGATAAGACTAGATAACTAATCTTAAGACATCTTCCAATCAATAATTTAAAATTTATATATACATATATTGGATAAAAATTTACTGGAAATATGAATTTAATTTACAAAGAAATAGTCAAAATTATTTAGCTTTGGAATGATGCAATCCTATCTAATTATGTACTTTTTTCCTTGTAATAATACTTTTATAAATATTTGCCTTCTGATTTTTCTGGTGTAGAACGATTCTGTATTTGATTTTATTAATTTATTATTTAAATTAACAACTCTTACTGTAAATATAAAACAAACCTAACCCTATAATTTCTTGTTCTTCTGGTAATGCAGCAAAGGCCAAGCAAGCCGGCTGCTACTACCGTGAGTTCTTCTCCCCGACCTGGGCAAAATCCTCCACCAGAGCAGGTAAAAATTGTAAAAATAAATGGGAAATATCTTCGATTGATTGTGCATTGTTGAAACGATTGCATGAACTTTCTTAAAGCTTTTGTTCTTCAGCTTCTTTTAATGATGTATTTATTGACTATCTTTTGCTTTTTATAATAAATACTAATACTCAATTATAAAATTAATTATTTGTTCTATCTGCTTTACTAACAACATCATTATAATAATATATTTATTTTTTTCTATGAAATCATTTATTTGATCTCATTTTCATAAAATATAATAATAACTTTTTCATGTTCCTGTGAGTTGTTTATTTGTGTTGAAAAACTATTTAAAAAATTTTTCAAATTTATGTATTTTTACATATAAAAACATTTCATAGCATGTATATGATTATTTTTATCGTACATTCAATTAACTTTTTTGAATAATTCATTTTGCAATTTTTATAAATAGTTTTTTTTTATTAGAATGCTGAATTTTTATGGTGCAACAAAAAATATAAAAAAAAATATTCAAGTAATTGGAAATGAACAAACAAAATAATCAATGTATTGTTTTTTTTTATAGGACGATAATGAAGGTCCTGTTACAAAAAGTATTCGCCTTACGGCAGCTCTAATTCTCAGAAACCTAGTCATTTATTCTGCCCATGGAAGAAGGTAAATAATAAAATTACTTTAAATAAAGTTTTGAGTTAAATTAATTCAATTGTTCAGCTTCAACCAAGTGTGTTAATGTATTTGAATATAATTGTAATTAATTTTAATTGCATTTCAGGCATCTTCGAGCATATGAACCTCACTTGGCCGGAGTAGCATTGAGTAATGTTGAATCATCGAGGACAATTGCCCAAGTTCTCTATGATATGAATGATCAGAGTAATAATAATCGCAGGTGACCTTTTCAATGAGGATTTCAATGCTAACATTGCTGTTTGTTTCCACTTAAATGAGCATCGATCAATATAATTATTATTACTTGTAATATTACTATTCCCACTACAATTACATTTACGTCTATAATTAATGAATCTACTATAACTAAACTATTGCATTGCTACGTATAGAGACATGAATTAAATTTTTAAAAACAATAAACGAAAAAGAAGATTTTTTCCTTTATGAGAAATTTAATCCAACAAACTGAGATAACTCCTCCCTTCTTTATTTATTTAAAAAATTCGACGCTCAAATTATATAAATATATAAATAAATATATTTACACAATAAATAACACTTCTTTTTCGAACTTCTACGTGAACACTAAGAATACTGTATAAGGGATTCAATAATTTGGTACGAAAAATATTACAAATGTGTGAATGACAAACTTTTTTCAAATTCAACAATAACGATTAATATACACATACGAAGTGAGGCCTATTAACTTATTAGGCAACATCTAATTGCCAAGTTAGATTTAATGTATAGAATGAATAAAAAAAAATAAAATTAAGCGTACATAAAATACATGAAATTTAATCAGTAGAATGAAAAATGAACGTGACGTAGATTAATATTCAAACTAATGAAATAGGAGGAATGCGAGATGATACGGGTGGGACAATTTAATCGAGTATTAATTGATAAGTTCAATATTACTTTATAAAATACGATATGAAATGAAAGAGATAAAGGATAAAATAAAAAGAAAAAGGTAATGATAGATTTAAGAAAGATAAAGAGACGAAAAATATTAAATGATTGAGATAATTGAAATTTAAGGTTTATATTTATTTTCTCAATGAAAAAAAAAAAATGTGGAAATGATAATGAGTACATAAAAGATTACATGATTTTAGTAAAAGTGTACAAAATAAATGTGTTTAAGTATACCAGTAAAATGATGAAATAATTTATAAATAAACAAGATTAAATCCGTGACATAAAATAATAACAAATGTAATGTATGACTTGCAATGGATTCATCTGTCTTACATGGATTTATGATACATGATATTTATATTCCACAACTCTGTAAAGTTATCATTAATATCATTCATTCATTCATTCATTCATTTATTCATAATTATTATTATTGTTAGTATATTATCAATACTATTATTTTATGTAAAATGTATTTTTTTTTACTGTATTGACTTTGATAGCGCATTGATATTATTATGAATATTATTAGAAATTTTATTATTATGCATCTTTTCTTTTTTCTAGTTTCTTTGCACTGTATTATGAAAGTGAGATGTAAAAATGCTAAATGAATGTTATTGTAATTCAATTGATAAGTAGTAAAAAAAATTTAGTTCGGTTTATGGTAAATAGCGTAAATTATAAATGGAAGACTCGGTAAGAAATTGTTTTTGAAATTAAATAATTTTTTTGATAATTTCCTAACTATTTTTTTGAACAATTTTGCATGTAAAAAATGATTCTAAGGAAGGAAAAAAATGAAATTATATCAATTTTTATCGTATTCTATTAGTTAATATACATATTTTGTGCTAAATTTTTTTTACTATCTGTTGTATAAATATGAAAAATTAATAATAAAATGAAAAAAACAGTATCCATATCACAGTCTACTTTGTAAAATATATAATAAGTAATTTTTTTTTGAAGTTTTTACGTCTATGATAAAATTAATATTTTTGTCAGTTAATCGTAAACAATAAAAAATTTAAGAGAAACTCATTTATTAGGTTTTTCAATGAATCATTGAAAATAAATCATGACATTAAATAAAAATCTCTTTTGTTAGATTTAAATTAACATATTTAACTATTAAAACATTGAAAAAAAATAATGTAAAATCAAATTTAATAAACAAAAAATCTACCAAATCGAAGTAGCTTGTTGATTAATTTCAACTTGATAAATAAAATAGAGCCCAGCATTTACATTAAATAATAATTTATTCATTTTCATTCATTTACTTTTTTAATATTTAATATACTTGTGGAAATAGTTAAATCTTAATACGTAAAAAAATTTATTAATAAAAGAAAAGATTATATTATTTCTAAAGGTTATGGGAATTAAAGAAGAAATAAGTAAATAAAAATTTGTAATATTTTATATAAATAAAAAATCTTCTGAACCGAAAAGAAAAAACAATATAAGTTAGTAATTTTAAAATAAACAGAATAGCATAAGAAAGTATGCCAGACAACTTGCTACTAAATTGTTGCAATAAGTTTAAAGTTACGTTTTGTAAAAATTTTTGAAATAATCTATGAATAAGTAATTAAATAAGGACTGTATGTATATGTTCTACAAAAATATTCTATACATACTTGTAAATAATTATTAATTAAAGATATAATTATAATCAATAAAACTTATGATAAAAAAAGAATATTACTGATGGGTTGATTGGTAATAATCACAATTTAACTTTTGTTCAATTGTAATGATACAGCAAAAATTTATTATTTACTTACAAGTTTCATTCAAAATATCAATATATTATAAAAAATTCACACATTTTACAAAATTTCTATACACCAAATAATTCATAGGGATCCATTCTTCTATTCGTATCAATTTACGCTATGCAAAAAATTTATTATTATTTATTACAATAGTTGAATCGCCATCTTATTAATTCATCAACCATTTATCTTAATATAATTATTATCTCTTTCCTTTCTTCTTCATGGAACTCTGATGATGATCTTGATTTATTTGTCGCTGTGGAGGAGCATGATGTTGACCTGTTCGTCCTGGTAATGGTCTCAAATTATATGGATGACCAGTAGATGGTACTTCTAAATGTTGATCATGTCTTTCAGATTGAGGATGACGTTTTCCTCTAATACCTTGTGTTGCATCAGCAGTGATTCTACTAACTGGAATATGTGATACGTTTGGTTCATGTACAGGTCGAGGAATATCGTATATTGGTTCATGATGAAACGAAGAAGATGCAAGTGTACGTGGAGGAGGTGTTACACCAGCTGCAGCCGTAGAAGAAGAAGGAGTTATACGAGTTTCTTGTGATAGCACTGACGTGATATTCTCAGGTCTAGGAATTGGTTCAGTTGCTTGTCTTATAGATGATGCTGCTGGGGTAAATGTAGAAGATGATATGGGTATCATTGTATTTGGTATTGAACTAGGAACTCGAGAAAAATTACATCCTTCACATTTTTCATAATCACATTCTCTCATATCGCTCATCTGTCTATCATTTGCTCTTTGTGTTTGGGCAGTTATCATCATACTGTTTCCTTTAGCGTCACGAATTGACTGAAAATTAATAGCACTGTAAATCACATCATCCTTCTTTGGAATCGGATCGACATGTCGTACAGCAGATCTTTTATGTTGATCAACATCTGAACACGATGTTTTTTCATTTACCTTTTTTGTTATTGTAATATTACGAGTAACTTTCTTATTTTTTTGAGGGTTTACAGTAATTGATGTTGCTGAAATTTGTTGCTCAATAAGGTCAGGATCAGTTCCCGTTTTAGCATGTTTTATACGGGGTCTTCTAACTTTCGAACGTGGTTCAAGACTTGGATCAATAAATCCTATTGTATCAGATTGTATTCCAGCATCATGTAATTTTTTCGTTTCATTATATTTAGGTTCGGGAAAATTAGAAGTTGAATTTAATATCATTTGACTTATATCATTGAATTTCTGCTCCATTATATTAGAAAGTTCTCTGAAAGTATTTGCTGTTTTAACAATTGTCTGATTTGCGAGATTAATCCACTTTTGTGGATCATCTTGTAAATTATTTCTGGGTCTGTGATGTTTTGGAAATATTTCATGTCTTGAGCTTTCAATTACTTCATCTGAATCAGAAAAAATATCTTGTGAATTTATTCCGATTTCAACATTTCTTCGTGGCAGATCATATGTTCGGTCACGAAGAGTTTGTTGACGTTCTCTAATCCTTCTTCTTGGTCTTTGGGGTGTTGGAGGAATTACCTCATCATCTTCATCATCACCACCATCAAATTCACTACTCAGTAAGTCAATATTTTGAAGAACAGGAAAACGCTCATCTTCAATTCTATCGACATGCACAGTTCGAGTAATATTTAAGTTTGTTGTTGTAATTGGCACTTCATTGTAACGATAATTTCTATCACTATCAGTATCTTCTACTAATAACTCTTGAGGATTATCGCGATATATTTTACAATTTGGAAGATGTTCATTTTTTCTACATCCACAAGGTTCTAGACCAGAATTATACTTTCTTCTATTTTTACTTCCCTTTTGTACTAATTCAGGTTCAAAGCCAACTACTTTATTTGATGTTTTCATTGTCGCAGCTTCTTGATAAGCTTCAAGTCTCGTAAAATCTGATTTTCAATTAATAATATTTTTTTAAAATTTGAAAGAATCTTTTAGATAATTCCTATTTCTTTTTTTAATCATTTTTATTACCATTTGCGTCAGCTTTTTTACGATTATCTCGACTTCCAATTATCTTTAGTTTAATATTTTCATGAGTACTATCTTCTAAAAATGAAGCCTCTAAATAAAGTACTCCATATCCAGGAACATTTATTTCCGATATTGATGATTCTATAAGGTTAATTGTAAAATAATTTAAAGAACTTGCTAGAGATTGGACTCTAGACCAACATTATTCAAACCTGTATTTATTTCTCTATTAAATGCAGTCTGATCGCTACGTTTTACTGGTAACACAAAACCTGATGAGTTAGTAGCTTTCTGTATAGACATACATGAATCTATCAAATTTATTGATTTAATAAACTATTCAAAAGATAAATTAATCAAATATTTATTTTTTATTTAAATAATTTCATTTAAAGTATCTGGCGATGAGTTCAATGATCTGCAAACAGAAAATTTCAGTTTTTAATCATCATTACAATTTAGAGAAGAAAAAAACCAACAAAAGTAATAGAAGAGTTTGAAAGTATAACATAGAAGACAGATAAATAATTTTTTATTTTAATTTTTTTTATGAAGTTCAGTTTGATTTATTAATGAACAACCACAACGAGTTAAAGAAACGTTAAATCGTATTTTTTTTTTACTTGAGTTTAGAGAGGTTGGAGTCTCTTGGGGACAGGATTGTGGATACGAATTATAGGGTAATCGTAACCATTCTCGGTGAGAGCTAAAGGTTTGTTGAAAATTAAATAATAATATAAAGATAAAAAGAATTTATCAAAATAAATATTAAACATAGTCAGAGATTAAAGAAAACAGTAGGATGAAAGATAAATAATAAAAACTGTAATATGAAAATTTATTCATTCAAAACTACCTAGGTGGAGAATTGATGAGATCATCGGTTGTATTTGAAGAAAGCTGTAGATGTTTTGCAGAGTACGATAAATTTCTAGAAAAAATATCAAGTACAATTTAAAATATATTCAAATGAACTCACAAACGTTTCGAGAAAAAAAATTACCTTCTTTGTTCTTCGTTTTGTTTTGCTCGATTAAATTGTTCATCAGTTACAGCTCTTCGAAGTTGACTAATTTGATTGCTATATTCTGTAGTTTGATTTTGCCAACGTTTTAGTTCAGCCGATTGATTTGATCTACAATGTTTAATTAATTATTTCCTTTGTTATTTTTAAATTTAAACATACTCACAATTCATTTTGTAATTTATTCGTCTTTTGCTTCAGCCGATCAATCTCATTATGTAGTTTCTGATTATTTTGTTGATGTTCAATAGCTTCTAATCTTGCTTGATCTAGTAGCGATTGTAATCGGTCGATAGTAGCTTGATCATGAGATTTCTGATTTTGATTAATATTATACTCAGCTTCAAGTCTAGCTAATTCTCCTTCTAAATTACTAATTGTGGCATTTTTCTGCCCTATTTCTATTGCATAAGTTTCTTTTTGCTGTTCTAATTTAACGCACAAATCACGAAGTCCATTAAGATCAGTTTCTGCTTGATCTTTTTGGTCTACTTGCTGACGAACATCCGTTTCAAGTCTTGCAATTGCTTTGGTCAATTCTGAAATCTATCAAATAATTATAATTTATTAATAAATCATTTTTAAGTATTTTCATTAAAATTATTTAGTAAAAAAATCTTAAAATAATGAATAGATAAGGTGAACCAATAATTTTGTATCTACTAAGCATCCATCTTGTTATTTCTTCGATAGAAAACAAAACAATAAACGTATTAATTATTCACCTGATTTTCGTAGCCTGCAATCAAGCAATTTTTATTAGCTAATTCTCTTTCTAAATCATCCAATCGATCATTAGCTGCTCGTAGAGCTTCTTTCGCCTCTGCTGCTTCTGATTTCAAGCTATGTTTATCACTTTCAAGAGCAGTTGTTTCTAAGCTTAAATTTTTAAAGTGGTGCAACATCTCTGATCTTTCTTTTTCTTTATCATTAAGTAATTCTTCAGTATAACGTACTTTACTAACATAAGTTTGCAATTGCTTTTTTAAATCAGATGATTCTTTCTTTAAATCATTCAGTTCTCGTTGAAGACTTTTAATTTCACAAGTAAGCGCAGCCAACTCGTTTTGTAGTCTTTTATTTTCTTGAATAACATTATCTCTTTCTGATGACACTGCTAATAACTGTCGATTATAATTATCAATTTCCATTTCTAAATCTCGTAATCTTCGTTCTTGATCTGCACTCTGATCGACACATATTCTGAAAGAAAAAAAAAATATTATTTTATTTCATTTATTCCATGGGAAAATGCATCATCATGATTGATAGATAGTTCATTACGAGAAAAAGGAAAAAATAGAAAGTAACAAGTAAATATAAATTACTGCAGTTGCGGAACAGGAATAAAACTAGATTTTGTGGTCCAGTCATGATGTCTTTACAGCAAACAGGAAATCATTAATATCTTCCGCAAATAATTAAGCTTATTTTTTGTAAATATTTATCATGATAATCAATAATTGATCATTCTATTATTCGAGCTTATTCAACTTGATTTACTTTTTCCCAAAATAAAAAACAAAAGAGAACTTGACTTGTGCAATAATTAGATAACTAGATTAATTACGATCATAATTAGATCAGAAGTTGAATAAGTGATGAATTAATTATGATATCAAAAAGCAGATAAAGAGACGAGGAAGAAAAAAAACTATAGAAAAAGTGGGAATAATACATGGTCATGGGGAAACCCTACTATAGTAATGTGAAGACTCTTAACACGATACAAGACTAATGTAAGGCATCCACTTTCACTTCTGCCATCAATTGGTATTATATCACAATTAGACTGAGTTGGAAGGATTTAAAAAATATTGTATAAAAAGATGAGAAAAATAAACATGACTTATAAGCAGACGAATCTTAATGTTTGAGTTTTATATCCGGATTGTAAGTATGAAAGTGAAAACTACAGGAACATGATGTTCTTGATAATAATAATTAAATAATGACGGTATAATTATGAAAAACTAATTTATCTAAATTATAGACACTGTTATTGTCAATAAAAAATTACATTTCTGAATGCATTTTTAAAATTATATACATTAATAAATACAATAATAATAATTTAAATTTATAATTATAATTATTTAAGATCTTTCTGCTCCTATTATTCCTTCATTAGAAATAATTCTGTAGTATAATGAAGATTGGGTATCTCATGATTCACGTCTTATAATTATGTTAGGAGGATGTAAGTTAGTTGCATTGCTTAATAACAAATTTTTACGAATGAGATGGAAAACCCACTGATTCAAAATGTATATTGGAATATTTCATACATTAATCGCCATCTTTTTAGAGCAGTTTAAATGGTTTAGGTGTTAGGTAATCGAACAGTAAGAGTTAACTTCTTGAATCAAATTCTCCTCAGTCTCTTTGTGACTCTCATACTGTCTAGACCTCCGCAATGTATCCAAGATTTTTTGTATAGTCTTATTCATATTATTATCACTATAAATTGTAAATTTATGCTGTCCTATCATACAGTTTTGAGTGATTATTTACAAAATAGTGATACCACAATAAATTAATCATGTAAGTAAGACGTCTAGAAATATTCTCAAAATGATTAATTCTCAAATTTAAATTGATTGAAGATGCAAAATTATATTATGAACATTTTAATAATTTTTAAAATAAAAATTAATTTTTTAATTGCCGTTTCGTATTGATTTTAAATTTTATTTTGAAATAAAATAATTTATAAGTATAATGAAAATATTTAATATATTCCTTAATCTTAGAATATTTCGACTTTAAAATAGTAAGAATTCTAGGTCAAAGGTACGGTTTCTTTGAATAAATGAAATCGAAAATAGAATTTTAAAATTAAAAATCAAAGATGCATGATTTTTTATACAACATATCTTCAAACGTATGTAATTTGAATATTTAAGTATTAATAATGGATTATTCATTAGTTTCTAATCTTTCTGTGCAAATAGAAAATTCTTTTATCACCTTTATGAAAGTAAATATAACAACAATAATCATTAATATAAATGAAAAAAAAAATTAATCATTAAAAACTAAAAATTTTTTAAATGAAAAAAAATGTAATATTTTACATTAATGTCTAAATTAATGTGAAAGGCTAATTACTCGAGTTGAATATATTGAAATTGTAAGAAATTTTTTATCACCGATAATCATTCTTTTGTATGATTTTATAAAGCTTTTTCTTCAGAGTTAATTTCTAAAATGACGATAAATTTAATTAGTTGATTGATTAATTTCCAAATTTAATTGTTATGCAACTACAAAAAATAATTTATGTATCAATACACAATTTTCTTCAATTATTATTCATGACGCTTAATATAAAAAAAAATAGGTTAAAAATTACATAAACATTTAATTATTACGCCAAAGTGACCAGAATTTAAAATTTCTTCGTCCTCTCTATTAATTGTACTTTCACTCGTCTTGACCTTCAGTGTAAAAGATCAAATTTCCTACAAGAGATTATATATACAACAGCAATATATTCAACATAGACAAGTATACAGTGAATTTAAAAAAATCAAAAAAATAAATTAACAAAAATTATTTTTAGAAAACCATTTTCATTCAATTTTTTAAAGATAAAGCACTATTTATTTAATTTAATTCTGTAATTGTGTCGACATTGTCAAGTCAGGGACAATGCCATTGCCACAGTATAGTAGTGAAAGTGAAGTTTAGCTCGTATATGAATCTAGATTTGAAGTAAGCACTTTCAAAATATTATCTTCTTAAATACAATTTATACGATGACATTTTCCAAGACATTTCAAGGAGATGTTTAAGTTATTTATGTAAACACTATATCTTGTCTAAGTAGGACTGCATCTAATGTCAGCATAGATGTATAATTGATGATCTTTCAATATTTAATTGAATTTATTTTTTTGTTTCTTTTTAGAATGATGAGCAAATTGCTAGAAAGTCTTTTATGTCTTTCATTTATTGTAAATATAAAAAGTGCAATAGTACCACCACCATGGGCTAATCCATCAAGTAATCCATGTGCAGTACAACCACGTGGTTGGCAATTACTTTATTGGCCTGCGGACGGTAAATGTTATAAAATATTTCAAGTAAGTGAAATAATTATCATATTAATTCATATTTAATCATTTATCATTTTTTTATTGATAAAATAAAATAAAATTGATCGATTTTCTAGATTGGAGCACCATGTCCTGAATCTATGGAGCTAGGTCCAGCTGCAAAAGGAGGTGGAACGATAGCAGAATGTCGATGTCCACCAGGGACAGCTCAATCTCGTAAAGATTCACTTTGTTACCCAATATTCACAAAAGCTTCTTGTCCAAGTGGGCAATATTTTGCTCCAATCTCTGACTCCAATACTAATCGGTAAAATACAACCACCATGAATCGTAATATAATTCAGCTTTCTAAGAAATATAAGTACTAAAATTTTTTTTCTAGATCCACTGGACGATGGGGAATATGCAAAGAACCAGAAAAATGCTCTGAGCATACTCAGGTATTCTGGCCTCGTGATGAAAAATGTTATACAAAATTGACACGTGGACCTTGTCCGAAAGGACAGCTTCTGACTTTAAATAAAGACAATCTAGCAGAATGCCAATGCTCATCAACAGATAAAGAACTTGGACTTTATTATTATCCTGATAATAAAGGAGGATGTTATGAACATTACACTAAAGGACCTTGTTCAGAACCTGGTGAAATATTTTTACCTGGAGGAACTTGCGGATGTCAACAAGATATTCCTCATTATCATTCTTCTACCAAAATGTGTTATCCTTTAGGTAAACGAAATAAAAAATGTAATTAAGTTGGTTTGAAGATTTAATTTGACTTTTTCCTTAGGTGAAATCGGACCATGCCTGAAAGGTCATCATTTCGTTGTAACTAACAAAAGTATGTCAGAAAATCGGATTTTTGCAACTTGTACTTGTAAACCAGATCACATTCTCTATAAAGATGGATTGTGTTACCGAAAATATACACGTGGACCCTGTGAGACAGGTTACATGATTATTAATTCGACGAACTGTATTCCAGTTCCTTGTAAACGTCGAAGACTTTTTTTCCCTCAAGAAAAAACTTGCTATAAAATTGGATCAAAAGGACCATGTCCTAGTGGCCAAATTGTACTTTACGATCGAAATGTACGTCCTTCGATTGATGGCGTTAGCTATAATGGTGTATGTGGTTGTACCGAAACACTAAAACTGGCAGGAAAATGTTCTGAGAATACTGATTTTAATGATACGTGTGAAAATACTCCAGGAATGTTTCTGCTTAATAAAACATGTTATAAATTATACACTCAAGGCCCATGTGGACTTGGAGAATGGTTGGTACCAAGAAGGCAATCGAAAACACAAGAAATATTCCAAGATACAAATAAATCCAAAATAAGATGTGAATGTCGACCCGGTTATAGAAAAATAACTCGAGCATCAGAGTTGATTGATATAGAAATTAATACTTTAACAAACTTCAGTCAGTGTCAACCACCAGCAGTATCTTTAGCTGAATTTCTCAATAAAAATTTCAAAAACAGTGATTTTGAAGTTTAATCTTGAGCAATGGCAATTTGCTCAAAACTTTAATTATAAATTGTGATAAATTTTCAAAACTATTTTCATTTTTCGAACTTTGTACAAATATATCTGTATATTCTTAGTTAGATAAGATACTATTTATTGATTTTGTAATTATTTTTAAGAAAATAAATAAATATCAAAAAATAACTCACGCATTTTTGTGATGAATTTCTCGAAGTTGTTGTTCTATTGCATGTCGCTGTTGTTCTTTTAACATTAATTCGCTTTCTAAATCTGCTATTCTTTCTGTTTTTTCATCTAGTTTGAGCTAATTAACAGAAGAATTAAAATTATTCTAATTATAAATCAATGAATTATTTGGTAATGTAAATTACACAATTCCATTTTATTTCGCTTACCACTAATTGATCTTTATCTGAATGCAAGCGATTCATATTTGATTGTAATGTATTAATTTCTTGTTTTAAATTTTTGACTTGATTATTCAATTGAATGTGCTGTTGTTCTAAAGTACGATTACGATCCATTACTCTCGATATTTCTGCTTCAGATTGAGCTAATTGATTGCGAATTTCGTTGAGAGTTTGATCAGTTTGTTCTTGAAGAGCTCTAAAAATATCAATTGATTGATTGATTGAAACAAAAAAAAAATAATACTAATAATAATGAAACTTACACTAGTTTGGAATATTGATTTCGTTGGTTTTCATACTTCCGCCTAGTTAAATGTAATTCTTCTTTGATATCTTCCATTTCTGTTAAAGCAGTTCGTTGTGAACCTTGTGATAACAAAATATCTTGTCTTTGTCTTTCTGCTTCATCTAATTTCATTTCTAAATCTCGTATTTTTTCTTTCAATCGCTTTTGTTCTGCGGTATGTGCTCCCGTAGCTAACTAAAAAAAATCAAGAGCAAATAAATGATTATTTCAATGTTAGTATTTTTGGATAGCATAAAAATACTAATATGATAACACCTACTCTCAACTTTTCTCGAATTATATCTCTTTCTTGAATTACTATTTCTAAATCATTCCTCATTTTATCTCTTTCTCGTTCCAAGCGTGATAATGTTATCTGTTAAAAAAAATAATTTAACAATCAATTCAATTTTTCTATTCAATAATATTTTACATTAATTATCAATTCCTTACCCTGTTCTCTCCACTATCTAAATTAAAGCCACCTTGATGACATTTACATTTACTGAGATCACATGCATTCTGTACTTGCATTCTATACATATTTTCTAATTCTAATTTTTTACAACTGATTTCAGTCTTTTCTCGTTTGAGCTCTGTAATTTGAGCTTCTCTCTCATTCAATTGATGTTTTAAATCACATATTTGAACGTATAGATCAGTCTATAAACGTGGAATATTTTTAAAAGATTGATAAATAATTAGCTAAATAATATAATAATGTAAAAAAAAGTTTATTTACATACATTATCTGTATAATTACTGTTCTGTTGATCCTTTAATTTGTTCCATTCATTTTTAAAATGATTTTTCTCTCGTTCTAAATGTTGAATTACCTTCTCCAGTTCTTTAATTTCTTCATTTTTCTCTATAATTTTTTTGTGAGTTTCTTCAGATCGAACTGATGCTATACGTCCCTGTTCAGCAGAATCTACAAATATATTTATGAATGAGTATGAATTTACATTTCATAATTTTCGTTTGTATTCATCAAAACATCAAATATGACATAAAAAATTAGATATATCATCATTAATAAATTCAAATATACCCGTTCTTTTCTTTCTTAACATATTATTTGCTTGAACTATTTTACTTTTATTTTCTTTATCATTAACAATGGGCATTTTTAGATTTTTTCTAACTGCATTAAGTTGTTTATTCAGAGAGCTAGTTACTTCTTTTAATTTAGCGAATTTCTTTTTTTGATTTTGATTCAATAACCGAAGTTTATCAATTTGAGCATTAAGATCAGTTTCTTCAATAATATACGTAGATTATTATAGAAGCATGCAAAAATGATAATAAATATTATTTTTCTCTATAATCTAGTTTCAATAAATACTTTTTTCAATCACTAATAACAAAAATTTATTAAAAAAAAAATTACATTACCTAGCATGTTAGCATTTTTTATTTTATTTAATAATTGTTTATTTTCTTCAAGTGCATTATCTAAAGCTCTTTGTATATTTCTTTTTTCATTCTTAGCTGCTTCCACATCAGCTCTCAATTCTTGACACATTCTTCTTTCCGCTAATAAATTATTTTCTAATTCACTAATTTGATTCAAGCTTTTTTCCAGTTTATCCTGGATTCAAAATCAAATTAAATACAAAAAAATAATAATTAATCAATTAATGGATTTGCTGTAATATTACCTGTAATTGGCTGATTTTTTTATTATTTTCTTTAACTGTCGTATTACAATCTGCTTCAACAGCAAGAGCTATATGATCAATATCTTTCAATTCTTTTTCCAATTCTTCATTTCTTTCCGCAAGTTTCATTGCTTGAGACATGGCATCATGTTGTTTATCTAGTGCATCTCGTAATTGTTGCTCAAGATTCAATTTCGCTTGTTGTAAAATTTTCACTTCATTCATATCCGGTAATCTAGCACAAATGGATGAAATATTTTTACCACGAGTTTTTGAATGGCAATGTGAACAAGCTTGATCATTTTTCCCACAATTACAATTTGTTGATAATACACTATGAGCACGTCCGTTCTCCATTGATTTTTTAAGACGAGAAATTTCTTTATCTCTTGCCATCAACTATGGAAAAAAATTTATTTCAAAGTTTAGGGAAACTATAATTCTTAACACTAGATAACATTTTTATGAATTATTTACCTGACTGTTCATTATAGATAAATTATCCGTTTTCAAAGACAATTGTTCTTTCAATTTTTTAACCTCATGAAGCAATGAATTAATTTTTTTATCTCCCATTTCGACAATATCTACGATGTGAGGGTCTACTTTACTTAAATTGACGAAATACCGATTTTGATAGTTATTAACGTCTACTGATGAAAATGTATCCGCTTCTAGTATAGGTTTTTTTAAAGGGAACACCGTCCGTCTTTTCGTAGCTAAAGTAATTTAAAGAAAAAATTACTGATATTCCTGTGTTTACACTCATAAAGAATAAGGTTATTGTTATTATTAATTACTCACCAAGTCCAACATTACTAATTGTAGGTTTACAGCATTTTCCTAACAATTCTTGAATCCTTTTTGATTTGTTAGACGATTCAACTTCAAGATCTTTGATTCTTTTCAAGTTTTTCGCAGATGCTAATTGTAAATCATTACATTCACTTTCTAGCCTATTAATTTTTCTTTTTAAATCATTAATTACCTTTAAATTAGTCTCTTTTACTTCTATTAATTCTTCACTAAGTTGATTGCACTCTTGAGTTAGTTTAGCATTATCTTGTCTGTAAGGTTCTACATAAAAATCTGACTGACTTAAATTCTGTAATTAAATAAAAAATAAGTCAATAAATTATTTATTTAAATTATCAACTAACATTATCGAAATCTAAGTCGTTTATACGACTGTTATTAATTCATCACATACAGCACAATCTGAGCCATTTTCACTCAACTAGTAGAATTTACTATGAAATAATAAATGCAACTGAAAAATAAAATAATAATTTAATCAGGTCTTACTTCAATATTGTTCTCAGCGATTGCTTTGAAGTGTCTTAAACTTGCAGTTGTTTGAATCAAGTCAGCCAGTAACTTTTGAACTAGCGGAAGTGCATCAAGTGGCAATGTTTGTGAATAACCTAAGTTATCCAATTTTTTTCTTAAAGTTTTATATGCTGCACTTACATGGTAAGTATGTAATTGGTCTATTGGTTCACACATGTTTATAATATATTATTGAAAATTATTAATAAATATTCACAATATGTACACAAACCATTTAGTCTATTTATTAACAATACTAACAATGTTTACCGCTACACAGGGAGGGATGAACAGTTTACATCGATATATCGAAATATTTTCGTTCGATGTTTTCATTCGCGAGAGTATCGATTTTTTTTAATCGAGAATTATGATATCGATATGACCTGGAAATTTGTTGATATTGCAGAATACTAGTTGAAGTTGTTTGTTTTGTTTTGATAAGTTAAATTTCTAGGTTACCAACAAAATTATCTAAATGAGTGAGATCGTAAAATGGAATCTAACGTATATTTTTGGCACGAGTTTGCGGCTGTAATTTGACGAAGTAGAATTTACACTACTCCAAGATCGTATTTGTTAGAAAAAGCAAATAAATCACTCTGTTTATTTACAATGCCTGAGGTTAAAAGTAATAGAATAAATTCACACCAATGAAGAATGTCTCAAACCCAAGATTGTTGTGGCAAAGTCACATAACAATGTCAGAAAATTACCAGCTGCAATGATACAAGCTTGTATAAAATTTAGATAAAATGTGATTTGCGAGGTATTATAAAAGGTAATTTACTACTAAAGTATTTTATAAAATACTTTAACAACTCGATTGTATTTTTAGATGTTATAATATATTGATTAAACCTCAATTTAATATCATGAAATGAATATTAGTTATAAAACAATATAAATGTGTTTACATCGTTTAGATCATTGTTAAATTCCATTGTTAAGACGCGCAGCTCAATTATAAAGGTCGGACAATCTATGGTCCGGCCATTTGACTAATTTGCAAATTATGTCATATACACTTTTACTGAGAACTTAACCTCTAAGTCAGATAATAATTGGAATTAAATATCAATCAGACTGCACTACTGCAAGCCCATGAATGCACTTACAAATCAAACGAAATAACTAAGCCCTGGCCACAAAATTATTATTATATTTCAATATATAATTTAATTTTTTGTTTCGCATTGTCTACTATGCGTCATATCGTCACACATTATATTGTTTTTATTTGTTTGCTGCGTTATGTCCAGAAATGAATTACAATTCAGCTCATTAATGTTTCATATATCAATTGCAATTGCAATGGAATCTATAACAAGTGTTTTTACGTTAATTGATAACATTTCCAATTATTACTTCATCTATTTTATAAGTCAACAAACTTCCTGTTTATTAATAAAAGTAAGTAACAAACCATCATTTGAGTACATCAATTGGCAAATAAATAAATTGAAGTCAATTATCGAAACACAATAATATTGTGGATTTCTAACAAAAGTTAATTGATTCAATTACAATAATTTTATAACCTCATTTTTACTCTCATCACTTTCTGATTTAAATTACTTGAAATATTTTTATCTAGATATTTGTACTCTGAACTTTTGTATTCATAATTGTTCAAGAACAGACGCAATCAAATTAATCAATTACTCATATCTTTTATCTACAATTAACTTATTATTTTATAAATGATTAGACATTTGATCATTTAAAATTCATTTATAAACTTCTTAAATAATATTTCATCATAAGGTGAATAGCTGATAAAAAATTATCACTTTCTAACTTTTCTTAACCTCGATTGCTAGTAATTGTCATATGAGTACCACATGACAATATACATTTAAAAACCGGTTTCTGATAACACTTCTTGAGTACATATGGATCTGCTCCAATACAAATTTTACTCCAAGTTTTTTCGAGTATAGTGAGTTTTATTCAATTGGACAGGAATAGATTACCCAGTGTGGTATGCACTAATATTCAGCGAATATTTCCACGGTCATCGATGAATGTCATGACATTCAGCCAGACATCCAGTGTAATGTGCTTATAGATCCAATGACAATGACTTGATACCAATATCAACTATTAATTCTAATCATGTACATTATCTCTATTTTTTTCACTTTTAAATATATTTTATGTTTCGTTGTTCAATCCAACAATAAGTTGATTGTGAGTAATGAAGTAAATAGTTCTAAAAAAAATTTTTATTCCTTCAATTTTAACAAACATCATTAATGATGTCACCTGATTTTTTTGATTTGCAGAGATCCAACAAAGAAAATGTGTGAATTAAAATGCAGGCTCACCGTCAACATTAGTCTCAAGGAAGGGGGAAGTAAAGGTTATGATAGAGGAAGGGGTTTTACACTCCCCACGAAACATAGTCCGACACAGCTGATCGACGTTCGCAGTTCTGCGACTGCTCGGGAGTTCTTGAGAGTCTTCAGTAGGCTTCAGTCTGTCCCGCGAGTTCCATAGTCGTTGCCTTGGTAAAGAACCCATGTGATTTAGTTCAGGTAACGTTCACAGACGTTGGCATTGGTCAGTCTCATGACCGAGAGAACCAAGAACTTGACTTAAAAGTGATTAATAATCAAAGTTGAATCGTTTCTAATTAATAATAACGAATTTTTGGCTGTATTTGACTTACTGAAATCGGTGTCTATGTGCGGTTCAAGGCAAACGCGTTGCCAGAGAAGAAAAAGGTGCGAGAATTGCCGGAAGTCGGAGTCTATGAACTCCGAGGAGGCTAACGACGAAGATTGGACTGGAGCTAAATTTCTAAGTCAATGAAACTCTTATTTGTGGTTTATTTTTATTGCATTTTATTTATTGGCTGAAACAAAACACGTCAACTAAAAGAAAATTTTTTTTTTTTATACTTGTTTGTACAAACAACAAGTTTTTGTCATATTTCATGACAGTATAAGTGACTGGTGATTTGTGTTTAATTTAAATATAAAAAAAAATCAGTATAAGAATCCAAAATGACTGGTGTACAAAAAGAAAAAGATCAAGACAATGGAATTATAATTAAAATTGGCAAAGATAACAATGGCAAAGGAAAATATCAACGTATTTCTAATAGTCAATTTAAGAATAATCTAGCTAATGGAGCTGCTAAAGATGGTAAGATTTTTTTTAATCAATCATAATTGGTATAATCGTTTATTTGACGTTTTCTTTGTAATAAAACACTTATACTCTATGTGAATTATTTCACAAAAGCTTATCATGGCGGTATTTGAAAGAAGAAGAAGAGGAAGTAGAATAGTATTCTTCTATTGTTCTCAATATCTTTTAATTGGATAATGAGACATATTTTACAGTATATGAGTTTTAGTTAATTTAACATTATCTACTTTTTATTTTAATAAAAAAATTATGTCTTTTATGATACATCACTTAATTTTGATCAAAATTGTTGATTTTTTGTTAAGTTTATTACAATTAATAAGTCTTATCTACCAGACCACTGAGAATTTTTTTGAATACATTATTATTGAATGACTAGAATATAAGCTGGTTTATATCCATAAATGATGAGATGTTTTTAATGAAAAATGGATAATAGCATACATTTTTTCAATCATTGTTATCAAAGATAAAAATACTTTCAATTTGAAAGAAAAAAATAATTTTGCACACAAGATATCATATGTATTATTCTTGATAAATTCATTTTATTTAGTTTATACGTTAGCAAACTTGCAGCCTTTTACCATCTGGTGTTGTATTTTTCTATTTTTTTAACTATCAATCTCTCTAAAACAGGCCGTACAGTTATAACAAGCTTGATCAAAAGAGATAAAAGATGCAAGTGCGTACACTTCTGGGTATTTCATCATTACTCTTAATTTTTATTACATCTGACGTAGTAAATATCGTACAATCAATTACATATTCCATTATCCATAAAAAATACATGGACTATGAATAAAATTAACATTTAGATTAAAGTAGATCCTTCCTGAAAATCGTTTAATATTTTTTGTTTTATATTTATTGTATTTATTTTATTTTCAACGTCTTCAAGTCTTGTGAAACTCTTGATTTCTGAACTTGAGATTAAAATAATACTCAATAATAATCAGCTTAGTTTATGATTGAACTTTGAAAAAAAAGAAATAATATCTGAAAATAAGAGGACAAATTCAAGGAAAATTGAAACCGTTTCTCAATGATTCGTTTAATATTATCAACTGAGTAATTGAAATAATAACTATGTTATTTATAATAACAATTAACGCAATTGGGGAAATTAACAAGACAGTTGAAATGATAAAAGATACTTTTATGAACTTGAATATCATTACATTTACAATTATTATATTTTAATTGTGCAACATTCCATAAATAGTTTATAATTTATTTTTTAGTGGTATTACTGCATTATTGATCAATACTTTATTTTGGATACGAGTAAAAAAATAATTATTATCATAACTTTCTAACAAAATATGTAAATCGATTATCAACAACAATTAAAAGTACAGTGATTCATAAAATTTTATCGCAGTTATAATATCATGGCCATATGTTATCTATTTCCTTTTAACGTGACCCCGACATATTCAAATGTACATTTGCGTCAATCCAATCACTTGAGAATTTTCACAATTAGGAAATCTTCATTGTTTACTCAATCTTACTAATTCATTAACGACTTCAAACTTTTTTTTCTCAGTAAACTTATCTTACTTATTATTAAATTATCTAAAATATTAAAAAATATTTATGAAATCCAATTTACTGGAATTCGATTACTAACTTTTTATTTTATGGAGTGAAAATTTATGAAATTACATATTTACTTAAAAATATATATATATATATATATATATATATATATATATATATATATATATATATATAGAAATACTTTCATATCTTTAAATGTTTTAATGATAATATACAATAAGCTTTAGTCAACTGTCAATTCTGATCATGCATGATTTTGAATTCCTTTATTTATTTATTGGTTTCTTAAGTAAACTGATTATTCAGTTTTATTGGGTTATAACTGCAAATAACTCATCATAAATTATTGCTATTATCTCAAGAATATTTCAATGTTGCACCTTTATTCTCTAAAAATCGTTAACTTATTTTTAAATAATGATTCAAATAAAATTGGCTTCGAATCAAGTACACCTATATATGCATTCTCACTGTAACAATTCTTTTTATACCATTTCAAATGGTATTTTCATTCATCATTCTTTCTGGCTGTCTATCAAAAAATTGTAAAATTTCACTTTATCTTCAACAAACTATTCATATATTATTAGTAAAGCTAAGTAAACAAAAATACATAAATAATATTAAATGTTTTAAAGAAATGATTAAAGAAACGTACTTCTCTAGAATTTTATTTGTATAAAGCTCTGAAAAATAAAGTCTGTTACCTCTCCAAACAGTTTGATGGATTGAATAACACTATATAACAATGTTACACGCCACGATACACTCAATTAGCTTCTGCTCACGTTCAGAAATTTTTCAATTAGAGTATAATAATATTATCATTCTTTTCTTTACTATTTGAAACCTGAAGGAAAAATATACTTTAATTTCACAGACTAGTTGAAGCAATCTTTGATGACAAACATATTCAAGGGCCAAAAATGTGGGCTCTTCTACTGAATGGAAATTTCCGATGCTCAATGGAAAAAACCCGCGATTCAAGCTCTCACTTTGTATACTGTCCTAAACATCTGAAACCTCATGTCTTCATTTCATCTTTCTCTTTTTATCTATCTCTCTCTTTCACTCCATTTATCTGACTCATATTTCTTTTCACTTCATCAGCTACAAATTGTGTTCATTTAGTTTGAAAAAAAAATATTATTTAAACTTTTTATCCAAGAAATTTGCATTTAACTAATCTAATACATTAATTTATTAACGGAAACATTTGATATTTTATTAGAAAGACAATGAGGTCAATAGTCCTAATGACAATGCCCTAGTGATTAATGAGTCAAATTAATGCAATTTGGCATCAGTACAAGTTGAATCTCTTTGATTAAGTTATATATGTTCGTGTAGTTACATTTATTAGATCTTTATTACCAAGTATCAGTAATGGTTGAACTATTATTCAACATTTTTGCTATTTTACTACTTCACTTTACTCTTCAACGTTGTAGGCCAAATTTTCACCTCGACCTTCGATAGAATTCATTCAAATGTAACAACTTATTTATTTTTATTTTTCTTATCAATAATTATTGTTTAATTGCATCTTTACCAACAATTCAACAGCACTAGCGATATAATTTGATGAATAATTAATCTGAAGCAATTCAATATGTGATTTATAAGTTACATAAGTGTAGTTATGTTTATGTATTTATATTTTTAATGTAAAATAATAAAAAATCGTTATTCGAATGATTACAGATAGTATATATTTTTATTTACTGTATTTTTTGTTTATGAATAAAATAACCTCATAATTATTTGACAGTTTATAGTTTTAAACAGAGAAATAAAGATGTAATGGAAAATTTGAAGTTTATAAATAAAACATAGTCTGAAGAAATATTGAATAAAATATCCATCTTTATTTCTATTGTATCGTTTTATACAACTCGCTTCATGAAGTTGATAACTCAATATTTGTTTATAAAACGTGATACAAAACTTAAATCCATCAGCTTACGTGGTAATGAAACTGCTGTTATTTCTGTTCACGCTCATACTTATGAGCTTTTTGGTGACTTTGGTATTTTTAAATGATCAAGATTTATGTTTTAAACAATTCAATGCCCAAAATCATCCCAAAAGACTAGAAAAAATTGTACCAGAGACTAAACCTAATAATCCAACTGAGTGGATAAATCAGTTAAAGGATAAATTATCTGAAATTGAAAGAAACTTTCAATCGAAATTGCCACAAGGTGATGAAAAACAACCAATTATTTGCTATTGTGCACTTAATACAATTGATCAGGGACATCAACCACATAATTGTTTGGATGAAAATAAATTCATTGAAAAGAAAAACGATTGTTGCCAATGTCGTTTTAAGCAATGTGATAGTCATGATGAAAAAAGTAATAGAAAATATACTGTTGGTAATTATAGTATATTAATAATCTTAATTGTAAAATTCTTCTTTGATTTGATGTTAAACTGTGATTTAATTGGAATTTTTATTGCTTTTATTAATATTTAGATAAAGACAAATTCCAACAGAAGAAAAATATAGGTTATAAAAAATGTCAATGATTGGATTCTGCTATTATATAATTATTTCGAAGAGAATGATAAATTTTTAATGCAGACTGTTGTAATTTGAATCTGAAACTACTCAATTACATTATAATAACTGTAGTTATAACACATTTTACAAAGGTAACTTAATTTCCATACTGTCATAACATTAACTGAAGTATAGTATAGAGTTGGAGCATGGGATATGTTTAATAAAATAATTATATAATTGTTTTTACAGAAAATTAAAATAAAAATTAGGTAATCATTCGTAAAAAATGAAACCAAAATGTAAATCATGTTGTAAGCAACCAGAAATTCCTCAAGCCAATACTCAAATCCCAATATCACACAGAATCTCAACATATCATGCTCTAATAGCACGAAAAATATCTCGATTAGTCAGACATAAATGCCAAGAAGCTCAGCAATATTTCATTCGTGTTTATGAGAATAATATTGAATTGCTTCATAATTTAGGAAAGATTCTATCCGGATTGTGGTTGATTACAATTTTATATAACAGATTTTTTCATTATCTTGTTTATTTTTTTTGGAATATATTCAAGCTCACAATTGGAATATTATGTAGTACAGGATTTTTAGTAATGTTAGTAAGTAAAAATGAATTATGTAATGAAAGTTCTGCAAGAGCTATTCACCAGAATCATTCTGGAAGTCGTGAACAATTAAATCACCAGGTTGATTCAGGAATAATGGAAATTGATGAGAATGGTGGCAAAAAAGTGGAAACATTATTTGTTGAAAATAAGAATAAATTTAAAAGCAGTGAAAGTAAACGAGAAAAAACAAAAATTGGTAATCATCGACAAAAAAGTGTTGATTTTAATAATGAAAATTTTGAAGAATATTATGAATCATCCGAAAGCTGTTGTAATTTTGATGAAATCAATTTTTGAAATGTTTTAACAAAAAAAAAAAAATTATAGGAATATATTTTTAATAAATTTTAAAAAATGTGAAATGTTTGTACATTCTTTATGTAGGTATCATATGTTCGAAACATTGGTTATCTTAACTTATCGCAATCTTAAATAACAGATAAAAATCGTGCTCTATTTATAGTCAATAAAATTTTTTTTAATATAATATGATTTTTCATAAATTTTATACTAAACCAATCATAAATTAGAATAAATTAATAATTTAAAACATAAATATTGAAATAAACTGTTAAGCTCTATTTATTAAATTTTAGTAACAATTTATAATTTCCCATGATTGAAAAAATTTATGTCAAGGTTTGATACAATTATCTAAGATTAATATGAAGTTGCTATTGATAAAAATCACAAATTAAATGTATTGTTATCGGTGCAATATCAATAAAATAAAAATGTGGGACAAATTTTATCAGTAATTAATCCACTTGTCCAATTTATCAACTATTTACCACTTAGTAACCTGAAAATAATAATTTCATTTTTTATTAAAGATGCATCGATCAAAGAAGTGGAGCTGGTCCCTCCGGATGGCGGTTGGGGTTGGCTGGTCCTTTTGGCGGCTGTTATGGTCAACGTCCTTATTCCAGGAACCATTAAATCCTTTGGTGTCCTTTTCGTTGAATTCTTGGAGGTGTTTGATGCATCTCCAGCTGCTGCTGCATGGATTCCTGCCCTTTGCTATTTCCTCTACAGTTCATTAGGTGAAGAAGATAAATATTTTTTTACGATGCTAAAGCAATGTTAATCATGATAATTCTCATGATGAGAATGAAATTTTAGTTTTTTTTTTTAATAATTAATTTCAATTTTAAACAGGTTAAATAATCTGATGTTTATTACAGGTCCACTTTCAAGCATTTTATCAGTAAAATATTCCTATCGAACAGTAACTTTGATCGGTGGAACATTTGCAGCTGTTGGTATGATGCTTAGCTATTTTGCAAATTCAGTTCTTTTTCTTTGTATCAGGTAATTACAATTCTAAATTTTCTTTCAATGATTTAAATCATGATGGCATGGAATGATTGTATATTCAAATGTTCGATGGGTTAATTATTTTCCAGTTACGGAACATTTGTTGGTATTGGTGCTGGATTAGCATTTCCACCAACAGTTTACATAGTAACTTCATACTTCCTGAAGTTTCGAGGTTTGGCAAATGGCCTTTGCATTTCAGGGAGTGCTCTAGGATCGATATTTTTACCGCTAGTACTTGGTTATTTACTTCAAGAATATGGCTATAGGTAAGTTAGATACTTAATTAAATCAATAATATGACAATCATTTTTAATTAATCTTTACTTTCAGAGGGGCAGTTTTAATTATGGGAGGTTTGACTTTGAATGTATGGGCTGCAGCTTTTTTGTACCAACCTGTGGAAAATCATATGAAACCGGCTCCTATAAAGGAAAAATCTGAAAATACTGAAGAATTAGAAGAAGAGATGGAAGAAATAGAAAATGATCAAGCAGAAGTTAGTATGCTTGCAGAAAATGAAGAAGATAAAAATTCAAAGCAACTGTCAGTTATAAAAAATAATGAAAAATCAAAGCCAATAGTACCTAAAAGTGCTTCTAGTGTTGCTCTAGAAAATTATAAAAATACTCCAATCCAAAGTAGAACACGTAAAATTAGTATGCCAACTGGTCGTGAGATCTCAAGCCAAATGCACAGCACACCAGCACTCCATGCTGTTCCAGAACGTGGAATTTCTCGCAGAAGACAAGCCGGCCGTTCACCAAGTTTTTCTTCATTCAACTACATCAGCACACCGTATCACGGAAGCACACTTTCAGCTTTACAACCAGAATACGCATCAAATTTAACCTTAAACGCAATCAGTAGCACATTCAGAAAATCACCTGAGAAAACGGTAAAAGCACAGAAAGGAGATCAAAGCCAAAAATTCTTTGACTTGAGTCTTCTAAAAGACTCAATCTACCTCGTTATTCTCATTTCTAACAGTACTAACGCCGTTAGTTATACTAATTTTATTATTTTATTGCCTACTTACGCAATATCTCTTGGATATGACAAAACTATGGGATCATATCTGTTATCTCTAGTGTCAATTCTTGACTTAATCGGACGAATTGGTGGTTCCGCACTGTCTGATGTTAAAATAATGCCTAAACATTGGTATTTCGTAGGAGGATTACTCATTTCAGGAATTTCATTAACATTGATGCCTTCATCGACTACTTATACAACATTGGCTATTTATTGTAGCATCTTTGGACTTGCTTCAGGAGTCTATGTAGGAGTTACTGCTGTAATTATGGCAGACATGTTAGGAACTGAAAAATTAACATCATCCTACGGGATTTCTCTATTTGTTAATGGAATTATTCAGCTTATTGGACCACCAATTTGTGGATTAGTGTATCAACATATCGGTAAACTTGGACCAATATTTAGTATTTTAGGAATTATTTTAGTCGCAGGAGCATCTCTTTGGGCATTTGTTCCCTTTATTCGAAGACGACAAAAAGCTGCTGCTCTTGCATCTGATACTAATGAAGTTTGTAAAGTATAAATTACATTTCTTGTAATTTGAACAAAAAATTTGATTCTTTTTTATTTACTTGAGGAATAATTTTTTTAATACTTTGACTTTAATATATTAAATATTCACTGCCGAAATTTATTCATGGATTTAACAAAATTATAGATGAATATTCAAATTGGTTAAAAAGTGCAATACGCAAAAATAAGTCAATGAATAAAGAAGGAATGAAAATGGAGGAATAATAGTAGATCCTCTTTTATTTTCTATTAACTAAATTTATTAAAATAAAAAAAAATTTTAACAAAAAAAAAACGATGAAGAAAGTTAAATGAATTTAGACAAAATGTCATGCCTTATTAATCTAATTAAAAAAATAATTACTCCAAAATAATATTGGAATTTTAGCACCTTCTTCAATTAATTTTAATGAAATAAAATGATACGATGAAACTAATTATGAAAACAATTTTAAATAAATTAGAAAGTACTTATTGATGTATAATTCAGCACAAAAAAAAATAAATATTCATTTACAATATTGCTAGTTATATAAATAATAATGATATATTATTAATGTATTTTATAATTGTACATTTTTTCGCGATAAAATGAAAAATAATTGATAAAAAAAGAGAAGTTAAACTTAAGTAATGAAATAAAATTAATATTGAAATAATATATCATATGAATTATCCTTAAGTTTATCATTTAAATATAATTATTTTTTCTTTGTCTCAGTATTTTTATAGAATATTTTTCATTCAATGTACGATATATGCACCATTATTGTTATATTTCTATTAAACAAAAAATACAATTAAGAGATTTAGATAATTCTAATGTTTTTTCATTAAGCGAAGATAAGTGTTTGAATAAAACTCTATTCTTAAATAATTAATTACGTTTTTCTTATTTTATTTAATTACAAAAATGATTCATAGTAAAGATAAATAACATTTTAAGTAATGAAATTGCATTTTATTGCACGATAATAATTTATTAAGATTGATGAAAATAATAAATTGAATATTACTATAATAATTCTTATTATAATATAATAATATGAATAATATTAATTAATAATTATTAATAATAATTAATGTACATTTTTTAATTAGAAAAAGGCATTTAATACAACACAATCATCACATTGGCTTCCATGCAACATTATTCATTTTACTATTAAGTTCTTGTAAAATTAAAGAACACGTAAGTTGCTTTTCTGGCGACAAAGTATTTACACCTTCCGTTTCGTCATCATCATCCCCTGTACTACCATTTCCTCCTGTCTTATTACCTTTAGTTTTACCTACTTTTCTTTTTTTCTTTTTATTCAATTGAGAACAGTCGTTATCTGAACTCAATTCCGCTGCTCTTCGAATCTAATTAGTAATCGATTTGACTATTAAACTTATTTTCTTTTTTAGAAAAAACTTTTAATATCTTTTAGTTCATTACCTTGGCAGTTTTCCGAGTTTGTTTATCATATTCTAAAGCATCATAATAATTTATTCGTCGTTTTATCCTATTCGTTCTTCTTGTTTTTATGGTACTATTGCTGTCTGGACTTGGTGGACTTTTAATTGAATTACGACGAGCATTAAAAAATGAATAACCACAGGGACAAGCCTTACACGCTACTGGAACCTGAAAAATTAAAATAAATTATTAAATTATTGTTTTTAGTCCATATTCTATTATATTACTAGATATAATTATACACATAATAATAAAAAATTTATGTACATATATATTTTTTGAACTTTAAACTTTTTTCAAGGACGAATTAAATTGTTGAGATTAAAATAAATTTTTGTTTACCTGTTGTTCACATTTTGGACACCCTTTACTAATAGTTTTTGTTTTCGCCATCCCAATAAATAATTTTATACAAAGTAATTAAATATATTTATAATTACATAGTTACTATTAATATACTTTATGATTTATCATAATAATAACTATGTTTAACTTATATAAATATAATTTTAATTGCTATTTCACACATCGACACATTCACATTCATCACACTCATCTACACTATTGTAAACTTTATTTCAAGTATTTTGGCAACACTGTCTAATTTTTGGTATAATCATTATTATTATTTTTTTCTCCAGCATTGATAAAGTATGCAATGGTTTTACCGGCTGTAGAAAATGGGTTGTTATTCCATCTTTTTCTTCTCTTTTTTCCTAACAAAAATGGCGGATCACGTAAATCTCAAGTTATTCCTTACTTTACTTGCGCGCGTGAAACGTACGAATTGAACTAGAATTATTTTGTTTGCCTTCCGGTTATTATAGAAGTGAGAGAGAACACACATCAAACTATAATATAGCAACGTACTATCAAAAGTAATAAAACTAACGAGTAACTTATCAAAAATGGCTTATGTTCATGGTGAATAGATGTTGGAGACGCTATTTTTCAGTTACGGTAATGTAAACAAAACATTTATGATTAGTTTGTCAATTATTTTAGGATCGTTTAACAACAGTTGTTGTGTATAATTGTAGTCTTTTAACAGTTCAAACTTTATTAACTGAATTTAATGACCGTTTTGCATTTTTTCTGTTAACTGCGCTTTTGATTTGGGATCGCGCTAAAACATGCTTGAACGTGTTTACATTGTGTCGTTATAACGAATCGAGTCTTTTTGTATTATGTTCGCGTGTGGAGTTTGAATTATCGAAAGTTTTGGCGATTTTTAGAAACTTTAGCTTTTATTTGCATAAATCACTAATGTTTTTGATTTTATGTTAATTGTGTTTTTTAGTTAGTATTATAATTTTTTGTATGTAATATATATTCATCTATACGGCTTTATGATCAAATACATAAGTAATTTATTATTTCGATTAATCTCATATTATAAATTTTGCATTAGATGAATAGACACTTGTGTTAAACTATTTTTAGATACCAAATGTGGCCCTGTACCTTATCTATCATGTATTATAATCTATAACTGATAATATAAAATAAAATTTGTCCACGAGACAAATTTATTGTTCTCGAATCAATATATTTGCCGATAGAGTTATGGCTACAGAGTAAAGTAAAATTTTTATTCAGAAAATTTTTAATCAATTAAATATACAATAACGAAAAATTACATTTAATTTGGATAAAATTTTAAATAGTTAACTTAATAAAAAAAATATTAATAATTAGAATAGCAAAAAAAGAAAAGAAAGAAGTGAAACAATCGATATAATTATCAATATCACTTTTACTCATACAAAAATAATAAAAATTGAAAAGTACGTAAATTCTGAAATGTCTTAGTTTATAATCATTGAACAATTTCATTGAAAATTTTCATCATATTAGAACTTGATATTTTTACAGAAACCGAAAAAATATCAATATGACAACTTTACAAGATCTATGCTCTCAATTAATGAAACCAGCTAAAGATTTAGCGGAATGGAACTTCCCTTTAGCTAAGGTAAAAAAAATTCTTAAGTTAATAATTAAATAAAGCTCAATTTAATTAAATAAAACGATTTTTTTTTAGATTTTAGAAGATTATTATGCGTTAATGCAAGAACCATGTAATCTAAACTTTAGTGAAGCTGCACTAGTTCTACAAAATTCTGCGAATGTTTATGTCAGACGTGTGGAATATCTGTACCAAGACACGACAGCTTTAAGTAAATCAATGCAGGAAAATGAGTATGTCAAATATATTGTTACAATTAATTTATTCTAAAACTTTCCTATTATAAGATCACATTTTAACTTATTCATTTTTTCCAGAGATGAGGTTGAAGAAGAGCAAAAAAAAGATAAAAGTCATCGTAGGCCTAGAAAAGCAATAATTGATTTTAAAAATTTTGATTTAGTAGATTTCAGTGTAGGAATTCTAAAAAAAAATCATGAACGAGAAAAATCAACAAAAGAAGAACGAAAAATAAAATTGATTAGCCCTCGATTTCCTCAACTAGAAAATGTCTCGAGACATAAATTCTCTCAAGATATTATCGATATTGCCGGAGAAGTTATCGGAAAGAAGTACGATTTTAGATGTAATCAACAATTAACGGTATCAAAGATGTTAATTGAAGAAGTGACTCCTTCAGATTTCAATAACGAGAAATCTGATCATCTAAATATCTCTAATATAAATATAGAACAAGTTGATTGTGATGATGATTTAGATTTGTGTTCTGACGATGAAATATCAAGAGATGAAACAATATTCAATCAAACTCAGGAATCAGGATATGAATCGATGGTATCCACCTCTCAACTTAACACTTCCGATACGCAAACGATATGTGATTTTTCCCAATCAATAAACAACTCTTTGAAAGATGTTGATGATCCAATAATGTCACCTATTGCAGATTCCTCTATCGAATCAGATGAAAGTCCCAATGATTCTGGGTTAGAGCAGAGCAAAACTCCAGACGAAGAAAATAATGAATTGTGTGAACAAAATTCAGCAAATAATTCCCCAGTTTATTCTGAAAGACATTCCGAAAATAATCCCAATAAAAGTTCTACAAATGACTTTGATAAGACTGACATCGAAAATTCATTAAATAATACATCACAGGCGACAGGTAAACCAATGAGTACTCGGGATTCTACTGAAACGGATGCAGGATATACATCAGGAGATCCTGACGATTTACAAATGGGTTTAACGCCAAAAAAATCAAACAAAACGATAGAAGAGCCAAACAACTTGTGGGAACCAATTTCAGTTGAATCGGTAGTTCCAGACAAAATACCAAGGCGACGAAGAGAGTTTAAACTTCCTTGTCACATTGCACTATTGACGTCCGTACCAAAATTAAGAAAAAGAACTCTAACTGATTCTGCAAAAAAACGTTATTCCAAAAAATCTTCAGGAAAGAGAGCGAAAAATATAACAGAAACTGAAGAAATCAACAAAATGTTTGAGGAATATTTAAAAATGCAACCAAAGCTAAGTAGTCAAAGTTATGAGGCTGTTTTAAATGAAAATATGGATTGCTTAGGTTATCAGTTGAAATTAGAATCGTTAAAAAAGTCTAAAAAAAATATATCTGAACATCAATCTATACATCCTTCAGTAACAGAAGTAGTGTCTTCACCATCTCCATTGTCGCATTCACCTTGTGCATCTTCGGATCATATACAAGATGATGATGATTATTCTGAAGTTTCCGATAATCTAGGATTCCAAACAGTAGGACAAAATCATCAAGAAAGAATTGAACGAAAAATGAAAGAGCTTAAGAAAAAATTTGATGTTACCCATGACAGAGAAGAAGAATCAGCTAAGTGGTTTGAAACCGTTGAAGCTTTAAAAGCCGTTGAAAATAGGCCATCTTTTCATGTTGACGAGTATGAAAAGAGAATCATTGAAAGCTTGAAAGCAAAGAATGAGCATCAGGTAGAATTTCATGAAATTGCGGAGCAAGAGGAGCCTGGAAATATCGCCAGACTTTTTGTTGCTTCATTGCATTTGGTGAGTAAATATATTGTTTTAGTATCCCCGTGTAATACTAATAAATTATCGTAACTAATATATCTTATTCTTACATTATAGGCAAACACTTACAATGTTGAAATAAATGTTGTAAATAAAGAAGATAATAGTGAACTAAATTTAAAACTGCTAGATGCAGAGTTTAATCCTACAACGTAAGATTAGGCTTTTTGGGTGTTTGAGTTTGTTTTTTTTTTTAAAATATAAATTCATTATATGTTTACGTTATTTGTTCTTTGTCGGATTTTATCATTATATATAATTTATTGAAAATTCATCATTCATTACACATGATCTATTATTATTTTTATAATTTATTTAAATTCTACAGAAAAATTACAAAATCAACAAATATTTATAAAAAATTTTTTCAACCACTCATATAAATTCATTTATATCATTTATAGTGGTCAAAAGTTTTTGAATGCCAAAAAGTGTTCATCATATAGATGAAAATAATTTAAAATTATATGAAAAAAAGTAATACGATGTTATAAAAAAATTTTAAAAATAAAAAAAAAAAAAAAAAAAAAAAAAAATTATTTGTTTACAAAGTACAATAAAGATATTTTAAAATAAAAAGAGACAATATTTTTCTACAGATACTGAAAAATCAATTTTCAAACATAAATGTAATGTGTGATCAAGTGATAAAAAATTATTTTATATACACTAATGTAATAAGATTGCACAATTTTTAATATATTCTTTTAACAATACTCAATAATATATAAACTGTTTTATTCCATTTATTTCTCTAACATAAATAAATTATTGATGTTGGTACTATTCATTATTGTTGTTAATTGGTCATGTTTTATTAAGTCTTATTAAGTAGAAATTAAATTAAACGGTAGAATTTAGTTGAGATTTCCAAGCAGATGGTACAAGTTCATCGAGACGTCTATCTAAAAAATTAACACAATTTGTCAGTTGGGCAGCAGCATCTTCTACTGCATGAATATGAGCATTTGTTAAATCAGGAACAGCAGTTTCTGCTAGCTCTATTCGTTTTTCTAAATTATTCAACTTTGATTGTAATGCGTCAACATAACTAGGAGGTATTGAACGTCTCTCAACAGGACCTGAAAATGAATCAATATATGTATACATATTACATACTTCAACATTAAATTATTTAACTTACAGAACTGATGGACTCCAGCGACATCAACAATAAATGGCCTAAAAAATAGAAAATAAAACTCCATTATCACTGTTTAATTTGTTTAACTTTACAGTTAAGTTTTTAGAAACCGAATCAAGATGTTGCACAATACAATTATCAGGCATACTTTTCTGGTGTTGATCCATTTAATAACGTTGACAAAGGTATAAGATTACTATCTTGTCTTCGTATTTTTAATACTCTGGTATTATCATCTTCAACATCAATCAGTCGAAAAATAGCAGATTTCAATTCTTCCCCCAGTAGTCCTGGGCTTAAAGTTAATGGTTGTAAACTTGTTTGAAGTTTTGATGAATCTGATTCTAAAATAAAAAATAGTTTTGTTATTATTCTATATAATACTGTATTGATTTTTCATATTTTATAAATAAAAACATTATTAAAATCTTACCAAGTTTATCATATCGACGAATCAAAAGCCAAGTTTGTATTTCACTCATACCCATTTTATAATAAAAAATGTTTAGTTGTTTTTATCGTTATGATAAAAAAAATAACACAAAAAGTAGTGATCGTATGACAACTAATTACAACTCCTTTGAGTCACTCATTAAAAGTTAATTACCTGATCAAATTACATTAGCAGTCGATAGGTATCGCGGTAGTCGACCGATTACAACATGGCGTCACATGCCGAAAATGAATAACGCTTTGTTTACATTAGAGTATTTTACAAATATTTTCTAACAATTAATTATATAATTTTATGAAATAATAAACTATTATACTCACGAAATACTTAAAAAATTCAAGTTCGTAATAAAAGTTAAAATATATGGACAAAGAAGATAGTGTTATTTTTTGAAATCAGACGTATCATTTTGAATAAAATATATATTAAAAAATTAGGTATGTAGAGAAAATAATTGAATTTTAAATGTATATACTAGTTCTGTATTTTATTTATGTGAAAAAATATTGTTCTTAATTCTCACATTATTTATAACTCATTGCAAAACTACATAACCTCTTATACTTTCATCTCTTGTATTCTAATTAACTACTCTTTCAGATTACATAAGACAAAATGGACTTTCAAAATCGTCCTGGAGGAAAAACAGGAGGTGGTGGTGTGGCTTCTTGGTCAGAAAGTAACCGAGATCGTAGAGAACGTCTTCGTCAATTAGCCTTAGAGACAATCGATTTGAATAAGGATCCTTATTTTATGAAAAATCATTTAGGCTCATATGAATGTAAATTATGTCTTACTTTACATAATAATGAAGGTAGTTACTTAGCACATACTCAGGGAAAAAAACATCAAGCTAATTTAGCAAGAAGGGCTGCCAAAGAAGCTAAAGAAGCTCCGCAGACCTTAGCACCAGAAAAGCCACGAGTTGAGCCTAAAAAATTTGTTAAAATTGGTCGGCCTGGTTATCGTGTTACAAAGCAAAGAGATCCCGAGTCAGGACAACAAAGTCTTTTATTTCAAGTTGATTACCCAGAAGTTGCTGATAATGTTATTCCGAGGCATAGATTTATGTCAGCTTATGAGCAAAGAGTAGAACCTCCAGATCGTAAATGGCAATATTTACTTTTTGCTGCAGAACCTTATGAAACAATTGCTTTTAAGGTAACTTATTTTCGAATCTTTTAGATGTTAACGTGTTGAAAATAAAATACATAATGGTATAATGTTTTTTTAGGTGCCAAGTAGAGAAGTAGAAAAAGCAGAAGGAAAATTTTGGACACACTGGAATCGTGACACAAAGCAATTCTTCCTACAATTTGCATTTAAAAATGAAAAACCTTCAGTTGGAAAAATTCCACCGCCACCAGTTCCATTAATAAGACCTGGATTAGGACCACCAATGATGCCAGTTCCACCACCTCCAAGACCACCTATTTTCAATCCTGTACCTCCACCTCCATCTATAATGACTGCAGGTTTGCAAATTCCTCCACCACCACCTCATCTTGCTTAATTTTTTAGAATTTTTTATTTAATCGCAAAAATTCAACGTACGTATAAGTAACGTTAGTGGGAAATACATTATTTGTTTAATGAATTGAATGTGAAATAAACAATGGAAATATTAAAAGAAAAAAAGGTAATTCGGATGTATTTTTTATTAATTTTATTAATAAGAGTTCAAAGATGGTTTTGATGCAGCCGTAGAAATGATGGTCACTATAAAAAATAAAATTAAATTCTTAATTTCAAATCTTCTCTTAAGATGGAATTATTCCACTGATTACCAACGTACCAATCGTATGGTTCGGAAACCCTGAAACAAATAGAACAAATTTAAAGTTGAAGAATTTTTTAGAAAATTATTATAAAATATTTTTAGAATTTTTTAATCAGAGAATGAACACATTCCACAGTATAAAACAGTGTTGTACGCACTATTAAGACCGCCCGTTCAATATCATCATTTAATGTTCTATGCATCGACAAAAAAAATTGAGTCAATTAAAAATTATATTTACCGAAATTCAAGCACTAAGAACACATGCGCCACCGACTGCTTTAATTTTATCTTCAGCTTTTCTACTGAAGAATTTGGCCTTAACAATTACGGGTTGATTAGGTAGCCTTCCTTTACCTAATAACTTGTAATAACCCTGAAAGTATCAAATATAAGTTATGAATTTATTTAATATTATTATAAATTGATTTTGTAAATACTTACTGCCTTGACGAGATCAATAACAGGTACTTTTCCATTGGTATTATCTTTGTATTTCAATCTCTGTTGTTCTGATACTAAGGTCCATAATTTATCTAAATTAAGAGCTGGACACCATTTAGTATTCCTTCGAAGATGGAAGTTTCTCATACCAAGCTGTAATTTTACAAAATTATGAAATATTTTCTAAATAATCCTGAAACGACAAATATTACCTTTCCGAAATATCCAGGATGGTATTTGTCGAAATTGATACGATGTTGATGAAGACCACCAGCATTACCACGACCACCAGGATGCTTTCTGTGTTTGCCTTAAAAATTTAAATAATAAATGAACATAAAAAATAATCATAATGAGTTCATATTCAATACTAACAGTTGAGGTTATGTATTGAACATAGGGTTAATAAATATGTGATAAAATATTTACCAATACGGCCATGACCATGGCTTACGTGCCCACGAAGCTTCCTTGTCTTCTTTTTATGTGTGGACTAGAAACAAAAAATTCGTATTGATAGTTAACGATAAAAAAATGACACATTTTTGAGAATGATGTTTACATATACGAAAGTGCTGCACGGGTCAGATAAATAGTCAAAAAATTATTTAAATAGTTACACAACTTAGGAAATACCATGATTTTAATTTAAATAATTATTTAATAATGAATTTAAAGAATTCAATACAATTATTAAAAACGCGATGTTATTAATAATAATGGATAATTATCGCTCAACATGCATCATTCAATCACTCACCATCTTGATTTTTCCGTAAAGAACTCAAACCCGACAAACATGCGCATTTCACATTTTCATACTATAGAGTTTTTAGATTCAAAAATTGCTATAGTAGATGTTGATACCGATGAATGATAAAAATGGAAGGGGCACGCCACAGTTCACTTCTGGTTTATTCTTCACACACAAGTATCAAACTTGCTCGGTTCATGTACATCAAGTACATCCGAAAAATTACCGCATACTCGAGTATTTATACTTTCTGAATGTTGAAGAAAATTAGTAGTTTTTTAAAAACTTAGAAATGCTTTCAAAACTAATCAAAATTGTTCCAGCTCTCCTATTAAATCAAAAACACGACACACGATGATAGTTTGCTCAAGTGCCGCCGGCATAATTAATTTCCCGCGTCCCGCGACAGTCTCCGTCTCAAAGCCGCATCCTCAATATTCAACAATACGCACCGTAGTCATTACAACAGTTTTTAAATTGTTAACGTAATTGGTATTTTTTATTAATCAATTAATTTCTATTACTATGATCAATAAATCTATTGTTATTTAGATTGCCATTGTTGATATTTTCATAAAGAATAATGTCATACCATCTACAAATATCCATGTAAGAGACTCTGATATCAAGACGATTGTCATGAATCGATAAAATGCTAACTTCAAGTAAATTAAACAGACTGGTTATGCTGTTCATTTTTACATTAAAAAAACTTTTACATGCGGACAAGATATTTTGAAACAATAAGTGATTCCAAAATAAAAAATACATTTTACAGATTTATTTTTGTTATCTATTTTTACGCAATATCGCGCAATATTAGCAATAGTGAATAAACTATGGGAAAAGCTAAGAAAGGGAAACGATCTGGGAAGGATGATGATTTGTAAGTTATTTGTAGCATGCTTTCATTAAAAAATGAATTATTTTTTGTCAATATTTTTGATTATTAAGTTTCTGATGTTTTTACGTAGTTTTACAAATTATTATGGCCATTTTTTAATTTATTTAAATTTATGACGTAATTTTGACATTGAAAAATTTATTTAAAAAACGATGATGCAATTTTTGTTGTCTGGCCAGAAGTTTAGGTTATAGAGTGATATTCAAATATATAGAAGATTCCACATTTATTAAAAAATATTTTCTTAATTAATAGTATTATTTACAAAACAGATAAAAAATTTAGCATTCAAAGTCATTCACTGCTTCAAACTAGTAATTAACAATCAGAATGTAAATGACAGCTGTTTCAATTCATCATATTGATTGTTATTATTTTCAAAATAAGTGATAGTGATGCTGATGTCGAGAGCCAGTCAACGATTGAGTCCTCAAAGTCTAAAATGGAACCGGCAAAGGATAAAAAGAAAAAGAAAGGTGAAGTGGATAATTTAGCTAATGAATTAGATGATCTTCAATTAGAAAAACCTGATAAGAGCAAAAATAAGAAAGGGAAAAGAGCATCGTCTGATATTGAAGACGACGATGAGGTAGTAGTTAACAAAAACAAATCAAAAGAAAAGAAAAAGAAAGGAAAGAAAGCTCGTGATTCTGATGATGATGATAATGAAGATGATGAAGATAGTATATCTACAAAAATGGCAACAAAAAAAAATAAAGTTAATTCGAAAAAGAATAAAAAAAAGAATGAAGATGATTCTGAAGATGAAAGTATTAAAGTTAAGGGAAAAAACGAAAAAAGGGAAAAAAGTATCTGTTTCTGATGAGGAATTTGATATTTTACCTCCTCAACCAGTTTCGAATAAACAAAAAGGTATACATGTTTTTTTTTTTATTAATTAAACTTACTTCTTGATTTTAGCTTTTAAGTGAAATATATTAAACAAACAATATATTGATATCTAGTAGTCAAAAGTGGATTCGCACTTTTAAATATGGACAACGATGATGATGATGATGATGAAGATGAAGTTCAGCGTCCAGATTCAGACGAAGAAGAAGAGAAACCAGTAAGTAAAGAAAGAAGTAAAGGAAAACAGCAGAATCAACAAAAAAATCAAGAACCACAAGGAAAAAAAGGCAAAAAAGGTATGACAAATATAGATTGTTTTTTTTAATGAAAAACTAATACCATTTTTATACTCAAACAGCCAGAAAAAAGCATGACAGTGATGATGAACTTGAAAAGGCATTAGCTGAATTAGAAATAGAATATTCGGGAAAGAAACCAGATGTAAAAGAAGAAGTAAAACATGAAGAGGAAAGTAAAGATAATAAAAAGAAGAAAAAAGAAAAAAATGAACCAAAAAATGAAGGTGAAGCTAAAGCTGTTGATGATACCAACGAAGTTAATGAGAGTAGTACTGTAAAAACTGCAGCACAAAAGAAAAAAGAGAAGAAAGAACGAGAAAAGCAGAAAAAATTAGCCCAGAAAAAAACGGTAATTTTTTTTATAAATTATAATTGATGAATAATTTTATAAATTTGTTTTTTTGAAAAATAATTTTCAAATGTTAATAAAAGCTTTAAATTCTCAGGATGGAACTGCTGAAAAACCAGAAGCTACAGCGAAATCACAAACAGAACCTAAAGAAGAATCTTCCAAGAAAACCGAAGAAACAGCGGAAGATGCTGAAGATGATGAAAAAAAGAAAAAAAAGAAAGGAGGCAAAGAAGATCCAAAAGATAAAGGCAAAGGGCCCGGTAAAAAAATGATTGCTGCGATGCAAGAAGCTTTGAAGAAATTGAAAGAAGATGAAGAACGTGCCAAACGTGAAGAAGAAGAGAGAATTAGACAAGAAGAGTTAAGAGAAAAGGCTCGGTTAGAGCAGCTTCAATTAGAGCAAGAACGTAAAGAAAAGAAAAAATTAAAGGAAAAACTAAGAAAAGAACGATTAAAAGCTGAAGGAAAATTATTAACTTCTAAACAAAAGCAAGATAGGGCTCGAGCTTTGATTATGCTTGAATACCTGAAAGCTCAAGGATCAGGTGTTCCTGAAGTTGGCGAGAAGAAAACAAAATCTAAATCTTTAGGAACAAGATTACGGCCGAATAAAATGAAGCAACAGAGTCAAGAGGAAAAAGATGATAAGGAAAATAAAAATGAAGAACAAACGGAAAATGAACAACTAGTGAAGGATGAAGTTCAAGTAGAAATTGTAGACAAAGTCAATAAAGCCGAAGAAAAACCTGAAGATGAAGTCAAAGATTCTTGGGACGTAGATTCATCGGAAGGTGAGCGTCATGACAATAAGTCTGATGAAGATGTTAAACCAGCTGAAGTAAAACGAAGTGTGCCGAAAAGAGAAACTAAAATAGAAAAACCAGAAGTGAAAAAGGAAGAGTCATCTGACAGCGAGAATGAGTCAGATGATGAAAGTGACAATGACAGTGTAGAGGAAAAATTAACTGATGCTGAGAAGAAAAAAGAAAGTGTAAGAGAAAGAATTCAAAAACGAAGAATTGAAGCCGAAAAAAAGAAAAGCTTAGATAATTTACGTGCAGCGGTTGTCTGTGTTCTTGGTCATGTCGACACAGGAAAAACTAAAATTTTGGACAAACTCAGAAGAACTAATGTTCAAGATAGTGAAGCTGGAGGTATTACGCAACAAATCGGTGCTACTAATGTACCTATTGATGCTATTATTGAGTCTACTAAGCACGTAAAAGGGGTAACTAATTAATTTACATTTCATTCCTACATATATGTTCCATACAAAATAACTATTACTGTTTTTAGGCAGCCGAAAAGATATTTAAATTACCTGGTTTATTAATTATTGATACACCGGGGCACGAATCTTTTAGTAATTTAAGAAATCGTGGTTCATCGCTTTGTGATATTGCTATTCTTGTAGTGGATATTATGCATGGATTAGAGCCTCAAACTATTGAAAGTATAAACCTTTTAAAAGCCAAGAAATGTCCTTTTGTTGTGGCGTTGAATAAGATTGATAGGTAAATGATAATAAATATTAAATACAAAATTTATAAATTTTCCAATATTTAAATAAATTAAATTTTTAGATTGTATGATTGGCAAACTATGAACCGCAAAGACGTACAAGATATTATTAAATCTCAAGCAGCCAATACTCAACGAGAATTTGAAAGACGCTCTGACGAAGTTATTCTACAATTCGCTGAGCAAGGACTGAATGCTGCTTTGTTTTATAAGAATCCTGATCCACGAAGTTATGTTTCACTCGTTCCAACAAGTGCTATTACTGGTAAAATATTTTTTCTCAGACATATCGTTTATTACAGTTAGTTATTCATAGAGAAGTATCCATTTCATTTTATTACTGATTTATTCAAGGTGAGGGTATGGGTAATTTGCTATCGTTAATTGTTGATGCATGCCAAGGACCTTTGGCCAAACGATTAATGTATAGTGAAGAGTTACAAGCTACTGTACTGGAAGTAAAAGCATTACCAGGACTTGGTACAACGATTGATTGCATTCTAGTCAATGGAACGTTGAGAGAAGGTGAGACAATGATTGTTGCCGGTACTGACGGTCCAATTGTTACGACAATTCGTTCATTACTCATGCCACAACCGTTGAAAGAATTAAGAGTCAAGGTAAATTTGATTAACAGTTTATGCAGTTCATGAATTACATCACAATTACTTATTTATGAAATTAAATGGAAAATAAATTTTCATAGAATGCCTATATGGAATACAAAGAAATAAAAGCTGCTCAAGGTGTTAAAATAGCTGCTAAAGAATTGGAAAAAGCTATTGCTGGTATATTTATTTATTATTGAGTCATATTCAATTAATGCCAGGACGTAACAATACGTAATTTATCAATAATTTTTTCAGGATTAAATCTATTGGTAGCACACACCCCTGATGAAGTAGATTTTTTGAAAGAAGAAATTGCTAAAGAATTAACAAAGGCCTTAGGTAGTATCAAACTTGCTGAACATGGAGTATATGTTCAAGCTTCGACGCTTGGTGCTCTAGAAGCTCTCTTAGATTTCTTGAAGACGAGTAAAATTCCGGTAAGTCTTTATTCCAATTCTTCTCTGCTTTAATGTTAGAATAAATTTCATTGAAATATTTCTTTATTATTTAATAAGCGTATACTAGACAAACAAATTGCTCGTATCCGCTTCGATAGACACTTATCTAAAGTTAAATTGGATAATTTATATACAAAAATTATTTCGAGGTTTCAGGAGTGTTAGAGCTTAATGATTTTTCTTTTCTAACACTTTTGATCTCGTATAAAAAATTTACTGAATCAATTATTTGAGTATGGGATTATGGGATTATGGTATAACAGTATAATAGAATAGTCTTGAGAGCTGATAACGTTGTTTCGGCATTTAAAATATATGTGGCACGGTCCGAGAGGCCAGCAATGAACCACTTCCTTCTTAGCAGTTTAGCAGGATACGGCTCATTGCTGGTGTACCGTGGTTGCGTTCGTGATCCAACGTACTATCAGCTAAGCTCAACTTTTGCCATGTTACATATTTATACATATTATTTAATTTTTTTCCAGTTACTTTACTTAATAAAATAAAATTCGTTTCATTAAATAAATGAAAAAAAAAAAATAAAAATGCATTCAATTAGCAAAATGAGTAAAAAATCTAATTTCTTATTTTATTCAAAATATAGTTAATATTTTATTTCTATATATAACTTCGAATATAAAATTAACTTGGCTTATTCTTAACATGTTTTACAAGAGAGTCAAAATATTCCAGTCAATATTTCTGAAGAAATGAATACATTAATTATTCAACTACTTGTTGTTCAATCAGATGCGGAAATAAATCGTTGAAGATAATTGAAGCAAAAATTTTGGGATTTGATCTGGCGCCTGAAATTTCCGTTCGATTGGTGACATGATCAATCAATACTTTGTTTTTTGTTTTTTATGCTTTCATGTATACGTTATTCCTTTTTATCCTTATACACATTACTTGGCTTTATCTTCTTCTCAGTCTTGTCCAATCTTGTCTTGTTTTTATTATTGATTTTTTTTTTTTTGCTTCAACTTCATTTATTTTTAAGGTTCTTGTTTTATTTATCCTCGTTATCGAATCGATTGAAGGATAAATCGAAGACGCTGCGGGTGGTGGAAGGCGCCAGAACGCGTCTCCCACATCTTCTTTTACAATGGAATGCGGGACTACCGGTAGCCGGTTTACTACTCACGAGAGACAAAACGTCAATTTTTATTTTTTTTTTTATTTTCGTTTTTATTCATTTTTTATTCACTCTTCACTTTACCGTCTTCAGACATCTTTGAAGTAAAACAAAACGATTAAGTTGACGAGAAAATGAGAAATAAAGCTAAGTGGAAAAAAAATAAAGTTGAAGTTAAAACAAAAAAAATACAAATGATTGATACTGTCTTCTTCGTTGTACGATGGTTTGACCGGAAGTTCCGTCGGCTTCACCAAAAGTCAATCGTTTCTTTGTGCAGTTTCTTCTTTATTTTTTCTTTTTATTTTATTTCTCTACCTACATTTATTTTCTTAAATCAACCGAGGTGCATCCGCTCGTTAGTTTGATTTACGATTGACCAACTGAGTCAATTCAATTTTATTTTTTACATGATAAATAAAATCCTGTTTGAATTAAACAAAAAGTGTGCGTGTGAATTGAACGATTTGAATACTGTTAGGTTTTATAGATGAATATTTGTGGATTTAAATGAAGAATTATCTTAGGGAGTGAATATTTTTTTGCAATAATAATATTTATGTACAGTTAAATGAATAATCTGGTTATTTTATTATCGGGAAACAAGAGTTGTTACAGATAAAAAAATTAATTACTATTATTTCAAGAAAATAATTTACATAAAAATTTATAAAATTATATACCTGGTTTGGTACATATAAAAATAGGTGAACTTTTAAATGATTTTTTTTTAGACATTAACTGCAACAGATATAATTTATTTACAACTTTTTTAAATAGTCATTGCACAATCTAATAATACCATGATAGTTTATTTTAAAAAAAAAAATTTATAAATCATTTTGCTTAATTTGTTAAAAATATTTTTACTTCATAAATAAATAGCAGAGATATTTTTATTTTCATTCAATAATATTTTCACGTATATTTTGAGCTTTTTATAATTTTTATTCATAAATTAAACTCTTCCTAAAGAGTGAAATTTAATTTTTTTTTAGAACATATAATTATTGATTAAATAGCTGATAAATAATCGATGAAAAAAAAAGTTAATTGAAATGTTGTTGATAACGATGTTATTGATACAATTAATTCGGTTAAATTGGTGTTACATATAAAAAATTAAAAGGACCTTTAATATGATATAAAAAATAATAGAGCATTTAAGAGTACGTAAGATGTTTATCGAGAAGTTTCTCGTCGAAGAATAATCCACCGGATGAAAGTCGTTGCGATTTTAACGAGAAGGAAGACCAACTTCCCGACATGGAGATACGGTACGCGAACTTCTGGCGGATATGACGCCAAAGAAGGCGAGTGGATGGGATCAAAAGACATTGGGGTAAAAAGTAAAACCACAAAAAGCCAAAAGTGAATTTTTAAAAATAATTACATTTCGTTGTTCAACAATCGTTCGATTGACTGGAGCAATTTAAATGCATTATTTTTTTTCATCATTATGAGGCTTTTTTCAGAATAAATAATATTTGTAAAGGATATTCATTCAATTTTAAAAATGTTTTATAATAATTATTTGATTCATTACATTTTTTTCATGTCCTATTAAAAATACAGTTTTTTATTTTATGATTAAATTAAGAAGAAAATTTATTATCAATGTTTTTGAATATATTTTTTGTTTTTAGGTAATATTTCATTGATTCTTGGATCTATAAATGATTGAAAAAGCAATAAATTTACCGCAAATAATAGTAAATTACATTTTGTGTTCAAGTTTAATAGAATGAAACTTCTTTGCTTTGACGTCATTGGGTACCACTTGATGATGCCATATAAGAGCTCAACTTTTATCGTAGTAGTGGTAGAGAAGAAAACGTTCATTCATAAGTTGAGCAAGGATAAAGACTAGCTTTTGCTATTTTTATCAATTACACAATTAACTTTCAATTAAAAAAAAAAAATACTTTTTCTATCTTACCAAGAATATCAATCATTATTCTTTGTAAGTCAATATTAGATAGTTTAATATTTAGTCAAAATGATAGATAATATAATTGAAGGATAAAAAAATGAAATTGACAGAAAATTTTAGGCCAAAAATGCAATTAAATAATTAAAATAAAAAAAACATGATTAAAAAAAAGCGAAAGGCAATCACTGAGAATACGAGAGCGCTCGTAAAATGCAACACTCATTTCCGGTCCTCCAGGCCACAGTAAAAAACTAAATCCTGTTTTTTTTTCCAACTATTATATCATTTCTTTTTTATCGAGTTTGTATTTTTTGATTAATTCGATTTCTTAGTATTTTTTTATTTATTTAAAATTCATTCTTTCTTATATTAGACATGGTTTTTTTCTTTAAACTCTGATAGTGCAATTTTTATTGTGATTTTAAAAATAAAATAATCAAAAAAAAAGGAAAAGAAAACTAAAGTAAACGAATGAAATAACAAGGATACGTAAAGTTAAATTTCATGTCAGAAAGTGGTTTTTTATAATTCTATTGTTCTGTTGGATGATTTTTATTTTCTTTTGGGGTTCAGATACTAAAAAAGGTCGTTCGAGGTTCTAAAGAAGCCACACCAAATACGACTGGATGATTGTGGTCTATAGTTACATCAGAGAAAGGTAAAAAGCATGGGGATCAAAAGAGGTATAAGGGAATAAATGTCTTTTTGCGCCCACGTGACTTTTTAGGAATCCTTTTAAGACCTTGACAATTTAAAGCCGAATGTAATTAAAAACATTCTGAGTATGATTTACTAATAATTTACTATTCCAAGAAAGGTTGTATAAATATCTTATTAATGTAAGGATAAGCTATTATATAAATGCAATTTTTATTTTTAAATTAAAAATCAATTTGTCAAGTAAAGAGAAGTATTGTGCCTTTCATAACTACAATACAAGGTATATAGTGGTTTTTCAACAGAAAGGAAATGAAATTTAAGTAGTACTAAGCCTTTATTGCAGTTTCCGGTGTAACAAAAATGCGAGAAAGCCTCCTAGGTTTTCATTTCCGGACTTCCTGGATTTACGATTCTGTCCCCTGCTGTTTTCTTCTTTTCTTACTCCTCCCTCTGTTTCGACTGCTTCCGTGTTTCTTACAATATATCTTACGACCTTACGTTCCTTTTTACCATCCATTCACTTAAAGCAATTGGCCTCTCATGCTTTCTGCTCTGTTTCCGTCGTTTTTTCTGCCTTATTCCTTCTTGATGTACATGGGAAATTGAAAACTATTTCATACCAACTATTATATCCATTTTCCGGTGACGTTTTGGAATTTTTTTATCTTTGTATGTACTAAGTTATGAGCTATCATTTTTGTATCTCCATGGATCTCATAAATTTTGTAAAATACGTCCCTTTTATTCATCTTTATTACATCATTTTTTTATTGGTATAAAAAAATATATCTTCTTGGCATGAGCAAAATATTTTATAAATTCAGGTAGAAGGTGTATCTATCAAAAATAAAACTTTGCAATTTGCTTTATAGATGTTCTAACTACTAGACATCCTGACTGTCTGCTTGGTAATAAAATTGTTTTTTAGGAACCCTTTCTAGCTGTCTAAAGCAATTGTTCCAGTGCCACTAGAGTAGAATTGACATCTAGACTATTTGGGTTTATTCCTTGAATTAATTTTTACCGCTGAGTTGAGAAGTAGTTGAAATATAATTAGTTTTTGGTTGAAAATCAGCAATATTTTAGATGGTTTAGTTGGTGATGACTGTTGACATCATCACTCCTTCACTTTCAGCTTCAAAACATCTTCAGATAAATTTTTTTATAAAAATATAAGCTTTTTTAAATTTAGATAAAATTTCTAGAGTAAAAACAGAATAAATCCAGAATGATGGCAGGATCATGATA